TCTGATTCCAACTCAGGCATGGATGGTGTAGTGTCCAGATGCCTCTCCGTAAGAGATATCGCGCGCTCGATTAAAAACCTCACCATCCATCCATCCAACTGATGGGGACGAGAATCAGTTGAAAGGAGGCACATATTCTGGAACCTAGTCAATCGTTTTATCTTCGTTTGGAGTTAGCGTCTGGCTATACAAGGGGCAGCTGACCCCAAGGACTTGGGGCAGAAAATACCATTTTAGACACCGATGGCCAATATTGTGTCAGCTCGAGAAGGGCTTCGAAATTCTCTTCCAGTTCCTGTCTCGCGGCTCGACTCTCATCCAAGTCACCGAACAAAAGAGTGTGCAGCAATACTGCTGAGGCCACTGTCACCATATGGCCGACTACGGGGTACACGGCCTCGCAAGCCTTCAGTTGTCGAGATTGGCGGAGAAGAGAGTTGAACATTGTTGCGTGAGATTTGCAGCGAGTGGCATAGGCTCGGCTGACGGTAGAGTCGGTTTTCTGGTCCTCGAGAAAGCGAAAGAAGAGCAGTATCGAGTAGTGGTGGTATACGAGATGCAGAGTGAGAAGTACTCCTCCCAGTCCTTTTTCTTGTTGCTTATGGAGATTCCCAAGGCTCATCTGAGCGTAGTCTGGTAGAGAGTCTTCCCAATTCTTGAGCTTTTGGGCCAAGGTCTCAACCTCTAGCTCGCACTCCGAGGAGGAAGTATTATGCTTTGCAGCAAGCCGGTTCAACTCTAGTATTGGTATGAAAAACTGGACGAGAGTCAATTTCTGGGCCCAGAGACCAGGTTGCCAGGGGCCATCTAGGATATCGGTGTCAGGCCTCAGATTGTGAAACGTTTTCTCATCCATCGGTAATGAGAGTGTTGAGGGAGGATCCCGCATCTGACATGGGAGACCGAGGCCGTATATGCACCACCGATCCGAGTAGAATAATGACCACCAGGTTCGTCGCTTGCTCTCAGCGACAACGATGGTGTCCCCGGGGGTTGGAGAGTCCAGGCTCATTATATCGGCCATGGAGTGCGCGATACCTCCTTGAGGTTAGCAGGCATTTCGATTTCTTGAGGAGAGAGTAAATTCTCACGCAAAAACAGGGCTTCAGTGCCTCTGGTACAATTACCAGCACATAGTGTTGCAACCAATATACAAGTTTGGAGGTTTTCAAGACATATGTTCTCAAGATCCGCCAGTAGTAGTTGCTTCGACCTGGCTACTAAACAAGGACCCAATGCTCTTGCATCAGGATTGCCCGAGAATTTGGACCCAATGGCGCAAATAGCATACAGGAGAGCCTTCCCGATGGTGCCATTCTGGATCTGAGAGTGTAAAGTGGGTGGATGGAATAGGCTGTGGGATTTGTCGTGAATGGCTCTGAGATAATGTCCTACTAGCTCCACAATGATTCCGCGCGAAAGGCCCGAGAGAGTATCTTTTTCAGGATTGCTCTGTGTGCGAGACGATTGGGGATCTTTCCAGGGAACAGAAGGGATCAAGGGTGCATTGGCGGTCGAGTGGCTCCTCATCTGGCCGTCACATCTCAGCCGGCGCCGTTGGCATGTATCACAGGGCTCTCCAGGACCCTTGCGGGTGCACTTGCGCTTGGATTGCCGGCATTGGCGGCATGACTTGGGGTACTTCATGGTCGCATGCTTTCCTGAAATGCCTCAGCCCAGTATAGAGTCAATTCCGCAAGCACAAAACCGCTGAGGATAAAACCTGGTTCAGTTGTTGGACATTCCATGTTGAACAATTTGTCAGCAGAATCTCTTTTAGCAATTAGCAACAGCCTAATTATCCGCTATGGATGGCGATGTTGCGCATCCGCTTTTCTTTCTCCAGTGGGCGGATTGTTAATAATACAGACACGACGAATGAAAGCCCACTTCGACCAGGGTCCGTTTGGACAGGGATCGGGAATGGTGGCATGGGATTGGCTGCGGCCCCGCGGAAAGCCTTGTCCGCCGCATCTGTACTGTTGTTGCTCCATCTGATGACAGGCTCTTGGGATAGTAGAGTAAGAGAGATGGCTGACGAAGAAAGACGATTTATGAGGTGACATCTGTATATATAAAGAGCGCTCACCCTGTTGAATCCCACGGTTAGGTAGAAGTATTACAGCCAGCACCTAGAGCTTAGAGCAACTGATCCACAAGCCCTTTTCCTGATTAACACACACGATCTTACAATGTCAAGTCTTTTGGAGCCCGTTACCATTGGTGGCGGTAAGCTTGGCCTGCGGAACCGAGTTGTCATGGGTGCTATGACTCGAAATAGGTGTATCGATGATTTGAAGCCGGGCCAGGCCCAGATCGACCACTACTCTCAGAGGGCAAAAGATGGAACTGGCCTCATCATTAGCGAGGGAGTATTTATTGACTGGACTGGATCCCATTGGACCAAAGCCCCTGTCATGATATCCGAGGACCATTGCAAGGCTTGGCAGAAAGTCGTGGATGGAGTCCATCAAGCAGGCGGCAAGATGTTTTTCCAGCCCTGGCATGCCGGTAAGTCAAATACCTCCTGGAAATCATGAAAATCTCACTCAACTTGCGGTAGGACGCTGTCAGAATGATCTGATGCCGGCTCTTAAAGAAAGAGGTCTTCCCGTTCTTGCTACATCGCCCCTCCAGGCCTCGGGCGGAAAGTATCGTGACCTGCCTGGAGTTCCCGTGAGTATGAGAGTTGCATAACGATTGAAGGAATATTGCTAATTTAGGCTCGACAGGGGCACACTGCGAATTTGACAGAGATCGAGAATCCGTCTGATATCGTCAACATGTATCGACGCGCGGTAACACTCGCTAAACGTGCTGGCTTTGATGGCATCGAACTTCTCGCTCAAGGGTATGACCATCTCCGGAAATGTCTGATCTTATCAATATGAGATGAAAGCTAATTGATCAAAAAGTGGCTACTTGGCTCAACAATTTCTAGTGCCGTGAGTTTTTGCAAAAAAGATGTGCATTGAAAAAGTGACGACGCTGATGATTATAACCTAGCGAGGCCAACACACGCACAGATAATTATGGTGGCTCAGTCGAAAACAGATGCCGCTTCTTGCTGGAAGTTGTCGATGCTATCGGCGATGTCTGGGGTGGCTGTGAGCTTATTTGTGTCAAGATCAACCCCACTGACGTTCTACACGACACCGTAATGACATTTGCCGACTTGAAGGAAACCTATGATTATTTAATCAAGGAATTAGTTTCAAGGAAGGTTGGGATTATCAATATATCACGCCGAGGTACCGATCTAACCGTCGGCGATGGTTCGTTCACCCGGAGCTTCCCTCGACCTGACGGATATCCACTGCCACTTGGCTATGACCCAGTTCTGGATTTCGGTCTTTTGGTTAAATACCCAGGGAGCCCTTCTTTGCTCATGGCCAACCACGAATTCACTGTTGAGGAAGCAGATCGACTTGTGAAGCAAGGTAAACTCGACTTGATCACATTCGCTCGTCCTTTCATTTGGAATCCTGTTAGTTTATCCTTTTCTTCTTCCAACCCATCAGCTAACAGAAACTAGGACCTCATTACCCGAATCAAGTATGGAATTCCCCTTGCTCAGAATGATCGAGACGACACTGTTCTGTATGGCCCTTATACTTCGCCAGAGCAGGGCTACAACGACTGGCCAACAGCTGCTGCCTAGATCTAAAAGCAACGATTTTCGAGGTGCATTTATATCAGCATGTCATAGAAGAGATGGGTTTCGGTTGGAGCTAGTTAATCGTGTGGGCTATTTATCAATTCCACATTGTGGTTCGTCGCTTAATATCACTCTTTTAAGCGTCTCTCGTGCCTTTCAATCCGTTATATGGTAGCAATCATTCGTTCCGATCGTAGGACCTAGCTAGTAGCTACCAAGGCCAAAGCTGTTTTCTCCCCAAAAGAAGACTACTTCCAAGAAAACTCCTCTCAAGAAAGGATCTAGATACGAATAGGAACTATTTCATTTACTAAGTTCGCAATCTTGACACCACTACGGAGAGAACTATAATTTTAAAACAAGCCTGTTATCTCACACCTTTTCAGATACCCTGACTCGGTAATCAAAAGGCCATAAATTCAACGATTGCTGAGAGAAGGCGCGGCCCAGGCCGGCTTTTCGGGGATACAGCCGTTTTGATGCGCCTGCTTCCACACAATTCGCAAGATTCAGGGTCAGGGGTGTTCCTAACACAAGTAGCTTGGAGTCAATCTTGGAATATGAGCTGTCTAGCTCTCCGAGCCCCCCCAAGGAGTTGTGCCCAACAACTCGAAGGTATAAATGCCATCCTGTCATCCCTCCCAACAGATTGCCACTACCTTTTCTCTCTCCATTCTCACCCTTTTCCATCGAAATTCTCGCACCAATCAACGACCCTTTTCATCGGAACCCCATCTTTCCCCTCATTATGGGGTGAGGGTTCAAAGGAGCTCTCCTGCAAGTGACATTGTAAAATGGATTGCTCATTGTAGAGTAGAGGGCTAAGGGCTACGGAAGGTGTGATTTGGATTGTTGCGGGAGTCGCGAGAGTCGCGAGAGAAGTTAACCCAACCAAAACAATCGGAAATACTAGGGGAGTTGCCGCCAGGGGGAGGGAGAGGGGCCATAAGCTTTGCCTTCCCTATTACAGAGTTTGGCCACTGGATCAAGCTTTACGAGATCAACGCGCCAGAATAATTGCCTGCCTAGCCCCCTTGATCAAAGGTTCATCCATGACTGCGCTGAAGGTTTTGCCAATGAGTCACCAGACGTATGTTGGTGGAGGGTTTAACATCAGCTACACACACGAACGGCATAGCTTGCAGAGAAGGCAAAAGATCATGAAGCAAAGTTCAGTCTGTAAGCTAGCTATATATTAGTCGCTCTCCCCCTACTCTTCACTCTTCTTTCCTCGCCCTTTCCTCGCCCTTCTTACCTAACTCTTTTTTCCCTCACTCTTTTCCCCACACTCTTGTTTCCTCACCTTTCTTCACAAGCAAATTCCCTAAGCCAGCCCTCAACCATGTCGACGGAACTACTAGCCCCGTGGGAGTGGGCGCGCATCCCTCCAGTCATTTCCTCCGACGAGCTCCCGGAGGAGGACATCGAATATGTTCTTAGCCAGCGCAAAAAGTATTCAAGGTTTCTACATCCAATGTACGTTTTATCTTTTGAAAGGCCGATATATCTCGGTGACCGAATTCCCGACATGATCGATCCTAGCACGTCAACGGACAACAAGGAAATTTGGATGATTGAGGCACCCCTCAATACTGTCGAGATCATTGAAGCCATCTTGAAACCAGCCAAGCCATTCACGGTTCACAGGGCACGTCACTTCAGCCCAGGGTGCGCTCAACACGCCGCCAAACTCCCCCCCAATAGCCTGGAAATAAAACAGCAACTGTATGCACGGTACCTTCGCCTGGAGGGTCGGTTAGAGAAAGACCGCGAAATATCCTATATCACGGTGGATTCTGATGATGCTTGGACTCTGCGTGACAAATTTCCTGGAGCCCTCGACGCCGTTCGCCTGCAGTACATCTCCATCCCCTGGGTGTTTTCAACCGGAACCAAGATTCTCGCCAACCCTATGGCGTATCTATTGCACGACGCGCCACGTCCGGGGTCATGGCACACATACGAAAGGGGACTGGCATATGTTCTCAGAACTCTTGGCCTCACTGGCTATACCGTTGATAAGCAAAACTATCTTCGACCCGGAGCGACCCCGATGCCCGAGTGTGTATTGGATTGGTACTGTGGTATTCCCGGGAGAACACAGGCCCTCCCTTACTACCACGAACCGGAAGAGGTTGTGGATTTGGGGGAGGATCAGAAGAACAACGAGGTGTCTTCTGATGGATCAAATACCGACAGTTCTAGGCCCGATAAGGACGTTTCAAGGGCTCATCTCTGAGAGAATGAAGCATCGATGGAGATCAACTTGACCAATTTAGTTGCCATGCCGAATTAGATGATGGCATTTTTGCTCTTGGAGAGATCAATATCTTGGTTTGACGGGCCGCGGAACCATGTTCTCTGTTGAGAAAGGGGAGTGTGGATAATCTCAAGTTGTAATAACTGTTTATTGTTTTTGTCAAAATGCCTATCTACGTATACCACAGTTTCCTATCTTGCTTATTCATAACCTTCCTCATCAAATCACTGCCTATCTATGTATATGTGGCTTCCATGAAGGTGATTAATTGCCTTCCCACGTAATAAGTTCAATTTTGATTGGCGCCTCTCACCTCCATAAGAAAAGATTATTGCCCCGAGTCACAGCCTTGGGCTAGCAATGCTTTTTTAACCTCTCGCATTCATTGTGTTGAGATGGAGAGTCTGGCATCTTGCATTCCTGTTTTTGACTAATCCTCAAACTCTCTCCCGTATTGCCCCGAGTCTTCATAGAGACTCATCCGCCTCAAGAAATTGATGTGGCCCTCATACTGTACCTCTAGCACGTTGTCGCTGCATGATTGACGCGGCCGCAGCATTACACCTATCGATTCTCCCTACCCAGTATGTCGAAGTATCAGTCAAGACACCTTTACCAGCCCAGAAACCACTCCATTTTTTAGCAGCGATTTCATAGAAACTACGAGGTCAAGAATGGAGGAATCGTCGCTGGACGTCACTTCGGAGGCCCCCCTCAGGGGCACCTGCCTCGCTCGACTCTTTCCTCTCCCAGTTCCAGGCCCCAAGGAAGGAGCAGTCCTTTGCTGTCCTTGCTGAGAAAACTGGCTCGAAGATTCTCCCATTCGTACCACGCAATCAAACACTGCGCATCAGTTTTCGCTGTCCGTTCTCGACCTCGCTTTCGAACGAACACTTGACGAAAGACGAATCCCCGGGCAATTGATCCCGGCAAACACAATGACCATGGATAAAATCCGATTTGGTGTCGAATTCGAAATGGTCGTTCGGCCAAAGGAAGAAGTCATCCCTCTTCTTGTAGAGTATTTCGGTTTTGATCTGACAGAGCATGAAGACGTAGTGCCCAAAGCAGCTTGGCGATTCACGAATCGCGACTCCGTTCTCCGTTTTTTCCGCTACTATCTTCAACAAGGAGAGCAAGACGGATACGCCAATGCTGGTCCAGAAGTTGGCAATTACACTGCTTGGTCCGTTGTCGATGACCTTTCTATCAAGGAGGAGCATTTTACCTACGGCATCGAGCTGGTGTCGCCAGTTTTCACTTCCAATATCGGTCCGTGTCTCCGCGACGCCACCGGCGACTGGCAATACGAACTTGTGAAGCTTTGGGCGAAAATCGAAAATTATTTCGACATCGTCACTGTGTCCAGCCACCACTGTGGTACACACATCCATGTAAGTCCCCTTGAAGGCTTTACTATTTCCCAAGTGAGGATGTTCGCTGGCTTCTTGGTTAGATACCATGAAACCATGACAGGACTTATCCCAACCGAGCGGCTACAGCAGCCCTACGCTATGCCAAACTTCCAAGTCAGACCTGAGCCAACTATGGACGGCCTGAAGGAAGCGCCCCTCGAAGACTTGGTTGAGTCAATGATGCCACGTCGTGAGGATTTTGGGGAAAATGGCGTTATTGCCGCTGCAAAGTATGTAGCGTGGAACTTCCTTCCTTTGCTTGAGCCAAAGGGGACTATTGAGTTCCGACAACCACCCCATGTCACCCAAGTTGGGGACGCGGAAAGATGGATTCAGCTGTGTCTGATCTTCTTTCATCGGGCGTTGAACCAGCGTTGTTAGCTGGTGATCGCCCTTTTTTTCCACATTCTGGTTTTTTTTTTGCCTGCTCACAGTATTGCTTCTCAAATGGAAGCCTAGGGCGCCAGGACAGCTTTGTGTGTTGATCCTAGGTTGTGGCTATGGTGCTCTTCTTCGACTACCTTCTCCAAGGAATGCTCGTAATTATGGGCAGGTCAAGAATCCCATCAAAAGTTAGTAAACGTAGTCAATTTACCATGTTCTTTCTTCATCATGCTTCGCCCACCAACAATTGTGACGGCCTCGACCATCGCGGAGTTACCTCCGCTCGCCCAGTCATGAGTGAGACTATAATTATGCGAATGCTTTTCCAGCATAGGTCAGGTCTCGAAGGCTTTTCGCCAGCTTCCTCACTGCTGTAGATCCACATACGTCAGTGGGCGTCGTAGGGGGCTGCCAAGTCTATCTTATCTGATAAAAGATAGCAGCGGATCTGACTAAGCCATCCAAGACAATCTGAAGGCGCATTCACAAAAACCTGCAAACCCAAGAGATCGTTGAAGATTCAGCGAGTGCCAAAAAGGGGACTTTTAAAAGCTATCAAATTATCCATGCCCGAACGCATATATCTATCTCTATGAAGGGGGGCCTGTCTAAATATGGAGGAAATTGTTGCTCCTCGACGGAGCCGCCAGCAAGGGTTTGTGTGATTCCAGGCCCGATGGCTCAGGATATCCAGTAGCTGTGAGCCAGACCCAGCTGTCGCAATTGGCTTGCAAATTATCACAGACTGTAGCTAGAAGCTTGACATGGCAATTGCCGGTCAAGCTATAAATTCGCTATGGTTCAAGATAGCCAACAGATTAACCCGACCCGTGCCAGCTGTTGTGATTGACAGCCCGCTATCAATAGCCACTACCCTATGCTAGCAAGGTCGAGCTTGCGGCAACAGATTATTGGTCGCAACAGCTGGGTCGAGTTCGTAGTTATAGGCTGTTGTAAGCAAAAGACGATTCACGGGCCAATTGCGACAGCTATTTCGGTCTTACAGCTGTTGGATGTCTTGAGTAACATCCAGTTTGTTTGCAAAGATTGTAGTGATTTGGCTCCTTCCATCTTCCATCGATGAGAGAGCACGTGATGCGCTGCGAAGTGTCCATGGGTAGAGCTCCTGCCCTGAACTTTCAGAACGATTTTCTGTTCTTTGTCCATCTATCTTTCGCTTGGTGAGTCTGTTTGATTTCCTGTAGATGCGATTGGAACCTAATTGCTGTATCTCAGCACAGACATCCAGATTCGTAAGTCTCAGCTCTTTGCCACCCTGGTGGGAGCGACCTCGTTAATGCCTTCACTTACGAGCAGTCACTTTTCGACGCTTCTTGTACGTATAATCCACCAAACGAAGTCCCCCCTATCATATGCACTATGGCTGACATGGAGTGTATAGCAGTCAATCATTCACAAGTACGTCCAACAGCACACAGGGTCTGATGTTGATGTTGACAGTGCTAATGATTTGGCCTTGTCTCGACAGTGGCACCCAGCAAGCCTGGTACGTACACAGAATCAGTTGAGGTCCGGGATTCAGCTAATGGAGTTCCGCATGAAGCCGGCATCAAGAAGCGTAAGTTCAATCATTGGAGGGAATGTGTCCCGAGCTTCTGGCTAATGAGATGCCTTGCAAGCCGACGCGAATGGTACACTTCAGCCTACTCTCCCCTGCCCGATGATGAGCGCCTTATGTTGACACCATCATTGTAGCCAAGGCCAAGGCCAAGGCAAAGTCCTGTATGGCTCTGATGTTGATGTTGGCAGTGATAACGATGGCTAACAGCAGTGCCCTTGGAAGCCGATCTCGTCGCCAAAGGTAAGTATCTCTATCCATCCTATTCTTGCGAAGCGTTGCTAATGAAAAAGTGGCGAAAAATACCGTGAGTCGACTATTTACTTTGCAGGAAATTTATTTCAATGAGTAACCGGACATGAGCAGTGTCCATATTGCGACCGCCCTGGGCATGGCCCAGATAAATGCTGGTTTCGACCAGCGGTATGTCCCTACCCTTCCTACCAGAGACCCTACAGGGATTCGACTAGCTAATGAACGCATATAGAAGGGTGAAACAGTTAGTGGACACATTTTTAGAGCTCGGCGATGTTATCGACTGCTGACTGATATCCTTTTCGCGGATTCAGGTCCCAGTTTCGGAGGTATGTGAATCACAATTGGATGTATTGAATCTTCTAACGACGAATTTAGGGGTCCGAACAAGTGAGTTTTTGATCAAGAAAATATTTATATTTGGATTCTAGCTGAATGCGATGTTAGTTTTTTTTGAACAAGCGAGACGTAAGTAGACCTTCCTGGTTTGTATTTTGTAAGCGCACGCTGACTGGAGGTCGACCTTAGAACTTGCTCGCGCTTGGCCTAGTATGCTTGGGTCTCTTTGGCCTCCCATGGAGAACTTTTACTAACAGACTTGTGCTCTGTCAGGCCAAGGAAAGGGACTTTCGAGCCCTTGAGAAGGTATGAAAGTATCGCTCTGGTAGAAGGGGAGCCATGCTAACTAGTGGCTACCTTAGGCCTATCTGGCCGAAGAAGAGGTCAGTGCTGACATGAAAGCTTGAGTGATCAATATTGTCTGACACTAGGATAATTCAGAGAATCCTGGCTGCGGCCGATGTAGGTATTACCGCTTCTGCGTTTGAATCTTCCATCACTGACATACCGGACTGGAAAGAAATGCGATGAACAGGCCAAAGTAAGTGATCAAATACTCTTTCGTGGATAATTAGTGATGGCTGATGGATATCTGAAACCAATAGGAGGCAAAGGAGGCCAATGCGCCTGTAAGTCTCACCGAGAAATATGGCTATGTTCCCATAAGCTGACAGAGAACACTTAGCTTGGTGAAAAGAATTTTCTCGTGAGCAATGAGCCATTCTCTTGTGTGTTTATAGTTAACATATTCGGCAGTTGAAATGGCAGAAACTTGTAGGAAGTTGTCCTCCTTGAAGCTTGCAGAAACCAGGTTAACTTTAGTATTCTTATAGCAAGAAGAGAAGAAGCAGAAGGAGGAGAAGGAGAAAGAGGAGAAGAAGGAAGAGAAGAAGAAGAAGGAGAATGGAGAGGAGAAGGAGACCGAAGAGTGATTGTAAGTACATCTTCCCAATTTGCATTTGTGGACACTAACTTACGCCCAGTGAGTTGGGCTGGGGTTTTTTTTCTTCTTCTTCTTTTGTTTTGTTGTTGTTGTTGTTTTCTTCTTTTTTTTTTTTGCTATGAAAGATCGGTATGGTAAGCAGATCCATCCTCGCGTCTTTGAGGCTACCTACTGATTCCTACCAGGCCGTCTTTAGTAATGGTTCGTTAGGTGAGCGGTACACGAGCTGGAGCCATCACTGATCGTCTTAGTAGACATCTCTCCCAGGGACTCGTTGTCCCTGATGTTATGATTTTTGAAGGACTGTGCCCGACTTTTCATATCTTGTGAATACCTTTTGTATTACTCATGTCTAATGCTACAATATGCAGGTTCATCATTTCGCATAACAACGACGAGCTTATACAGTAACTATGGTCCAACCCCTGTCGTGGTCCACAAACCTTCCAGAGACTGTGTCATGTAAGTATTTGCTTGAAAGCTATGATGCACTGAAAACACAAACTGACTCTACACTGCAAAAGCTGAAGGGAACGTCTCGTCGTAACAGGTCATCCCAGCTGTGAGGCTGAAAGGGAGCTGGGAAGGAACTACTAGGAACTCCTATGTCTTGAAATCTACGGCTGTTGGTGGATGTGTGAAAATCGAGAGAATCATTTGGAGGGGTTCTGGGTTAATGGCTTGGATCATTTACGGATGGAAGACGGATGTAAGACCTGGTCAGAAAGGTCACCATCATATAGGAATTATAACAACGACGTGCTTATTTCATGCTTTAATTTTTAGTCTGCTGTAGAGAAAAATATTGGTCTCTGGGCTTCTTCATGCAGAAGAAGGGGAGGTTTAGACTGGCTCTGAAGCTGGGGGAGGCACAGGCCCGAAAATGCTTCTTCCAACAGTTGCAATGGGGGTAGAAGGAGGCTCCTGGGAGACAACAGACTCGTCAGGCACATCGTCATATTCCTGGCGAATTAGCTTCCAAATTAATTTACCTGAACCTGAGAGCAATGAGGCTATTTCCCCTTGCTATTCCTCGTTCTTCACAGCGCGCTACTCAATCTGGGTCTTAAGGAAGTATATATAGATAAAACTACACGAGCCGATGATAGTATAATATGGTCAAGGACTGCTGCTATATCTTGTATGAAGGGGGTGAGAGGCGCCAATCAAAATGGAACTTATTACGTGGGAAGGCAATTAATCACCTTCATGGAAGCCACATATACATAGATAGGCAGTGATTTGATGAGGAAGGTTATGAATAAGCAAGATAGGAAACTGTGGTATACGTAGATAGGCATTTTGACAAAAACAATAAACAGTTATTACAACTTGAGATTATCTCCGGCCATCACTTGGACATATCCAGTTACTGTAGGAAAGTGGATGCGCTCTTCCCTCTTCTCAACTACCACCTCTACGATGGTCCGTTCCAGTCGCCGATACTATCCCTCGCCGTCCTGGCCGTCAACTCGGCCACCAGCATCGGCATCTGGTACAAGCTAAGGAGATACCCTGGCTACATGTCCGCGCTCGCCAAGTTCGCCCTCATCATCGCCTCCGAGAAGGCCCAGCTCAGGTGGATGCCTAGGCAGCACCCGACCCGGACACTGACCTCGAATCGGCCAGCCCACCTATCCGGTCCGGGGCCGGAGAGCGCCGTCTCTTCTCTGGCAAGGAGCTGACGCTCAACCAGCTGCTGGACCAGACGCTCCGCGGCGTCACGTACCGCACGGAAGATGCCTTGCACGATATCCCCATGGCCGTCGTCCACCGGTGGCAGGGCGCGTCATTTACAAATATGCCTGCATGACCAGCTATCCGGCATGGGAGTGTTATCAGTAGTCTGATGGAAATTTATGACCAACGCAAGTGGATGTCGGGAAAACAGGGACTGCAAAGTCACCTCGACAGAATTATGGTGGCAGCCAGTCACGTAATAATGCTTTCTATTATGTACCTAGACAATAAGCATATAATATTGCCTAATGCTTGCTGAATAATTTATGATTATTATTAAATATTATCTATCAATATCGCGGCCTGTATTGGAAAGGAGGATTAAAACACCTTTGCAGTCCCTGTTATTCTGCCACCCACTTGCCATGTTGATGCCATCCCGTTTCTGGGGGGGCTCATTAGCTATTCTATCAAGGTTTACTAGCGATATCTTTCTGGAACTGGTTCTAGGCTGGAGCGCTGTTCACGAAATGGTTAAAACGAACAATTTTGTCAAAGGCATTTTAGAAACATGGATAAGTAGTTGCGGCCAAGTTGTGTTACGAACGAGCGACAAGATACGAAAACAGGCGCTGAGAGGACGTCTTTCGCTTGAAAGAGCTGTGAAGTGTAAAGCAAAAACGAAAGCTTACCGAAATGTTTGTGAAACAGAGATTGTGGCGGAAAAAAAATACTCGAGATGGCAGATACGATCATTGCGGACTCAGGTTAAAAACGATGGCAAGGCCCATTGGATTTCTCTCCTATTTCTGAAAATAACCATAAGTTTCTATAATACAGCCTCCCACAAGATAAGTAAACAAGAAAGCTACAGAATAACAATCTACCTTGGGAATAGTTACACAGTTACAGTATCTCAGTTGTTGATGCCCCATCGTCTTTCTGAGAATGTTTCCTCTTCCACTCGTCATTGGCGTCTGCATAATCTCTCGGGTCATATGCCTGGAAGATCTCCGCCCAGCCTCCCTTCCGCCACTTGTTGAGGCCAAGATCGCCTTGTAGAAGGTCAAGGTACGGAATCGCGTCGAAGATGAACCCGGGAGCCTTGTTGCTACCCCAGTCGGTAGGGTAGCGCCACTTGCCGAACCGGTTGTGCAGGATGGTCTGGTACTTGAGCTCGCTCAGGAGCTTCTCGTCGCCGACTGCCTTGGCCGGGTCAATGTCAAGCTGGCCGTTGAAGTACGCGCTGATCCAGAGCCCCTGGAAGTGGGCGGACATGGGGTTTCCGAAGTTGGAGACCACGCCGGCAAAGGCAAGGTCCCTTGTCTTGAGAAAGCGCTCAGAGGGAGGGACGATAAATCGGTAAAGCATATAAGGCGTGAGAGGTTTGCAAGGGGTGACTGCATCGTCGCTGTGCACCCCCTTCTGCTCAGTCAAGGGGATGTAGTTCTTATTCCAGACAGGCTGGTCCTTGAGACGGGGAAATCGCTCCAGGATCTCGGCATCGGCCTTCTTGAGCAAGGTACTTTGGCTCGCAAGGTCCTCTTCCGATTGGCCGTGGGGCGGCGTGTGTGGGATGCCGATCTCCTTCTCGATGCCCTCAGGGAGGAACTTGGTGGCCGGCACATGCTTCCAGCCAGTGTGAGCGAGCATAGAGTCACACTCGAGCTCAGTGCCATCCGAAAGGTGAACCTTTCCGGGGCTTAGATGGTCGATGTCACTGATATAAACATTGACCAGATCGCTCTTCACGAGGTCCCAGAAGTTGGTCTCCCAGTTCACGATACTGAAACTAGGGCCCGTGAACATGGCTGTTGTCCAGGGCTTCAGCTTGGCGGTGTCGGGGTGCTCATCGTATTTGTTCAGGCGGAGGACATCGTTGCCCAGGACTGACCAGAACCCGTTAACAATTGCCCGGCCCAAAGCAGTACCGTGGAGAAAATTGCGAATTCCTGTGTAGCCGTCGGCGCTGCCCCAGATGGAAGGGCTGAACCAAGTGAGGATTCGAGTGTCTGTCGTGCGCGGGGACGCCGATTGTCAGTGATTGTGTGGATGAATTGCAGCTCCCTGGATGATACTCACGAGCAAGTGCTTCGATCCATTGATGGAACGGTGTAACGTATGGAGGCGACATCCAGCATGGCCCATGGCCAGAGGCTGATCGACGGGTCAGTACACGGATCACGAATCAATTGGAAGGGCAGAGATAGCACTTACAGCGGATCACCCAATGTACCTTGACTCCAGCACTCGCGTAGGCATACACGGCATCAAAGGCGAATTTCGTTCCTCCAAACACCGTCACGGTCTTGCCCTTCTCTATGGTGTCCTTGTTCTTCTGGAAGTCCTTGCCGTGGAAGATTCGGCCTCCGAACGTCTCCTCGCCATCAAAGTGCGGGAGGAAAGCCTCTGAGGTAAGGCCACTGGCCATGATCAAATGGCGGGCAAACACCTGGTACTCCTTGCCGGCCTTGGAGTCGGCGACCGTCAAGATCCAGCCGCCTTCCTCCTGGTGCTCCGCCACTACAATCTTGCTATTGAATCGCATGAACTTGTCGATGCCGAAATCCGCAGCGTAGGCCTTCAGGTACGTGTTGAGCACGCTGCCGGGGATGTGCTCGTCCTTCTTGACGCCGAAACGCTCCGTGGTCATGGGGAACTCGGGGAATTCGTAGGTGCCGAGGAGGTTGTTGCTCTTGACGCCTGGGTAGATTCGGTGGTCTGCCCAGGTGCCGCCGATGCTCGACTCGCCCTCGAAAATGGCCAGAGTCTTGTCCGGGTTGAGCACATGGTACTGCTTCGCGGCGGCGAGGCCATAGTAGCCTGTAGACAGCAGTCGTCAGCAGCGAGTTCGATCACATTGTGGCCGCAATGCTTCCGCCATCCTCGAGAGCGCATGAACCATAGGGCGGACATGTGAAATTGGCCAGGATGGGGTAATCAGTCGAGCTCACCTGCACCGACAGAAACACAATCAAACTTCTCCATCTCAATCTTTTCAATTGTTCCCTTAGCTAGTGGATGGAGGGGAACAGACACAGGTCAAGCTGGTGTTCAGATGGAGGGGAATTGGCCCCAATAAGGCGTCAGAGCTGCCTTCAGAGCTTTGTTCGCCAAGAGGGGCACAGAGAGAGTGGCGCGGTCAGAGTGTTCGTGCGCTCAGCTGTGGGAGTCCCATGCCTGTAGATCGAACCATCTTACAATCTTACGGCCGCATATCGGCTCCAAAGATACCAGCTAGCTGAAACTGCAGGGAAGCAAGGGAGAACGCGATTCAAAGAGACCTTCCACCTGAAGGTAACCGGCAATGGCTGCTCACCAACGGGTGGACCAACAGCCGGATGAATGCAGCTCGTAGCATTACCAAAGGTCCAGTTGTTGGTTCAGGTAAGTACAGGGGTCTACTGGTTGAGCCATTGGTGTGGCAAAGCACAGGGTCCTGGTCCCTGCATGCATTTTCTCTCTGTCCTCTCTGGTCTCACTCTTGAATTCATATCATGAGAGTTCGTTCTCTCTCCAGGTGAATGCATTTGAGAAACCGGCTCTCTCTCAAGCCTCCAAGCCTCTATGCTAATAAAATTCCCCGGCTTCTGGCAGGCCTTTGAGAAAGTTAGGCACAAAAAAAGGAGGTGCCAGATATGCAATTGTGTAGGATTGTCTGAGACAATGCCGGATTTAGCGGAAGGTTAACGTACACGCCTCGAGCGATGTCACCCTCCCCTACCCGGAATGCAAAAACGTACATCAATAGCCGTTATTGAATTTCGCTAGCGGATGTGGTCGCATGGTGGCTGTATTCGAGAATGTGTACTCGAGCCCATCCCCCATCATTGTATTGTTCTTTGGCCGCCCTCCATCTACATTATTTGATGGCAGACACTGTCTTGCCTGTGACTTCGCTTCTATCTCCATGGCCCCGCGTTTCTCCGCACCTTCCACTCTGGAAAGCCGCGAGTGTTACGCAGATTGAGGCCTCCCCTGAGGGGGTCCCCTCTCACCTCACCAGGTTCGCAGAGATCTATCCGTACCCCAGCCCCTGCTTACTCCAATTCACCCTAGCCCGTCGGCAGCCAGGGTCGTGCTTCATCACGTCTTCTCTGGGAGGTGGTTTTTCCATGTGGCGCCATTTCACCCTAAGCATCCGTGCCGGAGGATCGTCCCCATTGTTCATCCTTGGCTGAGAATTAGTCTCGAGCCCGGATCGACACTATGTACATAGTCGCGGCTCGGCTTTCGCTTGCTGGAGGTATTAGGAGAATGGATACGTAACGTCTTTTGTATTACTATGTACTGCAGCGTGTGGGTGTGCGGAGCGTTATTCACCCTCCTCGGTGCTTCGCCCCTCCGCGAGAGGCCACATGCATGTGCGAGCTCCAGTCACAGCCGAAATTCGAGACAAATAATGGAACCATCTGTTTGGCCATCGATCCACAAAAAACCTTAGTGTTGCGAACCAGACGCGGGCCGTATGTCGTCGTATGTCTCTCTGCATGTAAGCATGGTTGATAGCACCAACATCTTTTCTCATCCGTCGCAAAAAAAGAACGGGACGAGGGAAAAAGCAAGTAAAAAGAGAAAACAATGGATAAAACACCTCGAAAAGGTAGTTAGCCCGTCCCCGAAATGAGGGAAAAGCTAGTCCAACCTTGGTTCCAGTTCTTTTGATGCTCGTATTGGCCGTTGATGGTGGGAACGGCAGATCTCCTGTTTGATCTCGACAATAAAAAGAACCGGGCCATTCATATGTGCCGAATCTGCGGGGGGAATCTGATAATAGAGCTTTTATTCGTTTCTCTCCTTTCCATGTGCCTGGCCTGATGTGACGTTCTCCCCAACTCGCTGTCTGTCGAATGCGCCAATATTGCGTTCGTTCTTTCCCCATCTTTCTTCACCTTCCTTTGCCCCTATTTTGCAGCATGTGTCGCAGTAACAATATATCTACCTAATCAGTTTGAATTCTACAATATTCCATCCATTCAACAATGGCCAGCGCCGCAGCTGAGCTAACTCCTGAGGAGGCCGCTGCCGCTGCCGCTGCTGCTGCAGCAGCCCAGGCATTCAACATCGAAGTTTGGACTCTTCTGGGGATTGGAGCATTGGTTACTTTTTTGAGAATCGTCGCTCGCACAAGATCTGTCGGATTTCGCAAGCTCCAGCCTGACGATTATCTGGTCATCGTGGGACTGGTAGGTCTGCTCTTCAGGTGTTTCCGCACGACGAAAAGACGTTCCTCTCCCAGAAAGGGATGCCTCGTGGGGAAAATACCGATTTCTTTCTGACGCCTCGTGATCATAGATATTCTACGGTATCGAGAGCGGGCTTGCGTATTCTGTAGGCGCTCATGCCCACGGCATAGCCAACAATGGAATGACCGACGCCCAAAGGGAAGCTCTGTCGACCGACGACCCCGAGCACAAACTACGAGTAATCGGCTCGATTATCCAGCTATGCGGATGGAACTCATATTCGGTTATTCTGTGGGCTTTCAAGGCTTCGTGGCTGGTATTCTATATTCGACTGACGGTACTTGACCCCGACAATTTGGCGCTTGCCCCTTTACTTCACCTCCGTCTCCCTCGGACGAGTTCTGATACTGATAGCCATGGAATTGTGTAGGATGGTATAGGTAAAAGCTACCTGCATCGCATATATGTCGGCTTCGGTCTGGTTGTTGGTAGTTGGCTGATTGTCGTCGTCAACATTTTTCTTGGCTGCCGACCTTTCCACCGATACTGGCAGATTAACCCGGACCCTGGAAGTACGTATTAAATTACTACGAACATTTCTTGAACAGAGAAGTGCTAACTCGGCTATCAATCACCAGATGTCTGCCAGCCGGCCGTGTCGAACCAGATTGTGTGGGTGTGTTACGCCTTCAACGTCACGACCGATATGTATCTTCTTTCTATCCCACTACCCATGCTTTGGAGCTCTAGATTGCAAACCTGGAAGAAACTTGGCCTGCTCTTTTTATTTAGCGGTGGTATTTTTGTCATGGTTTGTGGAACTCTACGAGCCGTTATCATTGTCACCGTAAGACACCACTATCCCTACTGGCGGCCTGGGATTTGAACTCAAAGAGTTCAAGATCTCTTCAAATATTAGGTATGCTGACTGGTTCAACAAAACAGGATCCCGTCAACGGTGCCCAACTTGCCGGCTCTTGGGCCGTCCGCGAAACCTTCGTTGCACTCGTCACGACCAACCTGCCTCACATCTTTCCACTGCTCAAAGTCTGGTTCGGGCCGGTCATCGACACACTGGTTAGCACGGCGCGGAAGTCGTCAAACTACAGCTCAAACTCCGCCCCCAAGGGTTTCCGGACATTCGGCGGCGGCGGCAGCAGCGGGCCAAGCTGGCGCGGTCGCGGGCCCCCGACGGCCAACCCGATCACGAACTTTACACTCAACGAGAGCGAGGAGCGCATGGTTGGGGAGAACAACGGCGGCAAGAGCAGCAGCGTCAGGCTTGAGGATATGCACGCAACGCGGACGAGCGATGGCGGGTCGCCTGGAAGCAAAGTCCGCATCCATAAATCAGTCCAGGTTGATATTGTGACTGAGGATAGGCAGTCAAGGCAAACGGACACACCAGACCTGGGCGACTCAATAAGAGAACAGCCTTGGTTGCAGGCGCAGTTGCCGCAGAGTGCTTCAATTGAAGGCTCTACTATCAAGCGAAGCGCTTCCAAGCGAGCTAGCTGATTTTTGTATTATCAACCTGGGGGAAAAGCACATAGAGATTACAACAAAGGGAACAGGACTTTATATTTGCAATGGGCAAGTCCTAGGTAGAAAAGGAAAACTAGCCATCACGACTAAGGAAAATTAGGATCGTGGTGGAAGACCTGGAGGGGTTTCGGGAACATTTGACATAATTTCTACTTCACAAATCGTCGAGCCCAAGATATAAATTTACCTGGGCATTATTGGCGACCCCTTAATGAGAAGAGTGTTTATATGCGAGGCGAGTCTCAGTCTTAAGCCAGGATAGCATTTTTAAGCCGTCAATTTTGTATCTGAACGTACCTTAAGAAGGTAGGTCTTGGATATCGGTCACCTTCTTTGCGACGGTGTAGCACACTGACTGCCTCCGCACGACATAAATGCATAGAAATCCCAAAAATTAATGAATGCACCGCCAAAGTCCTCTGAGTATATCTTGAAGTGATTATTCAGTCAAGGGGAATATAGTAGTCAGGATAGCTCCGGTAACTCATTGAGGGGTGGAAGCACTTGACCTGTCAATGCTAGATCCACTCCTTACAGCCCTTCTGGGGGAGTTAAAATTGCTGTGCATTACCGACAAAAGTCACTTTTTATTATAAAGTGCAGTTATTCTTACTATGGTACTTGTCTGATCAACGCTCAGTTTTGACAAATTGACTAAGCAAATTTCCATGCCTTGGTATGATCGATTTTCCGTTTGAGAAACCGCAACGATTGCTTTGCACTCTCCAAGCTCTTTCATCCGGAATTAAGGGCCCCTAATCATGTTCGGACATTTAACAAAGGCTACTATACCAGCGCCAGAAAGATGAGTTGGGTTAATAGCGGGTTGTAGACGGACTTAACGGAATGTAAGCGGCTAGATAGAGAGGCTACTGAAAATCTTGCCGATCTCTTGCCAGTAAGTCAGATGAAGCTATCAAATCCAGTAGGGCTGTCCGGAGTTAAGGAAAACCTTGTTTGCCTACGTCCTGGAATATTCATAAATATATATTAATAAATGACACTCTTCCTCTGGAATTATACTATCATAATGTCCAAGTGCTTGCGTCGAGAGGAATTTCCTTTCACATTTCAACTCAAGTCTTCATTTATATCGTCGACCAATTTATAACACAATGGCAACGATCCTTGTTACGGGCGCCAATCGGGGCATTGGCTTCGCCATCGTGCAGGCTATCGGTAATCGGCTGCCAGATAGCACCGTTCTTCTTGGCTGTCGCACATTTAAAGCTGGGAATGATGCTATTGAGCAACTCAAGTCAAGCGGAGTTTCGGCCAACCTTCAAGCACTCGCACTCGATATTGAGGACGATTCTTCCATCGCGGCAGCCGCAGACGTTGTGCGTGAACGGTTTGGTCACCTTGACGGTAAGCTGAAATATCAAACGAAAGTTGGCAGGGTATGGCCAAATGCTGATCGCAAAAGTTCTAATCAATAATGCCATCAAAATTGAGCTCTCCTCCTCGACGAATGCAGAAGAGCGGCGCCAGGCCTCGAACAGGAGCTTCAACAACGGAATCACATCAAACACTCAGGTTACCCGTGAATTCTTACCTCTCCTTGAAAAAAGCAACTGGCCTCGTGTAATCATGGTCTCCAGCAGTCGTGGAAGTTTTGGGAAGACGGTCAACGGAGAGGTATGTTTCTCTCAGCTGAAATCTCTGACTGGGCTGACATGAATATTTCTAGCTGCCGGCCGTGGCTGTGATCGACTACTGCGTGATCAAGGCTGCTCTCAACATGCTCACGGTACATTTCCAAGCTCAAAATAAAGGGGTCACATTCTGGGCAATTAGTCCCGGACATTGCAAAACGGGCTTCAACGGCTTCAGAGGCACAAAGGATCCACTATTGGGAGCTGAAGTGATTATGAAGTTGCTCGAATCTCAGAAGGGCGAAGTCGAAGGAGGTACCTTCTGGGAATATGAACAGGATGAATTCCGAGCTGTTCCCTGGTAGCGTCGAATACAACGACCAGGGTCGACAACACGTTGTCAATTGTATTTTTAATCCCGCTTGCCACTCCTCTCTTCAATTAAACATGAACTCTGATTGGGAATCTATATCTGTACTTTTCCTCACTTATTCAGCGAAATCTTGTATGTGAGTTAGTTCTCTGTTACGAGAAACCTTCAGGTGTTTCCTATTAGAGCCCAATAATACCTCAAGCGAAATCGACTTCTGTCGTTGTAGTTCTATGATTTAAGCTTAAGTGATGAATCCGGATTGATTAAGAACCTAGTGCAACTCCCGTACGTAATAACGCGATATGGGATTGTATACCTCTGCGGTGAGTATAGAAAGCAAAGATTGGTATTGGGTCTAGCTCTACTCTTGAGTCGTCGACTTACCCTACCTAACAAACATAGACACAAGGAAGAAGAAAGCGATTACCTTGTTCCTTTTGATATTGAGCGCGATGATATGGCGAGGTCTTTAGCTAGAAAGTGAGATGGTGCCTCACAACTCGAATCACCTCATTCTTCACCTCGTATTGCACAGCACGCCAAGAGTTGTGCTTCTTCCTTCTCGGTGTACGAAGTGGTATTAGAAGAGGGTCTCCAATGAATTTTACCGTTATTGCTCTTGCACTGGGTATCGTTGGTTCAAGGGTACGCGGACTAGATCCCGATTGGGTAGTTCAATTGAAGATAGAGATGATATGCTCGGCTCTCCTAACCAGGGTTAGAATAACCACTCAGTTCAGTATCCAGTTAAACCATTTCCTCATTTTATGAGTGACATATACACTACAGCATACGATTGATATGATGTAAAGGCTTCCTACAAGGATTGAGCGAGATGAAGAAACTGATAAACGAAGTTGCTACGGACACTCGTCGGAGCATCGGCCTTTTTCTAAGTCCCGTAGATTAGGTCCTCACCAGATGATGTTTGAGTGCCGGATAAACACAATAAGAGGAAAATCTACAGCCCGGATATTTGGACGGGCAGGTTCTTTTGCACAGTGCCCCTGCTGTATGGAGCGGCTATCTTGGGGCCGGATAGGAAGGTGATGGCAGAGGTCATCATCCAGGATGGTAGCGTTATCAATACTCCCCGCACATCTCTCAATGGTCGAAGCGCTCTTAAAAAATACATATATATCATTAGATTCTTCGCGGGCTGTTGAAATTGTTTGGGTTCTCGGTGTCTACTGTTTTCTGCCACAAGACCGATGAGATGATTTCTCTTTCCTATCTCCTCACAGGGCTCACCCTTGTCACTTCAGCAATTTCAGTGCCTGACAATCAGCCCCTTGGTGACGAAGCTCCCAATAATCAAACTCTTAGTATCCCAAAACGTTTTATTATTGAGTTCAACGACGTACGAAACACGAAACAATTTTCTGCACAATAACAACACCACTAACAACTGTCCGCTAGAATGTCGATGCTGCTGACGCCGCTAATGAGTTGGCGAGAGTCAGCGGTAAGAAAGTTGTCAAAGTCTATGATAGCGAGGTCTTTAGGGGATGTTCCTTGGAGTCAGACGAAGACAACTCCGACTCTCTGCAGGCCCTGAATCCTGTCAGTCAAGTATGGCCGTCCAGAAAGTATCAATTAGCGCCGATCACCCCTTCCGTCGTTTTAACGGACGAGGCTATCATTACGAACTACTCCATTCATGCCATGACTGGCGTGGATAAAATCCATGGTTCCGGGGTCACAGGGAAAGGCGCACAGGTTGCAATCGTAGATACGGGCACCTCCTATAATCACCCAACCGTACGTGTCCCGATATTTCCAAAATCCATCAGCGTTTACTAAAGTTCACCCAGCTCGGAGGTGGATTCGGTAGCGGCTTCAAGGTCGCGGGTGGATACGATCTCGTCGGAGATGGAACATGGCCAGCAGCTGGGGAGAAAGAGCCAGATGATGATCCATTGGATCAGCAAGGTCACGGCACGCATGTTGCCGGTATCGTGGCTGGTAAATCTGACCAGTTTATTGGTGTTGCTCCTGACGCTACGCTCTATTCATACAAGGTTTTCAGCACCATTGATGGCACAGATGAGGACACTCTCATTGATGCTTTCATAAGGGCCTACGATGACGGAGCGGACATCATTACTTGTTCTATCGGTGCCGTGAATGGATACACAGACGGGCCATGGGCTCTGGTGGGCAACCGACTTGTCGAGCGCGGTGTCTTAATCACCATATCTGCCGGCAACTCAGGAAGTATCGGGGCTTTCGCTGCAAACAGTGGTGCAGCTGCTCCCAACGTCCTCGCAGTCGCCTCAGCCGAGCCGCTCACGATCGCAGTCCCAACCTTCAACATCACATATATCGATGGAGGGGCTGCAAACTCAAGCTGGATTCCATATAGTGCCGTAGAGCCATGGGACCAGTCACAGGTCAAGAACTGGCCGATCTACCCGTTAAGCCTAGAGCCGTTGGAAGATGATGCATGTTCACCACTCCCGGAAAATACGCCCGATCTAGGAGGAAAAGTCGTCCTTGTTCGCCGGGGCGGTTGCACTTTTGCTGATAAGCAGATCAGTCTGTTACCCTTCAACGCTTCTCATATCCTGTTCTACAGTAACGACCAGCCCCTGACCTCTCCTTCAACCCCAATCTGGGACAGTGTCGTCGGGATGATATCTGCAGAGAATGGTAAGGCCATCATAGATGTTATCAAGGCCGGCGGCAACGTGACGGCCGACTTCTCACACCGTGCCGATCTGCACTACGCCGGCATGGAGAATACTGACCTCCCTGGTCTCGCGAGCTCCTTCACATCTATAGGCCCTACCAACGATCTTTTCATCAAATCAGACATCACTGCCCCTGGTGGCCGAATTCTGTCGACGTATCTCAATGGCGGCTTTGCTATACTAAGCGGCACCTCAATGGCGTGCCCATATGCTGCTGGTGTCGCTGCTCTCTATGTTAGCAAATATGGCGGCCGCAAAGCTCAGGGCCCAGAATGGGCCAAGTCTCTCGCCATGCGGATTATTGCGTCTGGCGACGCCATCAAGTGGGACGACGGACTCCTCGAAGGCAATTCGTACGACTTTCTCGCCCCTGTTGCGCAGGTCGGCACAGGCTTGATCAACGCGACCAAGATTCTGGACTACAAGACATCGCTATCCTTTGCCAAGTTTGCTCTCAACGATACACACCATTTCAGCCGTTACCATAACGTTGAGATAACCAATAACGACGATTCGCCTGTGACATACACATTTACACAACAGGCTTTCGGCGGCATGAACACGATAGATACTGACCCAAGTCGCTGGGGCAACCCTCAAGTTGCCTGGCATGAGTATCTTATGGTCGACCCCCAAAGTTTGACGCCGCATGTTTCCTTCCCAGGAGGCACTTTCACGGTCCAACCAGGTGAAACCAAGAAAGCTGAATTCTCGTTCATGTATCCCGAGGCAACTGATCGATCCAGGCTTCCGGTTTATAGTGGTAAAATTCTCATCAAGGGAGACAACAATGAGGAGGTGGGCATCCCGTATCTGGGGCTCAGCGCCGATCTGCACAAGGATATCACCAGCATCTTTTCTTATGGAATGGGCTTCCCGACAATGACGTCCGGCCCTGCCAACACTCCTATTAAAGACAAAGCTACTTTCAGCTTTGACCTCGCGCCCGAAGCTCAAGAATACGTGAAAGCGTACGCCCGTCTTCAACAAGGAACGCGCCAGCTCAGGTGGGACATCTTTGAAGGTTCATGGAATGAGCGTGAGTGGAAGTACCCTCCCGTCATCGGCGAGGCCAAGTACGTTGGTTCTGCAACCAGCTGGGTCAATTCAGCCAGGGGCGTGGCTTTCGACCCTTCCAAGGATGACGCGAGTGAGGTGATCGCGCTGCCGGCCAAGGACGTCGCAAGAAGCCAGACTGGGTACCGTGGGGAGGATCTCTGGTGGCTCGGGACGCTCGCCAACGGGACGCAGATCGCGCCGGGGAAGTACAAGATGAGATTTGCCGCTCTGGTGCCGTTTGGCAATCCTTTTGCAGCGGACAACTGGGATGTATTTGACACGCCCGCGTTCGAAGTCACATCTCAAGCGAACTAAAATACTTATACAGCTAAACACTGTGCTACAAAGCAATCTCACCAAATGCTACTTCCATTCTGAAAACTGATCAATGATGATATAACTTAAGAGAGGTCTGAGTCTCGCCGCAGACAGCATAGCAATGAAAAGTTCATTAAAATGAGTAACCTCCCGAAATTATGAAGAAATACATTTAGAATAAGTCCCAGGCCGCTCCCGCGCATTCATGCATCTGGAAGCGGGTTGGTTCCTTCTGGCGCCCCGTGGGTATGATTACGGTGAAGCTGGAGCTCGTCAAATGACTCGAAAGACTGATCACATGTACCACAGGAGATTGGGATCTATATATACACTACTCAGTATAAACAAGACAAAGATAAATAGGAGTTGGGACGGGGTTACCTGTGCTCGAGCTTCAAGTTCAGCAGGCAGCCAGCTGACACTCTGATTGAAAACCATGAACAAGCCAACCTTTCCAAACTTCCCCTTATCCGTCCCTGCAAAGTGTTCTTCTTTGGCAAAGCCCATTATTTCATCTTTGAGGCTAATAAATGCCACCGGAACTTGGCCAGGAAGGTCCTCTTCGAGGTCAATCTCGCGTTGTGCATATACCTTCACCCATTTGTAGGCAACATAGGCGATAGAGGATGTGTTGAAAGATTTGCGGTCGGGAATGAAGATGCGTGCACTGTCCGAGCTCGTGCCCATTTTGGAGCGGAGCATCGAGGAGATCAAAGGCTCCTGGTCCTCAAATGGGGGATAGCCATTGGTCTCATCCATGCTGTTCGCCTCAAGGAATGCATCTAAAACAGCTACTGGGACCCTAAACCCGCGTAAGAGTGATGTAAATGTCATGGCCAACAGTTTGCAACAGGATTCGTCCGTGAATGACTGCGCCTAGACAGACCCTTGAAGGAAAAAAGAACAATATTGAGACTGGCTGAGGCTAGCTCGAGAATTGGAGGCAATAGCCCAACAACCCTGGCCCTTTCAAAGGGTCGAGGTCACTAGTTCAGGTAGTTCCAGGCCTCACGAGCACCATACCGGGTCTAAGACAGGTCTAAGACGGGTGAGGCGGCTGGGCTGAGCCCCCTGTTCATCTAGTCTAGAGCGGTCCGTCCCACAGCGAGGATGGCCTATCAATATCACAAGAGCACGATCAATCTACCACTAACCCACGCCGAGAGGTTGCATTACGAGGCACAGCTCGTCTGCTTAGTACTCGCAAGGGATAGGATGAGATGGATAGTATTGAAAACAAGCTTCACTAGAGGCTAGACCCCCAGAGTTCAGCTTCCAGGCCCCTGCCACTATTCCCAGACTAATGACATTCCTCGATATTTTGCCACTTTTGGCCGTCAAGCCGGCGCTATAGCGTCTCCAGCACCCGCTTTAGCCTTCGAGCTGAGAGGGAGCTGACGACGGTATTGTCAGTTGATCAGTTGGTAGGCTCTCAATGGTGGCGGCTAACGATGTTCACCAGTGACATATATATGACATGTAAAGCCATTGCCCAGAATATACTACCGATTCAACTTCGCCCATTTGACGAAAGCCTTCCACTACATCTCCCTGGTCCTCACTCAGACTTGAATTACCGCCCACCATGTCCGAGAATTGCAAAGCCTGTTCAGCGACTTACGCGCAGGGCAATCTTAGGAAGCGCCTGATTGTCTGCTGTGATGGGACATTCGGCGCGATCGACAAGGGAAACGACCAGTATGCTAGCAATGTAGCAAGACTATCCCGTGTCATCGCTCGGGTCGGCGTCAGCGATATCAACGATAAGCGAGAGAAGATTCCTCAAATCGTCTACTACCAGTCCGGCGTTGGTACTGGCGCAGTTGGCAAAGTCAACAAGGGCTACCAAGGTACATTCGCCTCCGTAGCATTGGGCTGCTCGTGATCTCTAGCTAATATGCTCCCATTTCAGGTGCTGTTGGAGGTGGCCTTGCCGAGAATGTGTGCGAGGCTTACAACTTTCTCGCCAACAATTGGGGCCCTGAAGATGAGATCTTCATCTTCGGCTTTTCCAGAGGTGCCTACACGGCGCGTTCACTGGCTGGCTTCATCTGCGAAGTAGGCCTCCTCACGCCTCTTCATCTGGACAACTTCTACGATGTCTATCTCGCCTACAAGACAAGAGGCAAGGACGCCTTTGGTAAGACAAAGTGGGCTCAAGGCAAGCTTGAGCCTGGAGAACTCGGCACGCTCCCTCCCCAGAAGGGCAGGGATCCGTATCCCTATGGCAGTCGCTTCGATTATCTGAAGACCATTTCCCACATGCACGTGCCAATCAAGGTCGTCGGTGTCTGGGACACTGTAGCTAGCATAAACGCCACCACTTGGTTTGTCCAGGCCGGCGACGACACATCATTTCACTCAACAAAGCTCCATCCCCGTAAGTCGCACACTCCCTTTGTTCAATTCGGCATTATGAGATAAAACATGATTTGTCTGACACAGTTGAGACGGGAATAGACATTGAGAACGCGTTCCACGCGCTTGCTATTGACGAGACTCGTGGAAACTTTCCACCAACTCTCTGGTACAAGGATTCGACCTGTCCAGACGTCAACCTGAAGCAGGTCTGGTTCCCTGGCTATCATTCAGATGTTGGCGGCCACAGCGCGAGCAACATCGACACCAACAGCGTCGACGAGATCGCCTTTTCGTGGATGATTGATCAGCTTCATGGCAAACTGCAGATCAGCGGTACCGCGCTCCAGAAGTATATTCTCTTCCGCCTCAGTGACAACAACTTCATCACGACCAACACCAAGGTCCGAGACATGGCGGTCGCCTGGTCAAAGGTCCAATGGAGTGACGGTACTCTTGAGGACACAAACCCATGGTTATCGGTTTGGTGGATCAGCTCGAGCGTTTCGACATTGTCAGCTTCCTACAAGCGTGTTCCGGGAGAAACTAAGGCGGCTGAGAACGGGGATCAGATCAAGGCCGAAAGATTCTGCGAAGAGATTCACCCAAGTGTTTACCATAGGGCCAAGCACTGGAGCAAGGACGGAAAGCGATATACGGCTGCTCCATTTGTTGAGGACAGGTACAAGAAGTGGGAGCATTTCGACGCCGACAATAAGGAGAAGGCGCGATGGGTGAAAACCGACAAGAGCACTAAAGAGAAACTTATCTTGAACGAGTATCAGATCCCCAAGAACGCGGATCTGACTGGAAAGTACAAGAAAGAGGTGGGGTATGACCACTGGGAGGGTAGTTTGGAGAGGACCTTTGCCCCTAAGGACGTACTCGCGGCACAGGACGCATTGTAATTCTGCATAGTTGGGTTGGGCGTTTTAATTTTGGTTGCGTGAGAATGAGAAGAGCGTGAGGTTATATCGATTAATAAGATTTTATATAAACGAATAAAGGTAGTAGTTCTGACTTTGAATTCTTAGTCGAGTCTCTGCCAATCATGCTTTTACTATATTCGTAATAGTGAACTTCTTTTCATTGTCGGATCATCACATTCCTCTCACATTGCAGCGACAAGACCACAAGCCTTCTACAAGTATGGGATGTTGAACAAAAAGAAAAAGGAACATCAAAGGAACAGAACTACTACCAGTTTTTCTGCGTTGAACTTTACATTCCTGTGTTTTTGTAAACCACTAGACTCACCATAGCAGTCAATTAATCAAGGACAGACAGTCGGAGATGAGCAGATGTAGGACCTCAACGAGAGACGAGAGCCGCAACCCTTCCACCTGGTTCAGTGATCTTAAATGGGAGAAAGAGACAAGCTCCTGGAACTCCTTAGTTTCTAGCTTTTTGTAGACTTGGTTACAGAATCCCACTAGAGTAGCAGACAAAGTGTTCAAATTATTGCGTGCAACTCTCGTCTGCCGGATGCTAAACCCCGCTGTAAGATGGCTTGCGAGCCACCCATTTCAATGGACATAAAAGAACCCCACCCAATACAACCATAATATTGAATATTGGAACTCCTTCAAGGCCACACAGTGGACGATCAGCAGTGTGAGCCACCTGAGCCGAATCCTGTCGCGCAACATAGGGGCGGGGTGAGTGATTATTTGTCTCAGTGTGAAGAGACGGCCAGCTCCCAAGACTACATCTAACAACACCATCCATCTCCCTAGCTCCAGCCCTACGAAGACTTCAGTGGAACGCAATGGCAGGGATCATAGTTGAGACTCCGAGGCTGCAGCTAATGCAGCTCAATTCCAACGCGGAGGGCAGCGTGCACTTGGACTTGTTCCACAATGTCTGGCGTGACAAACAGGCCACCCAGTGGAGGTGAATGAAGCTCCCATACCGTCTCATTCTTTCTCTAATTTCTCAAACAGTCCCCATGGCCCGTGTGAAAACAAGATAGCTAGCCAAGCTTGGATGGCAGGTGTGATACCTTCAACGACAGCAGATCGATCCGGCGAACGTGTTTGCTATGCAGTACTTCTCCGGCAAAATAGACCAGAAGTTAAAGGCCACGGTACCGTGGATGATGATGGGTCAGAAAGTATCGGCATCCTCACACTGCTACCTTCAGAACTGATCAAAGAGGGGTTGCTGGGCAGCCCAAAAATCAACGACGCGAGCCGAGCTATTGGCCTTGAGCTTGGATATTTGTTCCTACCGTCAGCATGGGGCAAGGGCTTTGCAACGGAAAGCATCAAAGCCTTGTTGGAACATTACTTCAGTGAAAAGAGGAAGAGTAACCCTCAGGTGATGATACAAATACAAGCAAACGTACACCACGACAATGTTAGAAGCCTCAAGGTTCTTTATAAGCTTGGTTTCAGTACTTTAGAGACAGTAGTAGGCGAAGATGTAGTTTTTATTGGAGGGGCGAGCCGGAATAAGTCTGTGGTCAAGCTTTGGAAAGCTCTATAGCATCACGTCAAATTTCAATATATCACCACCCGCACTAGAGACATACATCTGCCCAGGCCTCTGGCAGACACAGCATGAGGGTTCTCAATGCTAGAGAGGGCGCCAAACCAATCATGTTGGGTGGAATGTATGCCGTGCCGTTCTTGGCGCAGCATCTCACGGATCCCACTTACAATGAACCAGAATCAAACCCGCCCTTATCCGGTACAGGCGATTTGGCTCGAGAGTTTGTAAACTTCAAGTCTCGCCATTTTGTATTCTTTTGGCTAGATAGGTACCAAAAAGACTACTAAAGATAGGTTGCCAAGACGAACGACTGATGTGGCGGTGGACATGATAACTCAGCTTCCTTCGTGCCGCAGGACAAGTGGCACATCATAGCCCGAATAAGCCAGCGGCTGCAGGGCGGGTGAGCTTTCGGTTAGCATTCATATTTTGCACAACGTGCATACTCTGCGGCAGCCTAACTCCCTCCATTCATGTCAGCCCAGGCTCAGCTCGTGTCTTGCTTTTTGGTGCCTCAGCCCTCCCACATTCCTCTCTCCCTCATCTACCATTTTCAAGCAAGAAGCGGAGATATGAACGCACCATGGAGCCCATCTCTGTGGTTGCTGCGTCGGTAGCGCTCGCGGCGGGCATCGTGAAGACGGTGGCCACCGTGGCAGAGATATCCGTCGACCTGCGCGACGCATCTGATGATTTACGCGACATTTCGAATGAGCTGGCCCTTTTCCAGGCCTTTATTACCCCACTCACCACTGGGCTCTCCCGCTTCGGCGCCCAGACCAACCCGATGCTTGTCCCTCTCCTGGAGCAGATCAACAGCGCTGTTACCGGTGCGATGGCGGTAGTTGAGAAGATCGAATCGCTCTTGGTCAAATACCGGGGGCGATTGACACTCTGGCTGAAGCTGCGGTGGTCGCTGTTTGGGGTCGATCAGATTCGGAAGCTGAGAGAATCGCTCGAGTCTTACAAGGTCGCGCTGGGCATCGGCCTTCATCTGATGTCAATGTCGGTATGCACCCACCAACTCTTGCAGCTTCAATTAACAAATCGAGCAGTTATATTGTTGGAGAGGTGAAGAACGATACCGAAGTGATCCGCGAGGTGGCCGAGGTGGTCAAGATCCTTCAGAAAGACGAGATCCTCAGCCGTCTCGTTACGCAAGCATCGCCGACGGAATCGCAAGCCAAGGTGGAACAGTGGCTCGAGAAGATGGCAGACTACACGACGTGCGGCGAAACAGCCTACCAGGCCACCATTCTTGATCCAGATGAAGAGCCGGCAAGACCTGCGATCCCCACCAATCCTATCCCGGAGTTACCTGCACTTTCACTGAGTACGAACGACTCACAGCTCGATAGAAAGGATGAAGAAGCACTGTCAAGATTCGATAATGAGCCATCCGAGAGTTTTCAAGGTGGAGAGAGCAGCATGGGGTTCAATTCCCTGCTGAACAAACCATCGACCACACACTTATCTACGGTCACCAGGTCAGATCTTGCAAGCACACAAAGCAATGAGGTCACTAGCATTTCCCGGACAACACTTCTTTCTTCATTTGACCTCGATGTTCAAAGCCAAGCCGGCATGAGTGAAACTTCTCTTCTTACCTCGCCGGTCCCAGAGCCTTCCATAGCAGCTCCAAGCCCTCAACCGCAGACAGAGCGAGAAAACGGCCATCCCGGGCCGCCGGCGGACAATAGCACAGCTAGAAAGATAAATTGGCAGCCATTGGTTCCTAGTTTCGTTACTGAGTTGCATTTTAAAAATATTCAGAATTCTACGCAATTAGACATGGATGCTATCCAACTGTCGGAGAGGAGAAGACATGCACTATCCGACAAACACCGAGAGCAAGTGGACGCAATGCTTCTACGCAAGCTTTACCAGAACCCAGGATCTCTCAAGATGAAGAGACGATTATTCTGTGAGACATTGCTCAAGAAAGGAGCCTCCATTGAGGGATCAAACGAGACCTCGACCAACCCGCTCAATGAATTAATAGCCCAGCGAGACTGGGAGACACTCTGCCTGTTATTGAGATATGGCGCCGATCCAAACGGGTGTACACTCCTCGATCCTCGCCAGCCGCTGGCCGTTGCCGCATGCAACAGCGTGACCTGCTTGTGCGCTTTGATTCTGGCCGGAGCAGATATCCAGGCCACGGAGCGGAGTGAAGACGTCTGCAACCGATTCTGCGGCTCGGGGAGGGAAATCGGTGGTCGAATCTACTGCGCACCGCTCCTCTCGGCCTTTGCAGCAGTACGCCAGAAGGGCCATATTAATATCAAACAGTTTTGGATCACCCACTTTCTTCTGAAGAACGGAGCCAATGTCAATTTCGAGTCGTGCACTACGGTGATGGATTTCATGGTCCAGAGATGGCCTGTTGCTAGCCAGTATCGAATGGCGCAGCATTTTCTCAAACATGGCATTAACATATCGAGCCCCGGCCCGAAAACCCAGCTTCAGGAAGCATGTATTGCGGGAGAGACACGCCTAGTTCAGTTACTGATTGATCATGGCATCGCTAGGAAAAACCCCTTTCTCGGAGAATCCCCAGAGACGGACCCGATTATCCTCGCCGCAGCCCACCAGAACTGGAATTGTGTTGACATTATAATGAGTTCCGTCACGAGCGCGATTCACTACTTCAATCTGGTTCAGGTCTTCATGTTAGAAAGTCCACTGGACCTGTCATGGGAGGTGTTCCGGCGCACCGTGGGCAAATTTCATGCGAATTCGCATATCCACATTGCAGCACGATTAGTTTGGCATTATCCGCGGCAGATCTTGGATTCCAGTGAACACGATGCTGTTAGTGAGGATATCACAGTAATAGAACTCGGGGAAAGAATTCTCAACGAGAACAACCGGGATCGCTCGCAGGTCCTTCAGTTATTGAGAGGGGAGGCTGGTGTTGTTGAAGCTATGCTGGAGGGCAACTGAGGCTCTAGTGAAGGGCTGAGTGGTCATAGTACGAATACCTTTCCCTGAGTTCAGATGAGCTTGATGATATCGATTTGGTTTTGTGAGGTGGTGTTATAGGTTTTTTTTTAAACGGCCCCAGGGTATTGAGGAACTCATGGTAAGGGATAGGTATGGGTAATGAGATGGTTTTTACTTGTTGTATTTATGGTCATGATGGTGGTTGATGCCGCCCTAGAGAATTGATTTTGATGTTATGCGAGCTGTTTGAAGCCGGCCCAAGCGACGATATCCTCCCCAATCACTCTTGAGCTAGGTGTTGAGGTATAGCACTAGAAGGATAATAAGCTACGCCGAAAATATTCAAGTGTCATATACATATACTACGGGGGTTCTAAGATAAGCAGAGGGCTTCTTCTCCATCATGTTGGTGAAGCCTACCACCGCTAGTCCTGCAACGAATGACCAACTCTCTAGGGTTTTCTGGGAAAGTATTGGTTCCTTCCATTGGAGCCGATCTAAGATGAAATGGAAATGGGAACGGGAACTGGGGAACCATGCGCACCTCTTCCGGCCTGGCCCTAGTACTAACTAAACCTGCATTCTCAGCTTCATCCCCGCAATATGAATTTAGAGAAAACTCCCAATTGATATGATATAATCGAGCTGATTAATGAACTACTGCAGAGGTCTAATGAAAGAACAAAGAGCCGGGCCAGTAAGTGTTGAGATTAAAAAGTACGTAACTATATCAAACATTGGACCCGCTAGTTACACCGGAATCTCGCCATGTTCCTCTAGAAAAGCTATAAATAGCATTCCGGTGCCTGCCTCAAGATACGATGCGGAGGTTCAGTATCTAGATTCATGCTGAAGATTGCAAAGCTTTACGCCTTCATGCAAAGACTCTGACCCAGTCCAGCAAAGTAACGGCAGTAATTACCAGGGCAGCAATCACTTTGAACTTTGCAGCCGCCTAGAAGAGTCAGAAAGCTGTGTGAATCAATATTGATGGCAGACATACCGATACTTCTGCACCTTGGCTCGAGGGGAGACCTTGGCTCGGGGGGAGCGGCGGGAGACGCGGAGGCGAGAGCGAAAAGGCCGGCGATGACAAAGAAGGGCTTCATCTTGGCTTTGGAAAGCTAATTCGAATTCTTGTGGGTAGGTAGAGTGGGAGATTGATTCGAGAGAAAGAAAGTGAGAGAGTTGTTGGAGTTGGATGGATTTCAGGAAGGGTGAGGGAGAGGGCTGTATTTATACACGAGGGAGAAAGAATATCTTGCCCCTCTTCTATCGACTGGAAGGCAGCCCCTCATACTCTTTGTGGCCGGTGCAATCATGACAGAATTATGCCGTTGGTGTGCAGCGTGACTGGCAATGGGGCGAGTTGTTCTGTCTCACTTCTTACATGACCGAAGCTGCAGCCAGGGCTTGGCAATGTGATGTTCCGCCGAGCAGGGCAACAGTTCACCCAGTTTGGAGCTGGATAATACGAGCAGTGGCTGCTGAGAAAGCCTGTGAGTTTGGGTTTACCGTCAAAAGGCCATGCCGAGAAGAAGCGAATAAAGGCGCTTGATACTTGATGACCACAACCCTCTATTCTTGTTGCTAGGCTACTAATCAGAACATACCTCAAGTTTGATACAGATCGCAGTGCGCGTATTATTTCTAACGGCAATGCATGTCGGATGCATTCCAGTTCCCGGTCTCGGGCGTAAAGTGCAACCATGGATCTCAGCTGAAGGCCAGTATGAAGCTGATAGGACCGACAACCCAGACAATGGCGTTTAAGTGCGCCTCTGCATGTTGAGCTCGCCCGAACGAGCTGGAGCTGAAATCTTGGCGAGCCCGTATCTACCTAACTTAGGAAGGATGTCTGCAGCTGCCCGAGGCATATTCGTCGGATGCCGGCACAGAAGCGGGTAGTCCCTTGCCAACAGAGCAAAGGCTAAATACCTAGCTGAGACAGTTGACATTTCAAGCAATCTATTGGTCTACTCGCTCCGCAATCGGGGTAACTATCCCGGTGAACCCTGGCAAACGTATGTGGCTGTGTGGAACCATTAATTCCGGGGTAGTCTTGTACGTAAAGGTACTGTGTTATACGGAAGAGAGGTGTCATCAGCCCATAGAATAGCTCAGCACCTGGATGAAAATCGGCCTGTTCCGAAGCGGGGTAATATTGGCAGTAAAAGTCTTTAGCTGTGTTCCTCCATGTGTTATGTACTCGCGATACAGATTGACCTCTAATGTCTCCAGAGTAGAGTGTGGTCCCCCGAAAAGTTCGGTATGGGCAACTCCCCGTCTTGTAGTACCTCTGGGGAGAAATTTTGTATGCAGGGTGCTCACCAAAACAATGTCGATAGAGGCAATATGTTTCATCATCATCTGAAGTCGGTTGGAAGCTTTGACAAGGGTACATCTTTTGGGATTGGTCCTGGTGTCCCATCTGGTTAGCTGGGACATCAAGCTTATCCATTGTATGGGCTAGGAAATATACTAAGCACCAACCCGTCGCAAGAGTTAGTATATAAAGTGCTATTATCCTATGAAAGTGCTAGTACATCAAGTGCTATCCCCTGGATGGACTAGTACATTAAGGGCTATCCCATGAAAGTGCTATCCCATGAAAGTGCTGGTACTTTGAGTGCTGTCTCATGCATGGGCTAGTACGTGAAGGGCTATCTTATTGGAAGGGCGTATACTAAGTGCCATCCGTACATTCAGCCAGGCCAAATTCTGGGCCGAGACCCAGAAGTGGGCCATCTTGCAATCAAATGGCTACAAAATACGAAGTTGGTCTATGGGTTATTGAGGTCTTCATATTCGGCTTATAGCCCGGTGCACCTTGTTTCTCTTACTCAAACTCCAGAAAGTATCCAGCAAAATGATGGCGGGGGATTTCTTCCTGTTTATATCTAGGTAGGTAGGGAAGCACTGTGCTCTCACTAGCAGAGTTATTAACCCATATATGTATACTTCTCCCGGTCAGGGTAGTATAATGATAGAATTATTCCATGACTGGAACACCAAAAAAAAACCTGAAAGATCAGTACTCTAACAAAATTAGACAGCCTCACCGAGAGCGAGCACAGGCGTGGTGGCTTCTGTGGAGAGGATGATGTTAGCACGCGAGCAGCATCAGCATCAGCAGCATCAACAGCGGGGCAATTGATAGCTGTATCTGGGGACTCAGCCCGAGGTTTCCCCATTGGTCATTGCGCTGGACAGAGAAAACTCTCTTGAGAGTCTTGGCCGAAACACCAGCCAAGAGCACAGCATGTCGTGTCGTGATGCTCATCACCGCCACGGCCATGAAGAAATCCATCGCCTGCACAGCTTGCAGGGCGTCGAAGCGGAAAGTGCGTCAATTGAAGCCATGCCACCCCGGGACCTAAGTCGCTCACCTCGCTGCGCAGTGTATCAATACCGGCGAACCGCCCTGCGACCGGTGCAAGGGCCGAGGCGATGAGTGCATCTTCCCACCGCACTCGCATGCCTCGGGCCTCTCCGCCCAGCGCGCCCGGGCTGGCCGGCGGGAGTATCCCATTGGGAGTCCCCTGAGTCTGGCGAGGATCAAGCTCCAGGACTCGGCGCCGGCAACTCCCTCTTCCTCTGCCGCTCCTCTAGACAACCCCTTCAGCTACCTGACAGATGAAGTCAAGTCGTGCTACGTGAGATGCGCCTACAAGTGGTCCTTCCACCACACGCCCAGCCTGCTCTCCAGTATACACAGGCAGACTCTTGATCACTGTCTTGCATGGGCCATTCTGGCCATTGCCGTGCGGTGAGATACCATCCCTGCCCGACCACCCGTGATTGATTAATGTCTCGTCCCATCCAACTTACATTTCTATGCTTTGCCCAGCTTCTCGCAGTTTTCTCCGACTGGCTACCCGAGCCAGATTGATGCCAGCAACGCGTTTGCCTCGCGCGCAAGGTCCCTCATCCTGCCACATGTGGATGAGCCGACTCTGCAGCGCATCCAGGTGCTTCTGCTGCTCACGGGTCACTCCTGGGGTGCAGGAGAAGGGAAGCGAGCATGGTTCTATCTAGGCATGTCTGTCCGAATGGCCCAGTCCTTGGGCCTATTTGACGAGGATCCACCGAGCCCCGACCTGTCCAGTGAGGAGTTCATAGCAGCAGAGGAGCAAAGACGGACCGTGTGGACTTGTTTCCTCATGGACAGTATATTGAGTGGCGGCAAAGCTCGAGACCGAACATTGTCTGCTGAGAGGATGAATATCCAACTTCCTTGTGACATGGACACCTTTAACTTTGGCGAGCCCGTCAGGTGTGAGATGCTGGACGGTTCTCTACCTCCCGGGGACGATGTTCCTGTTGGAAATCTGGACCTCATTGGTTATACGATGCGTGTCGCTAACGTATGGGGTGACGTAGCAAGATGGGCTTGCGCATCCCATTCAGATGAGCCTCCCCCGTGGAACCCTCAGTCCAGCTTACAGAAACTTCTCGCCCGGCTTGAGGACTGGCGAGCCTCACTGCCAAAGCGTCTCAGATACAGTCCGCATCTTCTCCGAGCACACTCCGTATCGAACCAAGGCCAGGCGTACTGCTACATGCACGCCATCTACCATGTGTCCATCATCTGTCTCTACCGCTCCTACCTCCCAGAAGTCGAGATGGGCCAGCTACGCAACAACAAACCAGCAGAATGGGAGCAGTGGTCGGTCAACTCGAGCGAGGAGCTCGTAAAGATGGCAGAGCGGGTCTGCGAGATGCTCCACGAAATGCGAAACTTTGGTCTGTTCTTCCTGCGCGGGCTTGTGCCTTGCGTCGGGTTCGCGAGCTACACGGCCGTGGGGGCACTCCTGTTCTTCTTCCACTTCCCGTTTCCGGGGGCGGAGGAGGCCCGGATCCAGTCTTGGCGGACTCGTGTTGTGGAAGGATGCGATGTTCTCAAGGAGATGAGACAAGCATGGCCCATGGCCGACACTTGGGTAAGCACCTCTTCCCTCCGCGCACCTGAAAAATTTCAAGTAAAATCATACTAATTTGGGTGATGTGACAGAGGAACACTATCCAAAGGATGCAATTCTTTTACTCCAACATCAAAGCTGGAGGAGACACGACAGTAAGCAACACGACGGAAGGCAAGGCGCTGCACAATTCTGTCATCGACTACGGCGCCTTGCAAAACTCCCCAGTTGGCCAGCCTGACCACTCTGAGCCCGAGAATAGCTCGAGCCAAGGCCAGGGCGCAACCCCAGAAGATGGCCAGCCGCGGGCATTTCCGGGGTTGGTCATGCCGTCTCCTCAAAGCGAGTTCAGCAACGAGAATGAAGCCGAGGCTGAGACAGAGGCATCGGGTTTCGTCGGCCTGGAGCCATTCGCGACGGATGTATCAATGTTGTCTGATGCGGATATGTACAATACCATGAACATCGACATGGACCTGGCTGTGCCTCCCATGTTTGTCAATGTTTCACAAGGATTCTGGGGTGGCTTTCCTGAGGAAATGGAAACGTAGCTGGGAACGGATATGGAGGGGCCTTTCTTTTTCGGTATGGGTCAGGTTTATAAGTAAACGATACCATCTCGAGTCATGTTTTTCTCGACGACAGGGAGGATTCTTTCAACTAGGGGCGTTTTATGAAGGGCGATTTTAATGGCTATTTTATCCAGGCACCGGGGTAGTAACAACGCTTGTGATTTATCGAGAAGATGTACGTGTTTTCAGTACGCCTATTAGTTTATTTAGTCATTGCCTCGTTCCATGCGTCAGTTATTCAGTGCTGCCTCGTGTCTGGCTTGTCTGTGAAAACTTCATTAGATGATACTGGGAGCCGTCCAAAACATCACAAGCACCCGGAAAGGTGCCCGGTTAGCTCAATCGGTAGAGCGTGAGACTCTTACGAGTTCACATCTCAAGGTTGCGGGTTCGACCCCCGCATCGGGCTGTTCCTATATTGAACGATTGATAACATTTTTTTTTGGTTTTTTTTTTCTCATTTTTTGCTCATGTACCGTCTTTTTTTTTTTGGGGACCAACACGCGTATTGGGCAGCCTACCCTGCACAAATGTTCCCAGCAAATGTGAGAAGAGCGTGCATGAAGGAATACGAACTGCGGTGTGGCCCATTCGATTCGATTCGTGCCACCCATGTGAGTGAATTCAAATGACTCGCCCTTTTGTCCAAGAGCGTGATGATGCGGCGACGAACGGCCAAGCTCTGTTGTTCTTGGCGGTCATCATTTATTCAATCGTTCCGCCCGACACTAAACCTCCACCCACCTGCAGAGTGGACTGATGGGGAAATGGCAGGGGTGGATAGCTGGTGAGAAAATAAAGAGAGGCTCGACGATTGATTCAGATGCAATCCAGCCGAATCAATCATGTGACGGAACCATCTGGATGCTAACCGCCAGCTTTCTTCCTCCCACCCGCGAGATATCCAGATTATCTACGCCGCACACTAGGCCTAATAGGCTCACACGGGATACGCCTAATGCCTAGAACCAGAGTCTTACTCCGTTGTTTGCTCGTAGGGCCAGGCCAAGAGCTGAGGCTGCGGGGAGCGTGCAAATTGGAAGCTGGCCTCAGACACGGCCCTGCCCATGATCGCCTCACCCCTGCCACAGGCCTCCAACTGCCAGCACTCAGTCGTTTTTTACCAACTAAGAGGTCTCATGTCCAGTAATGCCAAGGCTCACTAGCATACGCCCGCCAAGAACCTACTGCGGGTTCGCCGCGCGTCACTCCTTGGCTGGCAGGCAGTTACTCGTGCTTCGAGTCCCTTTCTTTCTTGTGCTTTCCCAAGCGAGAAGCAGCAAGTTGCGTCACTCCGACCGGTAGATGAATTAAAATTAAGCTTATTGTCTCTGGTACCTCGAACGGCCCAGTTCCGTCCAAACCTTCAAAAGCTAGCCTCCCCCTCTGCTGCCCCCTCCCCCCTTGTACTCCGTCACTGTTTCATTCCTGCTCCTCGTACTCTTCTGTATCACTCATCTCTCCATCCAGCGCATGTTGCTGCTTAATCGTGTTCGTAAGGCCATCTCAGCAAGCCAAGTTGGGCTCGAGCCTCATTCTTGGACGCTGCCATCCCCCTCGTCTTATCCCACCCCCAAGCCGGGCGGCAAACTCCAGACAGTGATCCCAAACCCCAAGATCTTTGCCAACGCTCACATCCCGGGCCACATCGAGTACAACACCGAGAAGAACCCTCTTGTCTACCCTGACGTCAGCCACGCCGCTGTCCACCTCGCTCTGCTCGAGTGTTTCCACAACTTCCGCCTCAGCGCAACCGAGGTCGAGCTTGACTGCCCCCCTGCCTATGAGGAGAGGCTGTCTGACGATGATGGCGCCGAACCGACGCCCCACGACACGCACCGATGGCATACCCTGATCCGGCTGGCCGTCACGCGCTTCGAGGCGTGGTGGGCCAACATTGACGCCGTCCTCAACCACGCCGCCATCTACGCCTACCGTCCCACCGAGCGCATCGGCGTCCAGCTCACAAAGGACTACCTCCCCCCCTCGACGTCCTCTTCGTCTGGTACACCTTCATGCTCGAGACCGACGCCTACCGCCTCGAGTGCGGCGACCCCCGCCACTCCGACCACGTCCGCCAGCTCTGCTTCCCCTGGGCTGCTCTCCGCGAGGTCCTCGACGTCCACACGATGGAGTACGCGCTCCCCCGCGCGGCCCAGGTGCTCTTCGACACCATGTCCGGCCAGTCCGCCGAGCTGCCCTCGTACCTCCGCGACCCCCCCGCGTACGCGGAGCTCGACATGCCCCTGCACGTCGACCTCTTCGACGTCGCGAAGCGCCACGACGAGTTCATAGACGAGGCGCACAGGCTCCTCTGGATCCGCGGCCCGTCGCTGTATGGATCGCTGGAGCGCGCGTCGGTGGCCTACTTCGCCCTGCAGCTGCTGGAGGGCGGCGAGGCGATGGACGGCGACAGGGCTCTGCATTTCGGCGTCGAGCTCATTTGGAGGACGCACCGTCTGTACTCGGAGCAGTACGAGTGTTTCCAGCGTGTGATGAGGGACTACCCGAAGCACGAGGACGGGCTCGACTTCGAAACGACCCAGCAGAGGTCAGCCACAATGTCCCCTGACACGTCGGAGCCTCTGGACGTGCTGGACTCGAACGAGTCCTCGTCCTCTTCCTCCTCGGAGATTTGCATCTGCTGGACCTGCGAGCGCATTAGAGACGATGTGCCCGAGTTTGTCCACCCCGCGCCTTCGCCCGAGGGTGAGCCCGGCTCGCCCACCGTCCCCTCGCAGCTGGTCGGGCTCTCCTCAGCGCAGATCCGACAGATCCTGGACGACCTGGGCTTCTTCAAGGCGGTCGAGGCGGCCCGCAGCGGCGGGCGCGCACTGCCGGTGCGGTCATCCAGCGGATCGGAGCAGGACGCGGACAAGGTGGCCGGGTCCATGGCCGGGCTGTTCGAGTACTTTGAGAGGATGCCCGACGGGACCTACAAGGTCCGGAAGCAGACGCAGGCCGTGGCCTGGAGCGGATTGCAGGCGTAGAGCCTGCCGAGCTGGGGATGAGATGGGGCGGTGAGAGTCGCCTTTTGATTGATTCATTGATTGAGATACCCAGCCACTGTGCGAGCAAACAGATATACTTTTACATAAATATATTACCTTTTTCAAAAGTCCCTTGACTATCTTTCTAGCTTCGCTTGGGAATTGTGAAGGGTGAATAACGCGTCACAGGTGGATCATCGAATAAAGCCTGGAATGGTTTGACTTCACTTTGCCTCGGATGCATATTAATTTGTCTCCTAGCAGTGACGGCTTTTTGAATTCAAATATTTCTTAGATCTATATCTATCTACTTTGTTACACGGTTGTGATTAGCTTGACACAAACCATGTCTGGCTCCATACTGAGAGCGCAAGGCAATTTAAGAATTTCAGAAACAAGAAAAATGATAAAGAAAAACTACGTAGATATTCTATACAATCGAGATATACTGCCACCGGGGATTTCCTCTTCTCATCACGGCGAACAGTGTGCGATGACTGGAAACCGACACAGGAAAAAGTCCATATCGCGTGTATGTGTTTTCCCTCGAGGTCGGGTGAAGCGCCATGACAAATATGTTCAAGTTGCCTGCGACGATGGCGAATAGCTTTCTTACGACTAAACCAATCTCAGCTCGATTCGTGATATCTACTGACCACCTTCCTTGGAGTGGTGCATGCTGGCCTTGGTTGTCATCTAGACCGACAAGGCTGTGCACGTCCTTGTCTTGACGAACCAAATTACCACCAAAAACGACCGTTACCATATGGAGGGAAGGAAGTTGAGGAAGGGGATCAGCTGCTACGTGGCAGTTAAGGTGAACGCTGTGGTTTCTCATCCAGGGTTGAGAATGGAGAATATCCAGGGGCTCAGCCAACGCCAATCTCTTAGGTACATAGAAAGACCGCCTAGGTAATACCAGAACATCATGCCCTTCTAGGCAAGTAAAGTTAAAGAAGCAGCTTCAGCCATTCTCCTCTCCATTATCAAGGAAATAAACCTTAGTTCCCGCAGATGCCCAGCTCCAGCTCGGCACGAATAGTTTCCGATTGCGTGGCTGTCGCTTCTGGAAGCTCTCCTCGTGCTGCCAAGTCAATGCCGTTTCAAAGAACTGAGGCGGGTGTCCATGTTTGAGCAACGCTCTCTCTGGGAACTGGCTACCAGGATTCCCACCGGACAGGGTTATCAAGCCAGCAAATGCAATGACCCTATCCTCCTCGACCGTAAGGCTTCTTGATGTGTACTCCTCTACCGCGCGTACGAAATCCCTTGCCGATAGGGCGTGGCCAGAGTCTGGAAGTGTAGAGTGAATCTTAGCATTTATCTCGGCTGCAACAATAGGCGGAGTGGCTCCATTATCACCCCATCCGGAGCCTGCAGCGCCGGAGGAGAAATGCAGCCTTGAAGATTCCCTAAATGTTCCCTTGCAGCAGCTGAATATCATCTCGGTAGGGAAAATGTAGAGAACGCGACTGGAGAAGACTTGCTCCTCAAAGGTCCAGCCTCTTCTGCGCCAAACACAAGGTTCATACAATGCATTGAAGCTCGGTTGGCTAGAAAGCAAGCTGAATCTCTCGGGTCCATTCGTCACTTCTACTATGCTTTCTTTCTCCCGCGGCGTACTCTTTGTTCCCGGAAGGCCATTGTGGGCTCCATCTCCTGCGGCTGATATGATGGTCAGTTGCGCAGCCGCAAAAATGTCCTTGATGTACGGTATCAGAAATGTCTTCTCTGTTTCGTCACTTTGGTTAATACACATGCGGTCCACCCAAAGCCACGCAATATTCATGGACCCGGCGAGCTCAGCAGCATCTCGTATGGACGGTGCATAATCCGCTATGGTCTTCGATTCAAGACTCGGGGTAAGGTGCACCGTCTGGCCCCAAACATAAGATAGGGCGACGAAAGGCACCAAAGAATCATGGGTTTCTATTTGTCCTGTAGTCGTGTTGATAGCTCTCAGTACTCCACGTCGCAGCACCTTACCAATTCGAGAATTCTGATCCAGAGGATCCTGCGGATGAAGGTGCTTAGTGCTGCAATCGTAAAGCCACTGCCGGAGCAGGTTGACATCGGCTATGGGAGGGATAGGGGCTCTCTCTGCGTTCGGACCAGTGCTATTCGACCCTATGACATTCATCCATGGGGCGACGGCGGGTTTGAATTTGGTCCGTTTTAGTGATTCTCCGGACAATATATCACTAATTTGCTCGGCGTTGTCTTGAAGGGGGGATAAGTCTGACTCTGGGATTTTATTGTGCCCATTGCCCTTTTTGGAGTCCAAGGCTGTAGCAGAATCTAATTCTGGAACTTTAGGTAGCTGTAGGCGACGTTGCATAAAGCGGAATTTCAAAATCCGTCTTCGGTTTGAATCTGCCAAGCCTCGTACTGCTGCGATAAGACGATGTCGTGCACTTTTTGCTGATGGCACAGGATATCCCCATCTGACTGGCTGGGGAATTTTCAATTCCTGGAACCAGACAAGTATCTGGCCGCTGTGCTTAAGCTGGCTCTCCAGCACTCCTTTCCCAGCCGAATCTGAGATGGGTATATATGACCAATGGAGTTTAGGTCGAAGACAGCATCGCACACTCGGCAGTCTGTCGGCGCTGCCGCCGGTTCGCTTAGCACACTCCGCGAGGAGGGTACAAAGAGAGCAGCTGTGGGACTCGATATCATTCTTTGGATAAAACTGATCAATAAATATCGCTGCCTTGTCCTCGTATGCGCTGGCTGGTTCAGACGAAGATACCATGCTCTGTGTTGGCCCTAAGAGAAGGGGGCTTAGATCAATATGGCGACAATCCTCACAAAGCGTGTCATGAAATGATGGAGCAGGAAGGAAGTGACCATCCAGTCCATATTGTGTCAAATCCATGATTTAGGACCTTGAAATTAGACTTAGAGCACCAATGAGCTAATGATTCTTTGTTTTTGTCTTTGAGTATAACCATGATTCAATGACTCGCGAATTCTTGTGCTTCTGATACTGGACGTGCGGGGAACTCATCATAAGTTTGCCTTGCAAGGCTGTGCCTGTAAGCTGACTCATCTTACCAAGTTTTGAGGAGCAAGAAGGCTGATGTAGATCTTGATAGAGGAATTAGAGATACAATAACTCGGGTTTTTGCCGAAGCAGCAGCAGATCACTTGTAATCCAGGGAAACGCTAAGACCAACTTCCCATTCTAGATATAAACAAGTCAAATGGGTTAGAGATCTTCAATTCCGTTGCTTGTCATAGCCTTGGGTTTTGAGAGAACACGATTTTATAGGATAAGGATAAGGAGCCAGAGATTCTGAGCTAGAATGTAGAATGACTTTCGCTGGCCATTTGGCTTGTTGGGTGGTTGTTTAACACTCCAGGTCCAAGGCCGCTCAGAAAACTCAAAAGTTATTGAATGTTTCTTCCCCTCTTTTCTTTTCCGTTTGGAAGGCTTGGAGGGGATTTGTGTGGTGTAACTGGAACCAAAATTACCTACAAAAAGCTACTGGTTGACAAGTGATAAAACCATGCCATATCTGACTACCCGTTGATGGCTCAACAATTGTGAAACTATTGGTGAGCCTCAACCCCTAACCCTCGGAGGACTGTCAAAGTTCAGGCTACCTACTGACTTATGAAGGATGATTTTCATCTCCAAGCGATTGAAGATCCAGTCTCTTCGTCACAAAGACTCATTATCCGACTCAACCGCAACCAGTGACATCACGCAGCCAAATTTCGAAATAGAAATCTCTTTGGAGCATAGACACACTCAGTGACGTCACGATAAAAATAGAATGGTAATAATTAACTGCGGAACCTGAGCGGATATCTTGGTTAGAGGATTACAAGAGTGACATTGCCAAGTTCCGCTCCCTCTTAAGTGCCGTGAATTTTGGTGGACCCAGACGTTTTCCACGGCTCAAGATTCAAGAAGATAAGGGTGTTTTATTTTAGAGTGGGGTTTAGGCTGTTAAAGAAAGGAGCCGGCCTCGTATTTTAAATTGATACGAGAGGAAAAGGGACCCCTGGCCCACCGGCTGGGGTTGCATCACAAATCTCCTTTCCATGATTGGAGCGAGTATCGGGCTTTCCATATCTCAATCTGTTCCTAAACCATCTACGGCCGGGCCGTCCCCGCCAAGACAATTTTGTAGGCTCCGGGTTGCCTAAAACCTGGTCGCGATGACTGGAGAAGGTAGGAGATTAAAATAGGGAGTTGGCTATAAGTGTAGAGCTAGCGCTCCCGTCTCTGCTCTAGATGTTCTCATTCCTGTTCTGTGACTTCGTTAATATTATTCTTATCCTTTTGACTGCGACCCTTCTGACCATGAAGTCGTTTGCGATCACCTCTCTCGCTTTGGCCCATTCAGTGGCTGCTGGGCAGCTCGTCTGGCCCTCCAAGTGGGACGAGCTTGAGAATCTTTATACCATGATGTCTGGGATCAACCGGCAGGGTTTCATTGACTGTAAGAACGCCTATCTATAATGCTTGGTTGAATGCGGATCTCGGCTCACACTTCCTAACTTACCCGCAGCTGTGAACCCTTGTGACTTTGCTCAAAACGAGAAAGGCCGTCACAATTCCGCACAGTGGTTGAGAACGGCCTTCCATGACATGGTGACACATAATGCGGAGTTGGGAACTGGCGGTGTGGACGCGTCGATCTTCTTTGAACTAGATCGTGCTGAGAATGAAGGCAGCGCATTCAGCAACACCTGGGGATTCTTCAGTGGATTCCACACGGTTCGTTCGTCGGCCGCCGATCTAGTAGCTTTGGGAGTGGTTACTGTCAGTGGTGCATGTGGCGGAAACAGGCTGCAGTACCGCGGTGGCCGGGTAGACGCAACCGAAGCTGGCCCATCTGGTGTCCCTGAGGCACATACTGACCTGGATACCGTGCTGGAGACTTTCTCAAAGGCAGGGTTTACCAAGGAAGAAATGATCACCATGGTCGCCTGTGGTCACACGCTCGGCGGCGTTCATAGTGTCAACAGCCCAGAAATCGTCGATATTCCCGCCGACCCTAGCAACGACACGCTTGTCACCTTCCAAAAGGACGTTTCAAAGATCAATAATGGAGTGGTCAACGAGTACCTCGACGGCTCCACAAAGAATCCTCTGGTAGTGGCGTCCAATGACACCTTCAACGCTGACAAACGCGTGTTTTCCTCTGATGGAAATACGACCATGACTAAGATGCAGGACGGGAAGACCTTCCTGAATATGTGCGCCGACATTTTCAACCGCATGATTGACACTGTGCCAAGCAATGTCCAGCTTAGCGATGTCATTGAGCCATACGAAGTTAAGCCGTACGTCAGCCAGCTCCTTCTGACCGAGGACGGCGATATATCCTTCCAAGGCTTCATTCGCCTCCGAGTCACGGAAGGCTCAGGTCGAGTTTACAATGATGTGGCTGCCGATCTCATCTACTACGATAGGGATGGTGCTCAAGAGCATGTGGTTACTGCCGTTAAAGAGACCTATAAGCTCGGCCTCAGCATCGGTCTCCATGGTGAATCATTCATCAACTTCAATTTTCAGACCACTATAAAGGGTGCGACCGGAATTAGCAAATTCACCATTCGTGAAACTACGCCTTCTACCAACGAAACGACCATCCATGACAACCAAGGAACAGGCGGATTCCCCGTGGACGATACTGTTTTGTACCAGCTGTCAGATTCCTGCTACGACTCTGGTAACATCGTTGATGGGATGATTCCTGTGTCTGTTACTGCCTTGGTCCGCGAGGATGAGGCTTCCAAGCCTCTGACCTTGGAAGTCGTCCACCAGAAGAAGCGTGATGTTGCCGTTACGCCAGCCTTTGAATGGGAGACGGTTAATTTCGAAACCACAGGCGTGAAGAACAATGGGTGGGTAGAATTCAAAGCAGCAACAAAGGTTGAGGGAACGACTACTTTTGATATTGTCCTGGGAGGCGAGAGGCGGCCGACCGTCGAGTTCTTAAAAACAGGACCAATGCCCAGAACTTGCACAAAATGAAGAGCTTGCAAATTCCATGGACTCTGCCTGTCATAGTTTGGGCTGATACGTCGTTATGTGACTTGGTAATAAGACTAAGGATTGTCGTGCTACGAGTAAGTATGTGGTCTGTTGTCTGCGGCTGGGTTGGAAGAGCAGCCGGAAAGGGAGAGAAAGACAGTTTCGAGGTGGCAAGGGACAAGCCGAAACTGTCTTTTCTTCCTGATGAGAGGCTATAATTTAGGACACTTTTGTTGTTTCGGGAATTACTATTCGTCCTGAGAGCTTCGGACTAGTGGGCGAACAGATGTGTGTGTGTAGATCAGCTATGCGTTGATAGCTACATAGTTTTGTCTTTATTAGATAATGGACAACTGCCTTTATGGCCAAGATTGCTAAGCATGCAGGTAGAGTCACAAGGGGCAGGCGCGGAGGACCGTTGTTATCTCCGCTGTGGTCTGGGGTCTCGGGACTAGGTTGAGGAGGCGGGAGATCTACGTGGGTTAGCCTTGTGTGAGCCATGGAAGCCACTTATTGCCATCAGATTTGTTCAACTGACGCGGATAAAGGCGCGTGGGGGATGAAAAGTAATCGGCCACAAATTCCTACCTTCATCGGAGTATCGGGTGTCAAAACTCCCCGTCATAGGACTCCGAGTGGACACATAAAACCCGAATACCCACATTCTACAGGCATCCCCTTGCCTGCCAGCGTGGATACATTCTTGGAGTGTAGTCTTGCCTTTGGAAACTCTCTTAACTATCAATATAAGATAAATCTGGTTGGCTCGAGTTGCGTGGTATGTTGTTCTCGACGGCAGCAAACAACATAAAAAGTCTTCCTTTGGAGCAAGTGTTATCCGATATCAGGCTGCGGTGAAGCGGCTTGTAGCAAACCGAGTCTTCCTGCATCAAGACCAGGAGTGTGAAAGCACAGTGGCGTAGCATTGATTCTTGCATTGAGCTGATATGCACGAATCCTTGACATGTCAAGTGAACAATTCGTAACCGCCCAGTTTTCATACGTCAATGCTTCCTAACTCCACTCCATAGGTTTCATTTTCCTTCTCAAGGCTTCTTTACGCGACGGTGGCCCGCTGAGAGTCTGCAGGCGGCCATGAAATGTAACCACCCGTGACGCACTCCATGTTGTATCTGGATTTTCCGAGGGCAAAGATCTAAAATCTCAAAAATTTACCGAGAACCCCGGCGCGCGCGCTCGCGAGGGGTGAGAGAATACCGGGATGAAGCTCTTCAAGAAAGACCGAGATATGACAAAGAGCCCGAGGTCGTGGCTATAAATGAGACGGCTTTCAGCAATGTTAATCGGTGAATCTTCTGAAATCTATCTTATGCTTTCAAGTCGCCCGGTACCATTCTCGATAGGTGTTGATTATCTATTTCCCTTCCTTTGAACACAAGTAGACGTGTTCACTGCTACCTTAGCAGCTATATCGGCCTACCTGTCAAACTTGGAGCTCTATTTGGAGACGAAATGGAAGGCCCGCGGGAGCTCTTTCCCTACCTAGCATTTGGTGCTGGTGTATTGGTAAGTTTCATACTCGGTGCTCATAGATCGTGTTTCTAATTAAGTAGTTCGTCCTCTGGACCATAGTAAGGAGCCTCTACTTGGTCTTCTTCCACCCATTGTCGAAAATCCCAGGACCAGTATTTTACACCCTCACAGATCTCCCCTACTTGTATTATATTGCCAATGGAACCTGGCCACATGTCTTGAAGAAGCTTCACGAGAAGTACGGACCAGCGGTCAGATACACTCCTGGAGACGTATCATTCACCACACCGGATGCCTGGAAGACGATATACGACCATAAAACATCAGCCACTAAGACATTTACTAAAGACCCGAGATTCTATATGGCTTCAATTCACTCCGATGATTCCCACATTATCAACGCCAATAGGGAGGACCATAAGCGCATGCGTCGACTAATTTCTCATGCGTTCTCTGAGAAAGCTCTAAGAGGACAGGAGACCATAATGAAGCAATACGTCGACTTGTTTATCACGAGGATGAGCGAGCACGCCAAAAGCGGAAAGCAATTGGATATTGTCAAGTGGTACAACTTTACCACTTTCGATCTGATCGGTGACCTATCGTTCGGTCAGCCTTTCGGATGCCTGGAGAGTGGAGGCTATCATCCGTGGGTATCGATGATCTTTGATGATGTTCAGTTTTCGGCACTGTCTCAAATCCTTAAGCGTCACCCGATTCTGAAACCTTTGACCAGGCTTTTCATGCCAGCAGAACTGATGAAGAAGAGCAAAGAGCATATGAAGCTTACAAAAGAGACCACTTTGAACCGAGTGGAGAGTGGAAACATGGAGAGAGAAGATTTCATGTCCTACATTCTTCGCCATAGCGGTGAGAAGGGTCTGAACAAAGGCGAGATGGTTGAGAATGCTGGAGTTCTAATCGTCGCGGGTAGTGAGACCACCGCGACCTTGCTCAGTGGCACAACCTTCCATCTCTTGAAGAACCGAGAGTCATATGACAAGCTCACCAAGGAAATTAGGTCTACTTTCCAATCAGAGGAGGAAATGACACTCTTGCGAGTTAACGAGCTCCCATATATGATCGCTACTTTGAATGAGGGCTTTCGGATGTGTAGGTCCTACTGGTATCATTCATCGCCTCATTGTCTGACGGTTTTATTTTAGATCCGCCTGTTCCAATCGGCCTTCCTCGACTCGCGCCCGCTGGTGGCGAATTCATTGATGGCTATTGGGTTCCTGAAGGAGTGAGTAACTTCGACAAGGCCCATCTAATTATACTTACTGACTTGCTGGATCACCTAGGCATCCGTATCGGTCTCGCAATTGTCATCATACTACAGCGACCGGAATTTCCGTGACCCGCTGCAGTTTGTTCCTGAGCGCTGGCTGCCAGAAGGAGACCCGAAATACAAATCGGATGCAAAGTCGGTTCTTAACCCATTCTCGATTGGTCCAAGAAACTGCATTGGCAAGAAGTAAGTTTCCCTATGGCGTTTGTGCTCTTATGTGTAATTTGCAAATGCTGAGATTGATTGCCATAGCCTCGCCTATGCTGAGATGCGTCTTATTCTGGCTCGACTTCTTTGGAAGTTTGACCTAGAGTTAATGCCTGAAAGCAGAGAATGGGACCAGCAGAAGATCTGGACCCTCTGGTCAAAGGGAGAGCTTAATGTGAAGCTTACGGCCGTCGAGAGGTGAAGACTGTCAAGAAAATTGGGATTCACAGAGAAAATTCCCTCTTCTTGAGCACTTCTTTGTTGACTTATGCAGCCTAAGTTGAGAAGAAAAGGCTCTGGGTATCTCTAGGCCATCCATCGCTTTAGGGAGATCGGGGAAGTTTCACTGGAAATTGGTTGTTTCGCATGCTTTAAAACTATCTTGGTATTTGAATTACGTAGCAATAAGGCCCAGAATGATCGTTCATAAACAAAGCTATTGTTTTCATTTGGCAATTTGATTAAAAAAAGCACATTCACATAGATGTCGAGCATTTGATTGAGCTGCAGGTCTTGTGAGATACCTAGTTTGCTTTTGAAAACTGAAACAAGTGTGCGAATTCGGTTTGAATGACTATCTTATAATTCCGCCAAGACTCCCTTCACCACGTTAAGCCTTTTGCCATTGGTATGGCAGGCTGCAACGTATGTCCCATGGGCACGTCTCACACCGTGTGCATTTATTCCTAATAAACTTTGAGGTGTTCCGAGGCAGAAAAGGTACGTTCTGTCTGCGCGAGAAGCTCAACTTGTGTCTTGATCCGCTTTTGCTTTCCTCTGAGGGCTGCTGATTCCGATTCATAGTCCCTGGATCGTTTGGTGGGTAATTTCTTGATTTCCTCCTCGAGCGCATTCAAGGCTCGCCTTGCACCACTGTGCAGTAGCAGAGGCTCGTCATCGTCGTGGAGGGCGTCGATGCAACTTCCGAGCCTCTTGATCCCAAGACGGACTTTTCCCGCCTTTTCATGTCGCGTTTTTTCCACAAGGAGTCCATAAAGCTCCTTGTTGATTTTGGCATCCTCCTTGTGTAGCTGATCGACGATGAACTTGTCCCGTCTGGAAATGGCTTCCTCTACTCCAGCGACGAGTTGGGCTAAATGGTTTGTGGCCTCCGTGCTTGAGAATTCATTGAAAACAGACTTTACGGTGAGGGATCTGAGAGTATCCTTGGTTGGTTCGGGGACTCGAGCAACGGCGGATCCGATGTCGTTCACGTTATGCGGTGCGGCAGTGGCGTCCAGTTGGCGTTGCAATGTAATCGATGGAGCGGTCGTGGTATTTTTTGTGAAATCAAGGCACCGGGCCTGCATGAACCATGGTTAGAATGCAAAATATTGTAGAAACTGGTGGAGGAAGTCTGTAGAGGCCGACAGCAAGAAGAAATTCGATGAACATACGAGAATGCGGAATGCTTCATCTTCAATCCTGCTTTTTTCTTCAATCTGGTCTTTCTTTCTATCATAGTTTGCGTAAGCCTTCTTAAATGCCTTTCCCAATTCGTTACTGGCTTCTTCCAGGGAAAATTTCTGTGCAACCCGCCAGAGGACTGTGCAGTTTGGAATTGAAAGACTTGTAAAGGCTGGGCGAAATAGAAGATCCCTATGGTATGTTCTGTTGGAGGTCATCAAGGAGAAGAATAAGCTGACGCTTGTCAAGTTCCAACAAGCGCAGATCCTATCCTCTATGAACCCTCGAGTCTGGAGTTCAGAAACGTCCCCAAATCTGTCACGGACAGCTGGTGCAACGGCTGACCGAGGGTCGGAGTGTGGATCGAATTTTACATCTGGGTCGATAATACGACCTTGCCAGTGGTTCTCAGCAATGAAAGAACGACTTCCAATAGATTGAGGCTGGCCCATGGCTTCGCAAAATCTTGCTCACGGGCTGTAAAGGGGCTTGCGGGGCGAGTGAGTTGGGTGCAAAGAGAATCAAGTTTGAGTGTCTGAGATGGTTGGAGGATGAAGAAAAACTTGGAAGTGAGAGTTCACGTTGGCTTGGAGGGTGGCCGTGGGCAGTTGCGCCACCCTCACCGCCTTCGGATTCTGTTGTCAGAGACTCCTTGAAACTGAGGGCTGGAATTCTTCATCTAGTCAGCTCAATCTTGAGGTGAGGGCATGTGCATTTCTTTTGACAGGTTCGCTTAGGTTTTAATTATAGAGATAGGGTAAAGAATCTATATAATTTACATTTCGTGTATCCTTTTAAAGCTGAATCTGCATTTGATTTGAACTGATTTGACAGTTGTAGAAATCGTAGCCAAATCTTGGGTTGGCGGAGAACTCGCATCAGCCAAGAAAAATGTGCACAATATGCAGCCAAGAAAATCGCTCGCCCCTATCAAACCATGACCTCCCAACACTGTGAAAAGCCAACTTCACCCTTATGTTATCCGCACCAGGACGCGTGTAAGAAGCTAGCGGTACCAAGCATACACAGCACTGGCCCCGACCGAGATTGTACCAAGGATTATTGCAAGGTTTTTGGCCGCTCCCATCGCATATCTCATTGCCAGCTTCTTCTCCTGTCCAGCGAAACCTGCGGCAGTGTTGGTATAAGGAAACGGCTCCTCTGGGACAGGCTTGCCGAGGAATTCGCACAAGGGCTCCCAGCCATCGTCGACAGACCATTCCAGGAGTCTGTCCTTGGGGACCATGCCTCGAACCATGGCGTAGTGCGCTAAGCGTGTCACTGTCAGTAAGTCCAGCACAAACCAAGAACCCGTTGAGAAACAAGGCGAGACCGTGGGATGGAGACATACCGCGGTAAACCCATTTTGCGTTGCGCAGCATCCCCGTCTCAACTTTTCCATCAATAGCGCGGAAGAGCCCTGGCCACATGTATCCAAGATAGCACTGCCAATTCCAGAAGCACTCTTTGTCGAGGCAGGAAAGGATCCAGAAAGTCCAAAGCGTGGGTCCTCGCGCCAGAGTGCCCATCAGACTCTTGTGCCAGGCATCGATGTCCTTCCGGTAATTGAGGATGATCTTGGCCTCAGGGTATGCCTGGATAAGCTCGGCTGCGAAGACTGAAGCGGGAGCGTCTGCAACAGCGACGGCGTGCCCCATGACCTTGTCAAAGTCCTCCGCCATGAGCTGGACGTCGCCGCCCTCGGGAGCGTACCATCTACCATCTACTTATCAGAGATCTATTACTTTTGACGGAATGTCTCTGCTTACTTTTTCTGGCAAAGGCGGACCCATTGCTGAGCATAGTTGGGAGACTCAAAATTGATATCCCAACCGTGGTAGGTGTGATCGTAACCTGCAAAGAGTCAGCGAGCTTGTGCGCCCGTAACGATTGGGATGAAAACCCTCGCACCCAGTGTCAGCAGAGCGTGTTGAAGCGACTCAGTGCCCGTGCGTGGCATGCCGATGCATATGACCTCCATCGGCTTTGTTCGCACGCGAGGCGGCGGCTCAGGGAGCGAGTATACATACTCGGCGATGCGATAGAACCAGCCGTTTAGATGCGGCATCTTGAAGACCAGTTAATGATACTTGATGATGACTGAGGCGGTGTCCTCACTGTTGCGTTGAGAGAGAAGGAGAGGAGAGGTGATTTGATGATGACGCGGCGGAGGTGAGACAAACCTGAAATCTTCAAACATCTTAAAATAGCTCGTTCATCAACCCATGTTCGATGTCAGATATTAGTTTACGGAGTTATCAAGCATCAAGTCAACTTATACCCGTAGGTTGAAACCGTCCGTGAAATAGACTTTAGCTGGGCAGGTACAAAGGCCAAAGAATTGAATAAAACCATTAACGCATTGAAAGCATCAACTTCATTATAGCAAGCGGAAGTCTATAAGATAGATTGGAACCAACTCTTTCTTCATTTTGTGATATGCTCAAGGTTGCCTCAAATGGCAGAAAAGGCTTTGGCTTTGGCTATAGGGTATCTAGCCCATACAAGTGAGTAGCTTCATAGATGGATGGAGTTCGAAATTATGCTCTATGAATATATTTCTTGTCTATCATTTTTGGAAGCCTGGGGTTTTGAAACGATGAGTGGAGGAATTTTCCCTCAACATCAGTTTCCTGTGGCAGCTTCGTCCATTGAAGCCCAACCTTGAATGTACGCATGTCGCCATAGTTCCGACCAATAAACTATGGGGTGAAGAGGATTGTTTCTTGTTCCATGAATAATAAAACGGCCAACTACAGCTGAAGGGCGGTCCAGTTCTTCGATAATATCGGTTTCATTGGCGAAGGGTTCCTGGTGTAGGCCCTTTCTTTTGGATCTAGGATATACCTTGATCTCGAAACTGCGATTGGAATGATTGGTGGGCGGGAGGTTGTCTCCGAAAGTACCCTTGATTTCAATCAGGCACACCCGGCCCCGATTTCTAATGATGATTTCCTGAGCGCTAGATCTTCACAGTGCCCGTCTTCTTGCTTTCGCCCCAGACCTCACGACCCCATTTGACAGGGAAATTATCGCTAATAAGCATCTCGAGCATGTATATACCCTTCCCCCCCTTGAAATCCCCAGTCATGGAGTGAGCTTCTCCTTATCTCAGCTAGAAGATTTGGTGGCATAGTGCCTAGTATGCAGTGGTAAAGAGGCGATGGGGCCAGTGTTATCAGTCGATATGATATGAGATACCTAATTAGGTGTCCCAGAATTTCCCTGGGTCAAGTTCAATTCTATCGGCCTGGCCCGGTGATAGCGATTCGTATGTTCTGGTCAGGCTATATTCCCGCTCCGCTATATCTCGTAACCTCACAGAGAACGTGTAACTAGCCTAAGGTCAGGAGATCCCTTCCGTGCGTGAGGAACTTGGCAAGCTTGTTAGCGGACGGACGTTACCACCTGCTATAATAGGATTTGAAGAACGAGGTTTCGGGATCTGCTGCCGGCTAATACTGGTTGATTGGGCAGTGCCAACTCCCCGATTGGGCCGCCAAATCCAATCTTACACGGGAATATATTGCGAGCGGCCTACGTGGTGTCTTCCGACCGGAAGGTTGTCCGATAGTGATAGGGACCAAAAGAACTCGGTAAATCCTCTGAAGACTGGGCACCCTGGGAGCCAATATTCAATTGGTAAGACGCGCAGGAATACGATCGTTTAAATAGATCGTTTGGGCACCAGTTACGGGACGAATAAAAAGCAGTACCTTTTGACAAAGTCATCAAAAAGTTTCTTAATATTGCACAATGTCCTATAAAAAGCAGGCTGTTGTGGTCGGCCTACTTCTGCGACTCCAGCATGTTTGGGCCGCCCCCCAAGGAACCAAGGTGTTGGCAGCCCGAGCAGAGCCAGCCAACTTTACTGCCAACCCAAGTATTGGTGGCGGCGGTACTATTTTCAAAGACTCGGCGCATTTCCGTCTTTACAACAACACGGGCTCCGAGGAGAGCACCGACATTGCCTTGGCTCATCTGGAGGCGTCCTACGACTGCTACATTGTCGGATTGGGATATCGGTCCACGGGTCTTTCGTACTACGATGAGGATGACACTGGGCCCTGGACCAAAACCAATGTCTACTACTCTCCAGACATCGATGCGGGGGGTCTTATGAATACGGACTGGGAAACCGGCCTAGGTTGGCTCCAAATAAACCCCAACTACATAACTGATGCTGGCTACCTGTCTCACGAGTATGGCCACATTGTGACACATTCTCAGAAGAGATGGGTCGACCAGGATAACACGAGCGCCTGGTGGGAGACTTGGGCGAATTGGTTTGCTGACACGTACAAAACGTCTGACATATGTGCTGCGGCTCGCGCGGCACACGGCCGGCCAGTCGACAAGACGGAATTCTATCCTGATGTAACAGTGGGCAATTCTCACCTACCGATTGTCGTCGCCGGCACCAACGGCAACTTATATCGAGCATGGCCATTCATGACATACCTGACAACCAATCTTGACAACATCCCGAATGCTGGCCTAGATATCATGCGTCAGATAAACATCCAATATCGTTCCGGCAGTGGCGAGACACCGCTTCACACTCTGCAGAGAATTCTCGGGCCCATCGGTCCAATCGTGGGTCGCTACTGGTCTCGGATGGCCTACGTCGATATTGATAATCCTGTGGCTCGCGAGTACTTCTGGCAGAAATACAGCACTCTCACGTTTGACAACGTTGATCAAAATAGCAACGGGAGCTACACCGTCAAGCCAGCCCGGAGTCCTGGTTACATGGGGGCCAGCATGATTCCGTTGAACGTCACAAGCAGCAATGTCCGTGTCGACATCACAGCCAACGGCACCTATACAGCCTCGCTTGCTTTTTTCAACGGAAAGACAAACGCAACTCGTTACGTTGATGTCGTTGAGACGGCAACGACTGGCGTTTCCGCTGACGAAGAGGTCACTCTTGTTGTTGCTAATACGCCCAAGGAGTTAATTACTTATAACGGATATGAGCCGATACCTGAACTCTACTATGGCCTTGATTTTACATTTAGACTCTGCGGGGCTACTGCTTAAATGAGGTTCGAACCTGGAAGAGTGCTTTTGCAATGACTGCGGAGGGGAGACCTTTCCCATTGAGTTGCGCTTGAATGAGGGCTCTAGAAGGTGTATATAAACGTGATTCCCTACAACAGACAATTTATGAAAGACTTGTCCCGGGCAAGAACAGTTCCGATGACTATATTAATTACCGGCCCCAATCCTGTGAGTGACCATTGTTAGGAGGTAGAATGCGGAGAGCATGGGCGATGAAGAGATATGGTCGTACTGTTCAGGTTGTGTTAGAGTAGACGGAAGTCTATTGGGAGTGGTCGAAAGGGAGCGTGTAGGATACATTTGTGATCTTTATGTTCGATGTGTATTACCAGCCCATGATTGGCCGCCCAGTCAAAGTTATGGGTAAAAAGCAATTGGTGGAAATCGCCAGTGCTGATGACTTGGCGTTAGTTGGTGATGATTTGGAAGCCAATCAGACATGAAACAACTGTCGTTCGGAAACAGGGAGGGTGGACCACACTGATACAGCTGGCCTACCCTCTCTATGCCTCAAACACCTGACCTTTGCCCTTTTGAATCAATCATTATTCATCTAGTACTTGAGACTGGCCATACATGAGGCAGCCTAAAACAGACAACCTTTTCTTAATATGCAGTGGCAAGTTTCTATGTCTCAGTAATACGAGGTGTTCTAAAGCTATTTGAGACCTGAGACGCAAGATTGGCTGTCGATTGGATAGCTATGTGGAGGTCAAGGACCTGTGGTTGGCCTCCCGCAGCACTTTACGAGGCAATAGAACAGGGACTTTGGAGAGCGCCCCTTGAGGCCCATGTACAGCTCTCACTCGGGATCATAGACTTTTATTTTGAGGTTGCCAGGCACAAACATGCCACATTATGTATGTCGACATGCTGCCTGAAGATACCGAATTGGCTGTTCCTTCACAAGAGACCCGGCAAACAACAATGATATTCCACTGCTATGAAAAATCGAATTGTGGTGACTTACGTTTTACTCTTTCCTCGACTGGCCTTGCCATCAGCCTGCACCTCCTCTACGGACTTGAACGGGCGCTTCCAAGTTCCGACCACACCAATCGATGTTCATCCCCCTCTTCCTCGACGGTGCCAGGCTATCCTCAACTCTGAAGATCCACTCATATTACTTTTTCACAAGCTGAAATTGTTTTCCAAGATGCCTGCTCTACTACCATTTACCCTTGATAATCGATATTCGTCGGTTCCTCACCATCAATCCCAAGAGCTACCCGGGGAAGCAGCTGCTAAGTGTTAGGTGGCGATCCAGCTTCGCATGTAACATCTGGCTGAAACGGACCCACCATGACGGCAGCTTGTTGGTTGTGTCTGTTGGTCGTGTCAGTTGCCCGTTGGTTAAAGCTGTCTTCACATCCACCACTGAGTTCTCCCGTAGGCCATACAAACTATGCCAAGCTACAGGGAATCAGGGATCCTCTTCTCCCGTTGAGGCTCTTCTGCTCATATTTGTCAGAAAGATCTCGCTGCCCCGCCTTGTCAGCAATGACAACCCAACATTGTATTTTCTTGACGCGGATCAGGAAAGAAGCTGTTTCGATACCACCAAGAGCTGAATTCACCACCTGGCCATGTTTCACTCTTATCAGACTCCGGGATGCCTACACCTAGAGGGCCGTATTATGATGCTGCCCAGGAAAGAAGAGGTTGAGGGGAGGATTCCAGCGACGCAAGCAATCGAAACAGGCATATTCAACCATCCCGTCGTCGTTCTTTCGCGGCAAGTTCGCCACGGAAACGTGGCAGTCTTTGTTGTCAGTTCCCATTCTCTGGATCACGGCATATCTCGGTGCAAAACCTTGCTAATTCATGCGGCTAGGTTACAAGTTTTGATAATACACCTATCGAGAAACGCCATCGCGACCCTGCCCGAAGACAACCCTACCTCCCAATACGACCGGCCTGCCACCCAGATAATAGCTCGGCCCTCGTTATCGCGCACGGAAAGACCATGAAGAAGCAGTCCTACGTTAACACCAAGAACATTCACGAAATCCCGTTCGCGATTCTCCGCACATGCTGGCAGGACGGCGATTTCCACCTGGAGAGCGAGTCCTACCGGACACTCACCTCAGTGTTGTGGAAACAAAACGTCGCCGAACTTACAACTAGACTGAGGGGACATGGAATATTCGAGCCGGTGCGGCAGCCGGCTCACGTCGGAACGCCACGAGCTGCACTTAATCGCAGTACTAATGGGCGTCACCCCAACGTCCTTGGGTATAGCGCAGGGTATATTGGGGCGTCTAGTCGAACTGACTCGTATGGGACGTTTATACACGGCCCAACAGAGCCAACTCTCCCAAGCGTCATGAAAGCAGCCACGACGAGTAACACGAGGACATTTGACTCTTCGAGTAGGACATACGATGGTTACATGCCAGGGTCATGGGTATCAAACGATGTTGCGTTTCAGCAGAATGATTCCCACCGCAACTATTTACCCGTCCAACAACGGACATACAGCGCGTCTGATGATAACACGCTGAGCGGGGTACTGTTTTTCATTGCCCTAGCAAGCCTCCTACTACTAGCTTTCTGGTACTATGCAAAAACATAGACGAGTCGATCTATGAGAGATGTTTACATTCGTTGTCGGACGTTCCGCCGGCCGCAATATGCTACAGCGTGTGCTCCCCAGAATATTCAGCTCAATGGATGGTTATCCTAAGGAACTAGCAACGAGATTGATGTCCAAGATGGCATCAAGAACCCAACTGTGGGCTGACCTCAATACTACAACGATGGCTCTGCTACAGCTAGAGAATGTGTAACTCGGTGGTCGGGGGACGGAACGAAGATTTTCTACTCCTTACTATTAGTAGCGACGGAGGGGAAATGCCAGTCCAGTTCAATTCCCATCTGTGTCTTCTCTCTTCCCTTCCGTCAACTATATCTATAGTTGCTTTTTACAAGAAGGATGCTTACTTCCGGCAAGCAAGGTTTTCAGGCCCGGCTCGCGGGTATGGGAATTATGGCGAATGAGGTTTTTCTCCAGACAACAACTGTTTTTCGGTCTGTATTTAGTTAGATACCGCTTATTCTAGAAAGGAAATTGACTTGATTGATTGATTGATATCTAAAGTTGTTCCTCCTGCCATGACCCCTACCACCTCTTCGATAATCTTGACAGGTAGATTAAAGACAGACTCGAGGTCCATCAATCTGAGGCAATGGCTCCTCACCGCGAAGTGCCCTCCATCGATTACTCGAGTCCAACAAAGGCTGGCAACCAGCGAGAGCCCAGGGCCATTTCTGCATAAAACCCAGGGTCACCTCCCAGTTTTCCGGGCAGTGCGGTTCGCCCCAAACGATCAGTCCCGTCCGTGTTGCAACGGTCCCGGTCCCGGCCCCGGCCTCATTGATCGGCAGAGACGACTTATTGGCTGGTATGCGTGGTTGTTTCGGGCGCTGAAGTTGGTACACATTGGCAAAGTCCACAAGGTCGCCCACCAGATCGTTGCCGAATTCAACTTGATCATACTCAGCATCGTAGCGGATCAAGGTGTCACGCATGGCTGGAAACGGTATTATATCAATCCATGTTGCGTGATCCTTGGAACTCTGAAGAGGCGTGGGGCGAACCGACAAAGGGAGGCCGTTTGCCTCGTCTTGTGCGGTGAGGACAAGGGTAGCTCGGCTCGGGTGTGCGTCGTCAATCGTCACAAGCTGGGGCTCAGTCCCGAATGCGTTGCCTCCGATGCAGAATGCCGTCGAGCTCGCGAGGATGAACTTTATTCTGAAGACGGCACGCAGGACGTTGAAGTGGATAAGGTGTAGAAGATGATCTTGCAATGGCGATGTTTTCCGGGCAAGATACGGTAGGGCCAGCCTCAGCAAGGGCTCCCTCTTTACCAACTCTGCATCCTGTAAACTCAGGGGCGGGAGGCGGCTGGTTTCAAGAGACCAGTCTTTCTCTTTTTGGGCATCATCGTGTCCAGTTGCAGGATTAGCATGTCGGCCGCCTTGGACTTGGACACCAGATACGGTCTTTTCGTCATCGAGGCGCCAGCGCGTGACTTTGAATGGACGGCGAGCCTTGTCGTCATCTCCTTTTAAACGCGATCCTGGGCAAGTTAGCTGTGATGTGGGCAACGGAGCCGTGGCAACTTACGCCGGGCTCTTTGATTCATCCGGTTCTGTAGCTTCCGGCGCTGAGCTGCTTCGTCCGCTGACATGGTTGAGCCTGGAAGAAGTGGTTCCTTTTGGTTCTTTTCGGTAAAAACGGTCACCAGCACTTTAAATTCTGGAATCAATTTTGGTCCGACTTCTTCGTGTTGGGATGCATCAAAGCTTGAAAGGGAGAAAAGGTCAGCAGCCTAGAGAAATGGAAACTCTCCTTATTAGCATAGACAGATAGAAGTGGAGCAATGGCCGGGGCTTGTGCTTGCATGAACTTGACCAAGAATGGAAATTCTGTCATCAACGTCTCATTGATCCTCCTACAGTCTAACCCGGGATGGTGAAATTGTCATCAAGCTGAACATGAAGTAGGCTCCACTGTATTTGAGTTATGAATTCGAGGCAAACACAACGAGAGAAAATATGGTCCTGGAACCTAAGTTGACGTGAGAAATTGCATCAAGGGATGATGAGTTCTTATCAATTTTACATATATAAAGACCGAGGATTGTCTACGGGTCCTCTCATTCAACATGAAGGAAGCAATCATCCTCGTTGACTTACAGATCGGACAAGTCTCCCTCTCCCTCTCTGCAAATATCAAACTTACTCCAGCTCCTCATATCTGAGAGTCAAAATGGAAAAATTTGACTGCAGCCCCCAGAAATATGCGTCATTTCCCCACTGGATTCGGCGGCAGATGTTTGAACAGCCCCGACCGATATCCGACGTCGACCTGACAGGAAAGGTAGCAATCGTGACTGGGGCTAACCAGGGCATCGGTTTCGAGGTTGCCGATCAACTCCTCTCTCTGAAAGTCGGCAAGCTCATCATAGGCGCGCGGAATGAGAACAAGGGAAAATCTGCGGCGGATCTGCTGGTGGCCAAGCACAAGTTATCGCCCGGCTCTATCGAGGTGTGGAAGCTGGACATGCTAGATTATGCCACGATCACGAAGTTCGCTGAGCGGGCCAGCCAGCTCGAGAATCTCGACATTGCCGTGCTCAACGCTGGAATTTTCAGGAAGGATATGATCATCAGCGAGCTGACGGGCCACGAGGAAGATATCCAGACCAACTACCTATCCACTGTGCTACTAACACTCCTCCTTCTGCCTACCCTCGAATCCAAGAAGCGGGCGTCCAATCTACCGGGGCGATTGACCATTGTCTCCTCCGACATGTCTGGCATGACCAAGTTCGCTGAGCAGGACGGCGACCCGCTCCTGGCTACCCTTGATAAGCGAGATGCCTATAAGTGGGATGCGTTTGAACGCTACGGCACTTCAAAGCTACTGGGGCAGCTTTTCCTGGCTGAACTGGCAACGCACGTCTCGCCATCGGCCGTGTTAATTAACGCGGCCAACCCCGGCCTCTGCCACGGGTCCGGCCTAAGCAGGGATGTTGAAGGGGAAGGGATTGCATATAGGGCTGCCATGGGGCTCTACTTTCACATCTTGGGCCGCAAGCCCGCAGTCGGTGCCCACGTCGTGTTGAATGCCGCCCTCAAGCAAGGCGAGGAGTCGCATGGTCAAGCCATCGACGGCAACAAGATCAGACCGTATGTTTAACCCAGCATTTCTTCCCGCCCCGGAATCAGTTGAGCTGGCTTACTTGCACGTTGACATTTGCTAATGCTACGGACATAGGATGGGGCCGTTTGTTTACTCGCCCAAAGCAGCGGAGGTCACTCGCCGGCTATGGAAGGAGACAATGAAGGAGCTCTCATTTGCCAACATTGAAATCGGCGGGCGAGTCTAGGAGAGTTTAGAAGATATCCATTTGATTTTGTCATAAGCATTCCATCAGAGGTATGGTCGCTCAATTGAGGAGAAGCCAAAAGTTCGCGCTCGAGGCTGCGGATACATACGTCTCACTACGAAGCGGGGATATATAGACTGTTTTCATTGTGTTGAGATGCCGGGTCTGGCATCTTCTATTGCTGCTTTTTACTTTATACTCAAACTCTCGCCAAGATATAGACTGTTTAATATTAAGTTAATACGGAGAATCTTTCATATTGCAATTGGTGCAACCTCCCCAGCAAAACATAGGTTCCAATTTCCCAGTTTCAAGGGTCGCAGATCCTCAACTTAAAATGCACCGAGATGGTACTCTGATCGGTAATCTAAGCAGCTGGCTAGAAATGATGGTGTTTTCCTCTTAGTAATCTTTCTTATCAGTGTTTCACATGGTATGCACATGCATGCCACTTTAAGGCGAGAGGCATACGTAATTATGAATGGATCACAACTTGGCCATCACGCCTTTTTGTTGAACGACGAGGCGGAATGTCTCATCCCACTGCTTATCAGGGGCAGGCATTTAGAATATAGATCAATTCATCCTGATGCATTAGCTTTGTCCAGCTATCCCAACGGGATGTCATTACGCCGAGGATTTGCTACTGGCACTCTATCTCGAAACAGGATAGCACCATGACACATCTCAACACATTCCAAGCCGGCAACCGGCGGGTTAGCATAGGCGCCCCAACGTGCATCGGTGCAGTGGGGAAGAGCCTAAGCACTAACTGGATCCAGGACAGATCTTGGGCCATCAAATCAATGGTGAACTCCCAGTGGCTAAGGCAGCCTAGACTGCAGCTAAATAGAGCCTTGTCGTTCGGCTTAGCATGGGCCGCTGGGCAAAGCGTTGAGCGTGTCGTACTCGTACCCAAGCTGCACGGTTCCAAGCCACCTTGTTGGGACCTCCCAATCAGACGCCGCAGCAACGTAATAGGGCATGATGGGCGCGGAACTTTGCGGGCGTTTACGCCATATTGGGGAAGTATATCGGAACCCCACGGCTTCGTTGTCTTATCTCGACTGAATGTTAGTCACTTCTTGGGGTCCGGGGGGGACAGTCATTAGAGACCGGAGGTGGAGGAGGGGCAGGGGATGGGCAGATTGTACCGTCGATGTGACTCCCATTATATGACCAAGGGAGCCTGTCAGTAGCCGAAGGTCAGAATATTCTGTTCTTTCAAACACCTCCTCTTGACTCATCTCGCATTGTCAGTTAGCTACAATGGCTGAAGTCGAAAGTATCCATAGGCAGCAGCAGTGCACCTCATGGAGCTTTGCTGCTGATTTCTTCTCGGCCGCATGTGCCGCAGCGCTTGTTGCTCCATGGGTGAATGCTATTGACAAGTACGTAGGACCATCCTACTCCAAGTGAAAACAATTGCAGTCGTGTGGTGTGGTTGGTATACGTGCAGATGAGGACAGCAACTGACCATGATGGTGATAGGATGATATACTACCGCGTTGCAAAGGGCGACTCGTTCAAAGATTCCTGCAAGTCCTTCCTCTCGAAGCCCAAGAAACTGCTCGGGGCCTTCCACATATGCTTCCTAGTTTACTTCGGCACGTATGCCACAGCCAACCTGCTCAACTCGTTCTGCACCATCGACGACTCCTACGACCCTGCCACCATGTCCGCCTCGTCTGCCAAGCTCTCGACGACTCGCTTCTGTGTTTCCGCTGCTGTCGGGACGGGGCTTTGTCTCTACAAGGATGGTTATGTGGCCAGGGCCGTGGGCAAAGCCTCGTTGCCTCTCTTCTCGTACATATTGTTTGCCGCTCGCGATGCCACGACCTGCTTCACCTCGTTTCAGCTGCCCCCTCTGGTTGCCCAGTTATCCGCCGCGTCCCTTTCAAACCCAGCCTTGAACACTGCCAAACACGGGAATTCAGAGCTAGCCAACCTCGCCTCGCTTGCTGCAGCCCAGTTGGTCAGTACACCGATCCACGTGTTGGGCCTTGATTTGCATAATCGTCGAAAGAAATCAACGGCTCGTCAGCGGATCCAAGCTCTCTGGAAACATGCGCCGGCTGTTTCGTCGCTGCGGATGGCGAGGGTGATGCCGACGTTCTTTATTGGGAATTCAGTCAACACCACGTTCAGAAGCTCGATGATTGACATTGGGTTATGAATCGACACCAGTAACCATTTTTGGAGAGAATTCTCTTCGGCTTTTTCTAATGTTATTTGGGACTGAGGAACGGGGGAATAATAGTTAGCACATTAATTTCTGTACGTACAGCTTCAACAGCCAGTCGTGAACCAGCAGAACTCCATTATGCATAATGAAAAGAGAAAACAAGAAAAAAAAGTTTAAAATCAAGAATAAAAGGTAGAGGCTAGATTTTAACAATATAGTCTCTTGACCGATCTTCTTGATATGGCTGCTTCTGGAACTGAGTCTTGGCGCTGCATAGCCGTTGGGCTCATGGTTACACAAGCGACTCTGTGCCTTTGGCAAGTGACTGAGACATGATCAGCACTTAACAACTGACATTGGAACAAGTGATATACAATGTTACAGAAATCGGCCATGCTTATTAACTCAGCGCAAACTCTCATTCATCAATGACTATCCTGCTATAGCTTGGTGCCCATGTTAATGTGTACAGCTTTGATCTGGGTGTACGCAGCCAGACCGGCCTCTCCCAGCTCTCTACCAATACCGCTCTGCTTGACACCTCCAAACGGCACCCTGAAGTCGGAATCATTGGAGCTGTTGACCCAGACCATACCGGCCTCCAGTCGTCCCGCCACACGGTGCGCCCTCTCCACGTCAGTAGTAAAGAGGGCGGCTCCCAACCCGTATGACGAGTTGTTGGCCACGCGGATCGCCTCCTCCTCCGTCTTGAACGTGATGATGGTCACAAACGGCCCAAACACCTCCTCCTGGAAGATGCGCATGTCCTCCTTGACGCCAGAGAAGACGGTCGGCTCGATGAAGAACCCCTTGCCGTCCCCGACATTCTTGTGCGGCACGCCACCAGTCTCCAGCTTGGCACCCTCCGACTTGCCCGTCTCTACATAGCCCAGCACGCGCTCGTACTGCGCCTTGGTGACCTGCGGGCCCTGGAACGTGTCGTCGTGGAACGGGTCGCCGACCTTGTTCTTGAGGACCTCCTCCTTGAACAGGCGCAGGTACTCGTCGTGGATGTCCTCGTGCACCAGGATGCGCGACGTCGCCGTGCACACCTGGCCCTGGTTGTACATGATGCCCAGGTGCCCCCACTTGACGGCCTGCTCGAGGTCGGCGTCCTTGAAGACGACGAGGGGCGACTTGCCGCCCGTCTCGAGCGTGATGGTCTTCATCGTCTGGCTGGCCGCCTTCATCACCGCCTTGCCCGTCAGGGTCGACCCCGTGAAGGCCACCTTGTCCACGCCCGGGTGCGAGACGAGCGCGTTGCCCGCGTCCCGGCCGTAGCCGTTGACGATGTTGATGACGCCGGGCGGGAACCCGGCCTTGGGGATCAGGGTGGCGAGGTAGAGCGCGGACAGCGGCGTCTGCTCGGCGGGCTTGAGGACGACGGTGTTGCCGCAGGCGATGGCCGGGCCGATCTTCCAGGCGGCCATGGCGAGGGGGAAGTTCCACGGGATGATCTGGCCGCAGACGCCGATGGGCTGCTTGAGGGTGTAGGCGAACTTCTGGGGGGTGGTCGGGATGGTCTGCCCGTGGATCTTGTCGGCCCAGCCGGCGTAGTACTTGAGGGTCTTGATGACCTCGCCGACGTCCTCGTTCAGGGCCACCGAGTAGGCCTTGCCGTTGTCCCAGGCCTCGAGCGTCGCGAGCGTCTCCTTGTGCTCGTCGATGAGCGTGGCGAAGCGGTACATGAGCTCTCCGCGGTCAGTGCCGGGGAGGTCTCTCCATTCCGGCGACTCAAAGGCAGCGCGCGCCGCCTTGACTGCTGTGTCGATGTCGTCGGGCGATGCGGCCTCGACCGAGGTGATTTCACTCTCGTTACTAAGGTGAGACATGCCGGTTAGCTACCCTTGCATTTGCCGTTTTTTTTTCTGGGATCGCACAGCATGACGCCATGCGATGTCACAAGGACGATGAACGCACCTCGGATTGATGCTGCTGATCTTGGCACCAGCGCTGGACTTGACGAACTCGTTGTTGATGAACAGCCCGGTCGGCAGGTCGATCTTGACGCCGTTGGGGGCAGTGAGGGCGACAGTGTCTGCGGGCGCCATCTTGATTGTGCTTTGCTGTGTTTTCGGGCTCACAAGCTGATGGAAGTGAGAGTGACAGAGAGAGAGAGAGTCAGGTGCGGCCCGCACGTTTGTGGAAAGCCAGTTTTATATTGTCGAGAAAAGCAAGCTCTCGACTGACCTCATCAACCCCACCTCGCCTAATACCTAGTCCACGGCTCTTGGTAGGTAGCTTGGGATATGGAGATGGGTGGATCTTGGAGATGGCACAAGCTGTGATAACAGGCATGCCGCTATTCCCAAAAGTGCTAAAATTCTCGACTGCCTTCTTCTCAGATCTCTTATGCTCTGCTTATGAATCCCCATCCATCTTCAACGTCTATTGTTCACTCATTCACCCATCCATCCACGCATGAAATCGCCAGTGTACATCCGTCCCCCTCGCTCCGGCTATTACATCGTCACCCATCCTCTCCCCTCAAACGCCTCTCCCTCGCCATGGAGCTACGCGGTTCCGCAGCCAATGCCATCATCTTTGTGGAGACGCGGCCTGGGAGCGTTCCACTCCTCCATTCCAAGATAGGGAAAAAGATAGGCCATGCTTGAACTTATTTGCGGGGTGCGTCTCCTCGTGCGCGGAATGCCGGAGTGACGGAATCTCGGGGCCCTTTCACAGGGTTGTTCCCCTCATTCTTATGCTCTCCACGATGGAGGCCTCGGATGGGTGTCTCCTGGTACACTCCTGGTAGGCTGGTACACACGCAAACACGATCCTCTTCTGTTTGCCTTGCGCTGTTCTACCGTGAGTCATAATCTGACCTGTCACCATGACGCATTCTCAAGCCGAGGATGACCTCACGACTGGCAAACATTGTACGGCGCCCATTTCTCTGCATTACCGAACTGCATATTTGATATGGAATATTACAAAAATTACCAGGCTGGGCTAGTCGATGCTCCTTCGTGCTAACTGTAGACACACTCTTTCTGGAGTAGAAAAGGCCAAAAAGAGATCAATCGTTCAATATAGGAACAGCCCGATGCGGGGGTCGAACCCGCAACCTTGAGATGTGAACTCGTAAGAGTCTCACGCTCTACCGATTGAGCTAACCGGGCACCTTTCCGGGTGCTGATGGAGGCCTGAGGCTAGGGTTAGGGATACAAGAATCTGGACGGGGTGCAAACAATTGAGTCTTGTATTAGGAAGCGAGAATTGGACGGTTAGTCTGTCGGGGAAAGGCTTTATGATGATAAGAACTTGTTTTGATGTGGGTGAGGTTTGGTTGGACTCTAGGCGCAGCTTGTACATCGTAGACGAACGGATTATTATGCAGCTGAGCCATCCGACCATAGCAGACGAGGTTCATCGAGACTAATAATTCCGATATCCTCGGCCTTTTTTGTGATTTGTTTCGGCCTACAGTGTAGTTCTTGGATATGCCGTTGGGTATAGGGTAGCCAGCGAGCTGCAATCGTCCTAAGTTCTGTCAATGAAAGGTAAATATAAAACACGAGGCAGGCAAAAGAAGTACTAATGCAACTAAACTACCTGCCTCTTTTTTTAAATTTTCGTATTCATTGTGTTGATTTGTCGGGCTCTGGCAGCTTCCATTGCTGTTGAACTTTATTCTCTTTCTCCTACGTAAACTACCTGCCTTCCTCAAAGCTGGCAACGCTGGACGGTGTCGGTGTTTGCACATGCGGCCATTCGATGCCAGTCTTGTGTATAGGTGCACGCTATCACAGATATAGCCCAATCCTATCACTCATCACGCATGTATCTCCAACCAAAAGAGTGGTACTCGAAATGAACTTGGTTGAACTTTGGAGGTGGCGGCATGAACCAGGTTGAGATTTGGTAAAGTTCGGTATTGAGTCTTGTTATTGTTGCCCCAAAACCTTCAACACGAAGCGTGATTCATCAGAAACTTTCTAGCTCCTTCGACACTTCTGAAGTATATCCTGAATTAATTAGTAGGCATAAATAAGAGGACAAGGTCAGGTGGTTTGGATTCTTCTTTGCACAAGTCACCACTCTCTCTTTCCCGAACTGAATATTTCTACTCACCATGTTTTTACGGGATATTGCAATGCGCTTCTGCAAAAAGCAAGAATCGCCCGAGCCACCAGTAAATCCCGATACATTCGAGGCTGTTTTGCAACCCCCAAACTGCCATCTACTGAACAAACTTCCCGATCCTATACTGGCAATGATTCTTCACCGGCTGCCGCCCTTCATGCTCTTCGTCGTAAGCCAGACATCCCGGAGGCTGAACCATGCATGCCACGACATTGCCTCGCTGTCTTTTCGAAGCACCGAGGGACTCGAGTACTTGGAATTTTTGGCTCGAAACAGTCCGGCCAAATGGGTCTGCAGCAGATGCTATAAAGTGCACACTATGTCCCCCTCCTATGGTCCCCGCGATCCGTTCGAAACCAACTGCCCCAAGGAGTGGGATTATTTGATGGATTTGAAAAAGGAATTCTGCCCAATTAGTCCGCGATACAATCATTGCTTTGCCCAGTTCGTGCTCAAATATCGTCGTCTATGCCAGGAGCCGGAGTGGTGCAAAAGAGAGTGGTGCTCACTTTTTCACCACATCATGGAGCCAATCCAGATGCAGTTTTACACCAAACATTGGAGTTTCGAGGAGTGGAGCCCTTATCAATGGATCAAGCCGAGGATAGAAGGGGATTCTCTTTTCATAGATCGAACTTTATCCTTCCACCTACCCGAAGGTTTCGGACTGGTGCAAGGAACCCCCTATGGCGAGAAATGGATTTGTGAGCACCAACCCTTTTGTGCGCCAGGTTGGTGGCACGGATTCAGCGAAAGAGAACGCAGATGGTTTCCTTCCATGCATTTGAAAAAGGAGAGGTGGCCCCACGTCCACCACGGATCACCGTCCTCCGCCCCTCCTGCGTATCAATATCATCCCGTCGGGGATGGTAATGACTGGGCGACTGTGGTACAAGCCGCAACAAGGGAGCCCGACAAATTCTTCGAGGGGAGTTGCTATGATTGCCCTACTAGATTTGGGATCGAGGTCTCATCGACAAGCATAGAAGTATGGCGCCGAGAGTATATAGGCTCCGAGAGTGTGGTGAAGACGGATGCATTCAAGAAGTCACATCCCAACAGGGTCCAGAATGCAGATACGTCATCGTGAGGGCTGACGCTTCACTGAATGTCAGTGCACAGCCTAAAACCGAGAGTCGCGTTGGCGCCGCGTTGCAACTGAACGTGGTTTGTTTAACTCGTTGTTTTGGCCACAACGTGACTGCTTCATTCGTCAGCGACATGACTCACGGATAACGTTGAGAAAGAATTTCACAATTTTTCTGCAAAGTATAACTAAAGTTTGGAAAGAACGGATGAGATGGTACCGCCCGACAGATCCTAATGATGCTTAATTTGAAGAGGTAGTGGCAAGTACTAATTATAAAATTGGAATTATCAAATTGGAACGCTGCAAGTTGAAGTAACTTCCGTCAAACTATTACCTTATTTACTTAATAGCTAAGGTATCTTGGATATCTCCCATGACTAACAATAATCTAATCACGCGCAAGGGTAAAAGAGGCCATAATAGGGTAAGAGCGGACAGAAACTTTGGCTGGGCAGGAGGAGTGCACGAAAGTAAACAAAGAGTTGGAGTATTAAAGCAGACACTTGGGCTGTTCATTCGGTTCTGGATTTCTTCTCTCTTCATTGATCGATACTCATTCAAAATGTCGGATCCCACCACCATCACATTCGGCGTCATCGCCTCCACCATCGGCATCATGGGCCTTTGGATCATGTACAAGGCCTAGCAGGTCAACCGGAGGATGGAAGCGATGGCTAGGTACGATATGGAACAACGGTATGGTACTAAAAAAATAGAGGCCATTATTCCCGAAACACCCTTTCAGCTCCTTGGAGCCAAGTTTACCAATTGGGGACGTGCCATGGCATCCGGTGTAGGCCGGTGTCGAGAATTTCTCACGTCGTTCGCGAAGAAGATCAAGCACGGGGTAGCCCAGCTTCGACTACCTTCCGTCTGGATTTGGGAACTTTTGGTCCTGTTTCAATATATCATACAGTGGAGGCCTTGGTTCATGAATCGCAATAGTGGGGATGTCGACGCTGAGAGAGGCATTCCTTTGGAGACGCTTGACCCAGGGAACAGACCTCAAGCTCAGCCCAGCCCCCCCGAATCAGTCTGAGGAAACTTCCGACATGTGTTTTCACAACAGCCTCGCCTATATAGACCTCGAAAAAGACCATGCCGCTGGATTGCTCTTGGCCATGCCGCTTGATTGGCTTGGAGCATGCCGCTGGATTGGCTTTCGAAGAAGACCATGCCGCTGGATTGCTCTTTGCCATGCCGCTGGATTGGCTTAGGGCATGCCGCTGGATTGGTGGTCAGATGGGCCTGTTGTTGGAGACGTTGAATGAGACCTCGATCAGGATTTAGTTTGTGAGTTCACTCGTTTCTCCCTCTCTTCCGTTCTTTTCCTCCCCCCGGCTTCTGAGGGTTTTTTGTTTTTTTTTTCCCCAGAAGCCCAGCGGTCCCTTTTTTTTTTTTTTTTTAGGTGTTTGATTACCTACAGCGATTCCCGTTTGTTTTCTAGGGCGGCCATTCCAGTACGGCAATAATTACTGGGGGTGGGTGGGCGGCCCCAGCAGATATACTCGTACCTCATCGTGGTTGCTGGGTCTAGTAGCCTTCAGGGTGAAGCTAAAACGAGTATCTCGATCCTCCGTCCACGTTTCACTCGTCACAAGATGTTAGTGTTCTTCGATAACCCTCAATGGTTGATCAGTGCCGCCGTTGACTAACTGTATCAATATAAAGTACCTGAGTTCCTGAGCTGGAAGCTGGGATATCTGAGACCACGATGGAGATAATCATTGGGGGAGGAAGGTGAAGGTCAGAGCAAAGATACTCGTACCTCACCGGGCTCGTTGGTTCAATAGCCTTCAAAGTGAAGACATCGCCATCACTACCATACTGCAAGCTAGGAGTACATGCAAAAGGAGATAGAACAGCACGGGAATTTTTACACACTTTACACACCATAATTTAATTCTTCCTTCCTTGAAGTGATTATTGTCTGGGTAGGAGTTGTTTATCATGCTGAGGGAGTACTGTGTGTCGTTCCTTGCTTCCCTCTTTCCTCCCGTTTCTCAGGACTGCCTAGGGAGAAGCCTCTCTTCCTCTCCCTCTTCTCACTTCCGGAACTGCGACTCACCCTCGTCGAGCAAGATTGCCTGCCTGCCTCTGTCTACAACATGCCTCAATGCGGTTTCAAAAGCAAACTGTGCAGCGATATTTGCCCAAGTCGGAGGGAACATCAGCGGGACCTCCAGAAGCTCAACCACTCTCCCGACCACCATCTTTAATTCCTCCGGCAACGGAGTCATCGCCGATTGTGACGTCTGGCCAAACGACTGTGGAGGCGGCCCAAGAATCTTCTCTTCACCCGCAGGTCTCCATGACCACGAAGTATCCTTCCATAACTGCTGCCGCGACTGCAACCGGTCTGTCCCGGCCTTCCAATCAATCAACTTATTGCTCAATTAATCAATGCCCCGGCTGTGCGTGTTTACTTCGAGAAATGAGTTGATTTGGATATGATTAATTATATTCAGTTTCTCGACCAAATAATACTCAGATGCAGGTTGACAGGTCACAATTACATAATTACATGTATCTAAGCCTTGTTGGTGTTGATCCAGTCAACAAAGCTGCCAACCCGGGTGTATACACCAGCATAGCCCTTCCTGGCACATCCGTTACCCCAAGAGACGACGCCGAGAAGGGTTCCAGAGGAGTTGACAATGGGGCCACCGCTGTCGCCGCTGCAGGCATCCTTACCGCCGGCAGTGACGCCAGCGCACCACATGGCATCAGAGATGGACGAGGTGCCGTACTGGGAGCGGCAGGTAGCGCGGGAGATGACGGAGACGGTGACCTTTCGCAGGGCCGAGACGACGCTGGTACCGGTTTCGGTAGTAAGACCCCTGTGTCCGGAGAAAATCACGAAATGTCAGCTTGTCGTGGACTCAACATGGGGCAGACTTTCAGGTGTTCATCACGTACCAGCCAGCAACAGTGACAGAGGTGCCAGAAGAGGGGTCGGAGCCCTGGGCTGGGAGGGTGGCGTATTTGATGGTGGAGCTCTCGGCGATGGTTGATGACAGCTTCCAGATGGCAATATCGTTGTAGGGGATATCGTCCTTGACGGTGTAGCTAGAGTGGATCTTGATGGAGGAGACTCCGACTTGCTTGCCACCGGAAGCCCATGTCTGCACGGGAATATGTAAGAAAGACGTCAAAGAACCAAGACGCGAGCGTGATTGACTTACAGCAGTTCCAGCGCGGACCTTGACGGCAGAAGCGCGCACGCCCTCGGAGCAGTGTCCCGCAGTCAAGACAGTGTTGGCGTTCAACAAGACACCACCGCAGAAGTGGGAGCCGCCCTCAGTCAGGCTGACAATGTAGGGGAACTCGGAGATGGTGGCCGTTGTACCGCCAACAATGTTGATGCTGACGCCTCCATCTTCAAGAGGGAGTGCTGCTGCGATGGAGGCAACAGGCAGAATAGAGGCCGCGAGGGAGCGTACGGACACCATGGTGACCTGTAGTGTGGTGTTGTGTAATGCGGTCTGTGGTAGTGGTCGGGGAGGTTGGTTGTCGTATATTCTCCTTTGTAAACTGCCAGGGCAACGTCCTTAGATATAGTAGTTCTATGGCAGGGGTCAAGGCATCTCTACGCGCCTTGATTACCGACTTCCCTATTTCAACCGTTCTTGTATCCCGTGAGAATCGCTCCGCCATTTTGCGACTTGCCACTCCTTTGCTCCATCAGCCCACGTTGTCTGGACCTGAACTTCATGTGTGGGTCTTAACACCATATGTGAAAGTAATATGAAGTACCTGAGTTCTGGAACTGGAAGCTGGGACATCTGAGACCGCGACACTGTTTGGCTTGGCAACTCCGGAAGCCCGTCCCCAAAAGGCATCATCAATGCAAATCCGGCCAATGGCGAGATGTCCGAGTGCAACATTGCCTCTCCGTCTGGTTGCCATTAGAGATAAAGTTAGGCTTAAGTTGAAATGGGGGATGGATGGATCCTCGTGGGGTGTTGATCTTGCCTTGTTCACCATCCAAGGCTCCAAGGGACCAGCTTCCTCGGCGCCTAGAGAGGCGTTTGTGCAATGCAAACCCTTGAACCCGGTGGGGCTGAGATCTAGGCGCAATGTGGGAGGTGTGATCTGGTATAGACTTAAAAAGGAAACGCCAAGCCGACCAATTCTGCTGCAGCTGATGTACCTGGATGGCAATCATTGAGGTCCTATTATGCCTACGCCGCTCACGTACTGCATCGAAGATGCTCAGATCCCATGACCTTGGCCAGAGGTGTTGGTGTAAAAACACACTTGTACTGCGTTGAGAAGGCCTGCAAGCGGCATATCTTCAACTAGGTAAGTTGAATGATTTCCAAACGTAGGCGACGGGGGTCGAGGGAGCTCTCATTATCTCAAAAGCCTTTGAGAAGCCGGAAACTCAGGAACGCTTGGCTTCAGCAAGTAGTAGGGTGTAAGTCAAGAAACGCCAACTTGGCTTGAGGCCTGTGGAGAGGCCGATTGGCTGGTGAGTAAGATGGTTACGGTTTTAAGGAGGAAATGGGGCGAAACGATCTCTCCAAACAGGTTCACTGTGTTAGCCTGCATGGAACCTTTGTGTGCATGAGCTTATGGCCACCAGCCACGGAGGTGATTGGTCTCGAAAGGTTTCATGGCGCTGAGGCTTGTGAATGGAAGCCAGAGGTCAGGCGCCATCTCACGATGACATTCCTTGAAATCCAACGGGATCTGGAATGCTTGGATAGCGAACTAGTCAGTAGTGTACATGGGTTTACCACTTTCTTACTCGACACGGAGCTGTGCAAATGTCCACTTTTCTAACATCTAAAAGGCAGTTGCAGGGACTTGTGTCCAACGCTGGTTTCACTGCGCCGGAAGATGAAGTTGAATCTTCATTCAGACATCGACTCACCCCACAAGGAGAGATAATGCTTACATATCACTCGATTAAGCAAAAATGATTTACATAATACAATCAAGATTACAAGCTCCGACTCTTGTAGAAAACCATATCTAAAGAGCTATGGCCCTCATGTTGTGTGTGGCATTCTTTAGTAACCAGACATAGCAACAACAGCTTATGATTCACTCTCCCAAGAAGGGTAGCACTAAAGGTGACCTGAAAGTAAAATGGAATCAATGAAAAACAAGATTCACAGTTTTACTTGGAATATATATCCAATGTAGAGACGGCACAAAGGCGCCAGATGCCTCACTGAGACATCATGAAGAGGCAGATTATTCATTGTGTTGGAATATCGGGTCTAACATCTTTCATTGCTGTTTTACTTTGTACTTGGAACTCTCATCCATTATAGATAGCTTTAGACTGCGATATCCTTAGCTAGGAGGATGGTTTGATCCCAGAAGAAACGCAGATGCAAGATGAGTAACGACTTTTATCTACCTCATCGAAGGTACTTAAAGGCTCAATGCAAAATAGAGGATTATATCAAATTATATCAAAATGGAGCAGTCCTACGTACAAGAACGGCTCTCACATGCCATGGCGCTAAATTCTACCCCCAGCCAGCTTGACAAGCTCGGGGAAGTTGGGAGTTCCTAGGCCTGTAACCGGATCCCAACCTTCAGTTGCAGAGAAGCCATCAGTACCGCATCCATATGGGGTACCAATGGTAATATCATTCAAGCCCTTGTAGCCCTTTGAATATAGCCAAGGGTTGAGGAATCCCAGAACGGGTTTTCCAGATGCGATAAGGGCATCATTGACAAGAGAAATGATACCGGCGGTAAGTGGCGTGCTGGCACTCGTGCCACTGATCACACCCTCAGTGCCATTCCAAAAATAAGCGAAGTAGAATCCCTGAGCCGAGATATCAGGGTATCCTCTTCCTGCTTTGTTGTATAGCCCATCGTACTTGCCCTTCAAGTTCTTGATATAGGTTGTCACCTCCTTCTTTTGGTAGTCTGGGGCCGAGAAGTAGTTGCTGAATCCACTGCCGGAAGACCAGTTGCCATGGTGCACTCCATTAGAGTCGGTGAATTCTGGGCGCCAGGCCACAACTTCTGGAGCGAACTCCTTTGTGGCGCCTACCGTGGTGACCCAGGGACACTATTTGATGTTAGTTTTTGTTTTGACGTTCGGCATTTAGGGAAGCTATGAGAAATTTAAAGCCAACTTACAGACGATGGGAATGCCGGCAGGAACTTGGTCGTGTTCTTGCCATCATTGCTAATGCATTCCTCCGGCGCGAATGAGCCAACACCATCGTCGCCGCTAGAGAAAAGCAGGGAGGTGCCTCGAGCGCCCACGGCAGCGAATTGCTTGCACACACGTTCTGCGTATGAGCGTGGAACACTCTGCTCATCATCTCCGTACGAAGTAGAAATGACATTGGGGATTGACCTCTGGTCGATGAGCCAGTTTACCCAAGCTAGGTATGGCTCATTTGTGTTGTCTGGGGTAGAGGCGCTGGGATTGAAAGGGGGGCTGTGTATTCATTAGAACTAGAAATGAAAGTAGATAAAAGGGGATGAAAATTATTACCTCCCACCTGTAGAATAACTGATGATTGGGGTGTCCCAATTAATCCCGGCGATAGCTTGCACGTCCAAATTCGCCTCATGGCAACGGGATTCCTCGAGGTCCTCAGCTGTGAGAGGGGTATCACCTGGACCATCCGCGATAACCAATTGCTTAAAAGTCTTGGCGACAGCTGTAGCAAAGGGACGGAATTTAGACAAGAACAATCCTAAATCAGAACGGATAGGATGCTCTTTCAGGTAGTTGGCAAAGCCGACTGAATTCCTCGTAGCCGACTTTGCCTTGTAGCCTTTCGTCTTGTACAGGACCTCGAAGCATTGTGGAGTTACAGAGCTGATGTTGCAGAGCTTGCTGATCTCATCTCCCCCGGAAAGGCTGTATGTTGATGCGAGCGAATTAGCTGCTTCGGAACTCTCGACAATATGGTCGAAACTCTGAGCGTGGGCGCGGAAGAAAGAAGTTGTAGGCTGGATAGTCTCGATATGCTCATGCAGATGGATGGGGAGAGACCATTGAGATGTTCGGTAGACGCGGTTGCCGTTGTCATGCTCGAACGTGTGGTACTCCGTATTCAGCAGCTTCTCAACAGAGCTGACTGGGAGAGATACTGTTATCCAATCTTTAGCAGCGCTATAGCCTGCAGGAGTAACATTATTCTCTTTAAGCCAGTCAAGAACAAGCTTGAGAGAGTCCTCAGTAGGCTTGATAAGCTCGTTCACATCCTCTTGGGTGAGATGCTTGCCGTAGTTGTCATGGTCAGGGTGGGAAACTATAAAGTATTAACCACATTGTCACTGAAGATTGGTTGCAATGTAAGCCATGGGATTTTCACCTTCGTTAAGACGCTTCTCCAGCTCTTCAAAGTTACCCTGTCTCACTCCAATCTGAAGGTCAATGATATGGCTCGAGGGAGCGCGATCAACCTTCTGCCACTTCCTTGGAACGATATGCGTTTCCTTTATCTGGTACGAGCGTTCATCGTGTGTAGGTATCGCATTGGCAGCATGTGCTGCGAGAGCGGAAACGAGATAAATCAATCGGACCATGCTGCCAAATTCTATACGCAGACACACACGTAAGGAGAGGTGAAGAATCTTGAACTACAAGAACTGCCATGGTTCTGATTTAAATAATGAGAAGCTGGGGAACCTCGCATCAGGTACGGCTTCCAACAATCTCCAAAAGTTCTACGGGTTTGGACGCAATGGTCGATGATCGCTGCAGCCCGGAAGGTTGGGCAATTGCGAGAGCCTTTTTTGGAAGGTGACATGTGTGATAAATTCATGTAGATTGCTGATGGCATTAGGCTAGGGCTCTATACGGTTTGTTTGGAGTGCTTTTGGAGGACCTTATGGTGGGAGTTGCCGACATATCCGACAAGCCTCCCGCCAGAAGGGTTCAGGACCCCAACCCTCCTCGGCTCACTGTGCCGGTGATGCAATTGTCACCCTGGAAATTGGGTGATTCCCCGGGCTGATTGTGTCTAGAAGCAAGAACCTGAGGCATTTAGGAGTGGCAATGGATGATAATCGATGATAAGTATGAACGGTCAGTTCACCGGAATACGCAATCCCCTGCAAAGATCTCTCATTAGAGCATCCAGACCAGACGATGCCGTGACCCATCTCTACGGCTTATCTAATTGGCCCACAGTAATCCTTCTTGCCGTTTTGGAATGGATTGTTTATGCTCCTTCGATCTTGTCATTTCTTCCCCCACCCTTCGCCGCTCTGATGCGTAACTTGCAGTCTTGTCCAGATTACGGCTGAAGGACGAAGTTCATAAATCTTCTAGCAATGAATGTACTCCCTCTCCTTCAGGTATTGTCGCTGAATTATTAACATGTTTCTTGTGGCGTTGGAATAGAGGGTGGAAATGGTCTCTCGTTATTGAAGATCTTCGTTAATGATGGGGACTAGAGTTATCCTCTACTTCTTCACGGCGAAATCGATCGTACTTATGTTAGCCTTTATTCTTGGCAGCTCAAAAAAAAAAGAAGTAGAAGCTTAGCTAAGCTATCGTTGGATGAAAATGAACTTCAATCTACCCTATGCAACTGGATTTGAGATTATTGGGAAAGATAGGGATGCTACATCATTAGGGTAGGTAGCTAGATAAATGTGTGTTAAAGGATGTAGCTATAGATAGACCGCTAGATAATCTCATTCATATTTAATACCAGTGCTTAAGGCACTGGCGGGAATCATCTAACTGTTTAAACTGCCAATATATATTTCCAAAACTAGGATCCATGTTTAATGGTTATTCGTTGTCTATCGCAAATATTGTTCATCTCATTGCATGATCTCACACCAACCTTTAGAGTCTTTATCCTTCCTATTTATAGTGAAACCAATCTAAGCATATAATTGATTTGCCTCTGCGGATCGATGATCTCGACGATGTGAAGGATGCTTTATAGTCTTTTGTTGATGGCGTTATGAGTAGCAAAGGATGGGAGGGAGTTTGAGTATAAAGTTAAAATGGCAATAGAAGATGCCAGGCCAGGCATCTCAGCGTAATGAATATAGAAGCAAAGGATAAAATACAATAATTGAGAGCTAGACGGCTAGACGTGAGTCGTGAGTCGTGAGTCGTGACATCGTATGCAGTTGCGTCTAAGCCGGCATTACTCGAGACGATCATTAAAACTAAATCGCACAATCCTTTTGACCCTAATTCGTCTCTATTTATATTATCTAGCCGATTTCTTCGCCGCCAAGCTTTGATCGAAAATCTTTGATTTGTAAAATGAGATGAGCTCCGACAAGATAAAGCCCGAAGATTGTCTCAATATTGCGATGTTTTCTCGTGACAGCGACAATTCATCAGTAACAAGAAGCTACAATGGCCCAGTTCATTCGAGTATGTTCCGCAAGCCACACCCTTCTAAAACGGGCATATATGAGAGATTGCTGAATGTCGAAAAGTAAACCGATCAACCCCTCAGGCGTCTTGACCTTGAGTACGTCGACGGAGTTGTAAAACTCGGAGTACAAGTACGGTCACCCGGCTAAGCGTTGTTGTGCAAGTTGCAGTATGAAACACGAGATAGCAAAAGAAACCGCATCATGGACCCAACAATACGTCACAAAAATTGGAGCTTTCAGGCATGGCGCTTGATTCGATCCCGAAGACTCACATGACGATAAGAACCACAGTTTGGACGACCATGGGAAGTTGGTCAGAGAACCGGATGGCGGCAATATCAATTTGTGTTTGAATTTGGTCAATTTCCCTAGCATGCAGGCATGTTGGGCTAGGAGAACTTGATTTTGCCTTTTGGGTCTGGTATCTTCTAATACGGTTTTTACTTGGGACTAGCATTAACATCCCGGTATGAATGTCAAGACTGAATAAATTGACAAGTCAATAAAGACGCGACATGATCCACAGCAACAGGATGGGAATGAGCCACACCTAGTGACAGCTTGATGAAAGACGAACGCCGTTGTGATCCAGGTTTGTTAATCAGTGACTAGGTACTATCGTATTTTGACTAGAATAGTTCGGTATGACGTTCAAGGGCTCGACCCATGAATAAACGCGCGGCCAAGGGAAACTTCAACGCGGATATGCATTTATCTTGCTCCGGATAGACTTATATCTGTTCTGTGGCGGATGTTTGAGGCCACTACGATGATGCGACTGGTGGAGTTAACGGACTCTTTGGCTTCCCGATTCTTTTGGGATGCGAGATGAGCACTTCGTGAGTTGGAAAGCCTCCGGTATAAAATCCGAGCGCCAGGGGTTGTCTGCATCTTAAGAAAGTTTGGATATTTAGTAAGAATTTGCCTAATTCGGATGATAGGCAACTGCATCATACTATAGGTAGGATCTAGGCCGTGATGCCAAGACTAAAGATGTTTCCTATTCGGTACTGACCTTGCCACCATCCACTCATTCTCAGCCGATATCCCCGCTCAGTATTGGAACCAACAGCGTTACGCCATCTGGAAAGATGGTGCGAAGAAAAATCAAACCGATATAAAGGTTTGTGAAGCTCGTGTCGTAGTTGAGATTTCGAACAAAGGAACATCATCATTCTTCTCTTCGCTGGTGTGTACCAACCAAGACCGGTTACAGTCGACCCGCGCCTATCACCAGCATGCCTGCCACTCAGTTCGACATCACGCCTGAAGAAAGAGCTTCGTTTTCTGCTTTTATCAAACGACAGCTGTTTCGTGGAGCTCCAGTTACTCTGAAAGCGAACGTGAACCTTCAAGGGCAAACCGCGGTCGTCACAGGCTCAAATACCGGAATCGGCCTGGAGTGCGCCCGCCAGTTTCTTGATCTTGGATTATCGAGGCTGATCATTGCGGTGCGAAATGTTCCGAGTGGGGAGATAGCTCGGAAGCTCCTTCTTGAGGAAAGATCTCCCAGCGAGCATCGAATCGATGTATGGAAACTAGATCTTTCTCGCTATGATTCGATTCAGTCTTTTGTTAAACAGTGCGAAACTCTGGACCGCCTGGATATTTTTGTTCACAATGCCGGCATTTCCAAGGGAAAATTTGAGCTGAACCCCATAACAGGCCACGAGGAATCAGTGCAGGTTAATTATTTGTCTTCCGCCCTCCTCTCCATACTCATGCTCCCCATCATTAAGGAGCGCAATCCGTCAGATCGACCAGGGAAATTGGTCATTGTAAGCTCCGAAACAGCTGCCTGGTCCAAATTCAAAGAAAGAGAGATGACACCGTTGCTGCCCAAATTTGATAAGCCGGAGACGTTTAACCAGGGCGAATATGGAACCCGGTACTGGACCTCCAAGTTACTGGGGCAGTTCTTCGTCACGGAGCTGGTCAAACACGTCCCCTCGTCTGCTGTTGTTATCAACATGTGTAACCCTGGCATGTGTTACGGGTCATCACTCATGCGGGACTTTGCAGGCACGTTCTCTGGCTTTATGGTTGGCATCTTTTTTCGCGTGCTTGGCTATTCCGCTAGCAAGGGGGCACGCTCCCTTACAGACGCAGCTTGCAATCACGGGCCGGAGTCACATGGAATTTATATTGAAGATGGAAAGTTACAGCCGTAAGTGTTGCAAATCAAAAGACGGTGAAGGTATATGAGGGCTAACATTACATGTGATATTTTAGGATGGCGCCAATGATCTACTCATCTCAAGAGGCTGGAACTATGGAGAAAGTCTGGACAGAAACATTGGAGGAACTCAAGTTTGCTGGCGTTCACGATATCATAGAAAAGTTGGGCAACACTAAGAGTGGATAGCACGGTCGTCCCCAAAGTCGTGGCCCTGCCATCTCTTTGTTGAATCTCCAAGGTTAGCAAATATACAAGCTTACTTCGGCGGGCGTGTCCAGCAGTTGGAAGAAAAAAAGATATCAGTCGAGCAAAGGAGGGGAGACATGGCCCTCTCAAACTTATAAACCTACCAAAAAGCATTCAATCAAGCGTGCGATAGACCAGTTTTGGTGAACAGCGACGACAGAAGAAGGATAACTGGAAGAAGTAGAAGTAATCTGCTGGCCGGGATTTGTTGCTGGTGGCTCGGTATCACTGGGGTTTTTTTTAGGTGATAGAGAATGGTCGGTCCCGAGATTTAGATGGACGCGTAATCAAGCTTTTGGACTTGTTATGGTTAGCAAGGTATTGCCGGAGGCAGGGAAGAGCATGGAAATGGCGGTACTGAATCCCGCCTTTGGAAAACCTCTCCGTGTTAGGCGTAGCTGTCAGCAAATCTTTAAAAAGCTGCGAGTTCCCTGCACAGAACCAGGGATGCTAGCTATCATTAGCCCCGGAAACCGGGATTTCGAGAAAGAATCTCGTATATTGTCCAATAAGAGGAAGCAGGTAGATTAAATGCCGACATGGAATCAAGGATATTCGGCATTCCATTGTCTGAAACACAGGAATCTTAAATTACGCATCTCACCGTTTTAAAACTTCCGCAGCCGCCACCATCTTGCAATACCCATTCAAGATCCAGTGCCAGCATCTGTTTCGAGCGCCCTCGAAAGGGTTGAATAGTGAAGGAAATCAACACAACTCTCAATGGCATGCAAGGCTATTGGACACCTCAACCCTCATCTCGCTCTACACACTAACTAAAAGCATGGAAACCAGTGACTCCGTTTCCTTTTCCCATATCCCACGTGAAGTCTCGCCGCTGAGCAGTGGGAGAGCCGAAGATGGCTCCAAGAATTCCGACGGCTATGGAGATCAACCGCCTGGTGGTGACGATGAAATGAAAGAGCTTCCTGAGATGACAGAGGATATTTCAAAAGAACAATCAGGGAGTATTCTCTCGAGATGGTGGCCTGAATTTATCGCTTGTGCCATTGCGGTCGCCGCCTTTTGCGCGTTGATCGGCACCGTGTACCCATATCAGGGCCAGCCCTTACCCAGATGGCCATACGGTCTCGGAATCAACACACTGATTTCGATATATACTGTCATATTCGAGATGGCCACCGTGATGGTAGTATCATCTGGTGAGTACCGCTATGGAATGGTTTATCACAATCCACGTGCCCCTGTGCTAACTATGATAGGCTTGGGACAACTCAAATTCCTCTGGTTTCAAAGTTCACGAAAGCTTTCTGACCTCGGAACATTCGATCAAGGAGGTAGGGGAGCTTGGGGCGCACTGTTATTAATATGGCGGCTTCGGACACGGTAAATCTTCCCAACTAAACGGCCAGCGGTATCATACAAACTCATTCCGTCAATAGTTATGTCTTGGCTTCGATTGGATCGCTTGTAATTGTTCTAGGCATATTTCTCTCTCCGTTTAGGTAGGCTCCCTGTTTGTTGACTCACCAGCATTTTTTTACAAGTTAAAGAGCACATGACCGTTTGATTTAGCTGCTGATAATGATGTACTCAGTCAACAACTCGTTAAATATGACTCTTGCATCGACACAGATCCTTCCATTAAGGCTACTATTCCTCGAACAAACTTTGTGAGCTCGGTTGGTACAAACCATTTAGGTGCTGCCATGGCCGATGTTGACCAGCCAGCTCAAGCCGCCATAAACACTGGGCTCTTCGACAACGTTCCTGCTGCGGTCACTCCTTTCTGCCCGTCGGGTAACTGCACATTTCCCACACAGTACGCGTCGGCGGGATATTGCCGGGTATGCGAGGACTATACAGACAGGACAGTGTTGACGGGGAATATGACGAAGCCCAATGTTACTGTGAAGGACTGGAGTATTAGCTCAAATGGGTCAAGCTATGGCTTTGTGCTGGGATCCGGCACTGGGCCGTACCCAGGAATCAGAATGTTATTCAGCACTGGTCAAAACGAGACTGCAAGGCAGCAATCAATCGACAAATGTGAGGGCGGGATCACAGGTGGAAACTGGACCTGTCTAGGATTTGGAGCTGCCGAGTGCAGTGTTCGGCCCTGTGCTCTCCGATATAACGCGAGTCTGGTGCAAGGTGTTTTCACGGAAAACATCACATCCTTCACTACCGATATGCGGTACACATATATCGGAGCCGTAGGTATTAGTGCCGTCGACCTCAAGTGTACTACTGCAGCGGAACAGGACTACCTTCGCTCGAAAAACTACACATGGGACAACTCTATGGATTGGCTGCCTTACAACATGTCGAATCAGATTTTCACCACAGCCTACAACGAATCTGATAGTCTCCGCGACGAGTGCATATACCAAGGCAATACGCAAGATCTAAGGTCTCTCACATCGTTTTTCGCAGAATATTTCAACGGAAATCTTGCATATGGTTTCATGGCAACAGGAACCGGTAATACCATTCCTGGCCGTGCCATCTACAACATGGCAGAATTCAACTTCACACATCTTGACACCAAATTCCGAAACCTAGCTACATCAATGACTGCTTATGCCCGATCGAGGACCGACACAATCCCGGAAGAGGCAACGGTTCTTTTCGAAGGCGAAATCAACACTTGGAGGACTTGCGTAGTAGTGCGATGGCCCTGGATCACGCTACAGGCCGTCATCCTCCTCCTCATGGCGTTCTTCTTTGCGCTCACTCTCCTGGCAGTAGAGGGAACCGACAATGATACGATCAAGCACGACTTTAAGACTTCGATACTTCCCCTGCTTTTCCATGGATTGCATAGTGACACCCTAGAGAGTGTTGAACACGATGCACCCAACATGGCTAGAATCCAGCAGCACGCAGGGCACATCAGGGTCAAGGTTGCGCGAAGGCGGACAGGCTGGGGATTTGAAGAAGCCTATATTTGAGGGAATGTTATGTTGCAGAAAATTTTAGAAAAGAGGCGCGGCATCCCTATTGACACATATGAAGGGGTTTTATCAGAACCATGACGAGGGAGTAGCCTTAGATTATCCAGGGCGATTTCTCCGTACTATGCTGGTATATTTTCGTCGGGTTGGGTCAGGATGAAGGAACATAAATGACGCATCACTAATAAAACAATGAGCAAGCACGGTTGCAAATGGTGTGGCGAAGCGGGTGACCTTTTCTTCAAATCTCGCCTTGTCTCACGGTTAATGAGGGCCACGACAGCCTGCTTCAAACAAACAGCTCCCAATCATCGCTACTTAGTTATAAGATGAAATGTAGGTCTGTATTTCTAAATGTCGGTTCTTAATGAACGAGCTAATGAGTTAACTAATCATCTATTAGCTACAATGAACTACCTAGCATGATGTGCATGAAGACTGGACGGATTACGGAAGACACGTTGCATAGAAAGCAACACTGCGCTTACAGAGCCTCGTCACATTCCCCATGCACAAGAACAAATTCGCCCCATGGATGGTGGCGATGATATAAGCATGCTTCTCAAGGGGAGTTTTTGGCCTTACCACTAGACAGATATGCATAATCATAGCCACTTGGCCTTTCTAATTCAAGATGAAAGCTGAAAACTCCGGAGTACCACCAAATTGCACTTCGTTGCACACCCTCTTCGATTCTTTCTATTTCTGTCTTTTGCCCTTTCATCTCGATGCTAGTACGCGGCACTTCAGCCTGGATCTGCCTTGGGAGGCGACCACGCCCCTTTGCCGCACAGCCACGTCACCCATCCATCGCGGATAATAGGTGCACACCTGTACTTCTGAGTGGTTCATTCGACGACGTCAGCATGCAAAAGAACGAAACGGGTCGTCATGAGCCACTGCAGCTCACAAAAGTTCCAAAAAAAACCACCAATCAGGGGTTGCGTCTTGAAAATAAGGCTTGATCGAATGATCATTGCCAATGTTAAACCTAGAGGACTTCTACGGGCAGAGAGTTCGAGTATAAAGTTAAGAACAACAATAGGAGATGCCAGACCCGGCATCTCAACACAATGAATAGCTAAAATCCTTCTACCTATCTACATTGTACCATTTTCCACCCTCTACAAAAGGTCACATCATTCTCTTTCTTGTTGATCTCTACCTTATTTATCCAACGGCTCTGTTACCATGCCACTACCAACAACCAAAGCTCCCCCGGAGTCTCCCTCGGAGAGTTCATTCACCGTCGGATGGATCTGCGTCCTTCAAAAAGAATATTACGCCGCTAAAAAGCTTCTAGACGAAGAATATACCGATGCAGGAATTACCCATGCCCGAGATGACAATGGACAATACATCCTTGGCCGCATCGGAAAGCATAATGTGGTGCTCTGCGTCCCTACTCCAGGTTTTTCAGGCTCCATTGAAGCCTTCAATATTGCTTCAATGATGAGAAGCACCTTTCCCTGGCTTCGCCTCTTTCTCCTAGTCGGAATAAGTGGTGGTGTCAAAACGAAGGACTATGATGTTCGACTGGGAGACATCGTTTTAGGGACCAAGATAATCCCTTACAAATTCGGCAAAGAGCTACAAGATGGATTCCAATATACTGGAGACTCGATCAAGCCCCCTCGAGAGCTCATGGGGGTTTTCACATCTCTGGAAGAAAAGGTCAGAGATGGTCTCAGCCTAGAGAAGGAAATTGAAAACGCCACAAAGAGATTTGACGTATCCAGACGTGCAGACTATGCTCGACCGAAAAATGATCGCTTATACACGGGTGACTATCTACACGAAGACGGCTGCGATTGTAGTGATCACGCCGCGTCATCGTCTCCCTACTTGATTAAGCGCCGCCAACGAGTCCCTTCCCAAAAAGTCGTTTTGCACCAGGGAATCATCTCGTCGGCGGACCAGGTGATGAAGAATGCAATCACAAGGGATAAGATTTCCAATGACACAAGCTGTATCTGCTTTGAAATGGAAGCAGCAGGCTTGAAGTATATCCCCGACTCGCTTTCGATTCGGGGCATCTCTGACTACTCGGATGGGCACAAGAATGACGCTTGGCACGATTATGCATCGTTAGCGGCTGCGGTGGGCGCTAGAGAGCTTCTGCGAGCGCTGAGCCCGCGGAAATTGGACCGTCGTCGGGTCGGTCCCTCACCCAAGGAGGTGGATAACTTCATTAATGGGGCAGCCGACTTGGTAGAAGCATACTCACGAAAAGAACGCCAGGACCCTAAGTCTCTTCAAGGGATACTGAGGAAATTGACAGAGCGGCAAGAGTTGATAGAACACCTCATCAACCGGGATTTGAACGACTTGAAAAACTCGAATAAAGATCGTGGTGATGATCCGAGAGTGGTAGAACTAGGGAAAGACGTCATTCAGCTTAAGCAATCTCAACATGAACTGAAAGATTGCTTTGAGAAGTTCGAGAAACAGGTAAAGGAGTATACTATTTCCAGAGAAGATTATGTCACGCGTGAAGAATGGGAGCGGTTTCAGCAACAGGTTGAAACCAATACCGCCAAGGTTGCTGATTTTGAGCAATCCACTGAGAAAGTGATGAATACTATGGGGGACCTGCTTAGCGTGATTGGAGAACAGACTGGGGACAAGGGCTTTTCGTTTGCGTCTAAATATGTAAGGATGGCAGACCAGTTTCGCCAAGGGATAAAGGGGTTCAGTGGTCCCGCGGGCACTTCGAAAGGCGACGGTGAACACCAGCAATCGAGCGAGAATAGTACTGACGATAAGATTGAAAGTAACTCTCGAACGGGAACATCACGGGGCTCGTGGTGGACAAACCACATTTCCAAACCCTTGAGAGGGCGACAGGGACCGGCTGATGGTAGCACAACAGGAAGTGTTTCGTTGCCAGATTCACGGCATTCTTCCATCTCAAGGTCAGCAAGACCGTCATCTGATGTGGCTGGCAACCGACCCTCTATGCACAAGCCTCTCTCGGCACAAACTACGGCCAATGATGCTCCCCAGGCACCAATACTCCAAGAAATGCTTGCAGATATGTCCGTTCGCGACAAACGGAAGTTGTTTGAGCTGAACAGTGGCAATTGTTGATCTATTCTTTTAAGTAGCCAGCATACTCTTATATATGAAGCTGTATGATTTTTTTTGTGGAAACTAAAGGGTTTCCCCCTTATTCATGGTCTTTAAGAATATTGTAATTAATTGTTACGCTTTTTATTAATTTTAAATTCAATGTCTGTTAGATAAACGCCGGGTCTTCAACCCTCGATTAGCACGACAACGACCGTCTAATCTGAGAGGAGAGGAGAATAAACAGGGCGGGCCAAGGAGTAATGCCATGTTCCCGTATTTCGCACTCCTAGACAGATTGACAGCCTGTAGATCGATTCATATCACTTTTACCTTATAAATGTTAATACAGAATCTGTGTTATATTTTCTGATTGTTAAAAGCAAATCCCGAACAGTCCCCATCCTGGATGTGATTAAGCCATCGCCGTGTAATCTACCAAGCTGGCTGGCCACCTTCGTATTGATTTAGGCCCGGGGAATTTTCCCATCCGGGCACGTGAATGTTCAAGAACTTTCCGTTCGACTCTGGGCCTGATTGGATAATGACATCGAGAGTAGCTTTAGAAGCGGTCCCCACGTCGAGGTCAGCGTTTTCACCACCGATGGGTGTTTTAATCCACTGGTTTCTACTTATCAATATGGATAGTCAAAGATGGGGACAAGATTTACTGACCCCCGGAGACACGGCGATGGTAGTGAAACCCTGATCTTCTAACGAAAGCGCATATTGAACCGTAAGCATGTTGAGGGCAGCTTTTGAGATCTTATATGCTGGGGTCGGGATTTCTCTAAATGTAGGTGCCATAGTAATGGACCCAACGGTCGTTGATCTTTCTTAATGTTAGCAAGCGAATATCGCATTTTCCTGTCTAATATCTTCGCTTACATGTTCGCAATTTTCTTCATATTGCCTTTCCTCAATACCGGCAAATACGCACGTATCACCTGGTGTGCGCTCATTACGTTGACGTTGAACAAAGACATTAAGTCATCCCTTGACGGGTAACGAGTTAGTGGCGACCTTCGCACGAGATCACGAAATGAAGGCCATTCCAGCTCGCTTACATATGTTCGATGCCCCCCAAGGCTACGCTTGACATACCTGCCACGTTGACAAGCACATCTAAGCCCTGTCCACCAAGCGATTGCTCAACCTTTCCAACTGCGGCCCGGATGGAGTCCTCTGAAGTAGCATCCATTGAAATGAGCTCGACACGTCCGCGGTGATCAGCAGCGAGTTGCTTTACCTCATTGGTTTCAGTGCGGACAGCAGCGAAAATCTTGGATACGTCGGATGCCGGCTTCGCTGCCAATTCGGCCACCAACGCTAGGCCAAGCCCACGGGAAGAGCCGCTGATGAGATAGGATGCCATTGTGTACAAATATCTGGTGGAGATGCAATTGAGATAGATGGGTTGGCAAATGAATCTAATGATTACTCTCGGTTTGATGTCTGACCGTTCTTTTAAATGCCTTTGGGTGTATGACGCAGTGGCGGGCCTGCTAAATGCGGTAATCAGTCTCGGCAATCGCTCTTAAATCCCCTGATACCGATCCTTAACTCCGGGTCGGTTAAAAAGACGGAGAAATGATCTCTTTAACAAGAAAAGCTTGACATGGACCTCTTTTTGTTGTGATATACTTGAGGAAATATCCTGCCAAATTCAAGCTACACGTGACGGTGCTATTACGAGATTCACGGTGCGAAATGAAATGCCCAAATTTGAATCCAGGATACAAAAAGAGGAAAAATAAAGAAGCAGCAAGTTCAAATTTCAAGATAGTCAATAATTTCTCGATATTGAGCGCTAAATATAAGCAAGTTGCGTGAACTATTGATACATGTAGTTACCAGGTGCGAGGCGAATAATCCTTTACCATCTCTTTCCTCTTCCCTAGCAAAACATGGAGATAGAAAACCACCCTTAAGCTTACGGTGGGCTACCCACGTATACCGTTAGGGTATCAGGAGTTGCGTGCGATACCGTACCCGAGGCATTTTCATTACCATCAGGGTTGACATCGTCATATGGGAACGCATAGCCTTTGCCATCGACCTCCCGCGCGTGCACAGCTTTGCTGTAATAGTTTGTAGGATCGACGGTGTAGTAGGAACTCTGGCCTAGGCTTGGCTGTGTGTTGCCGCCGGAGAGAAGCAGGGTGGAGCGGACGAAAGCGGCGCAGAGACGGGGAACAACGGCTACGTGGACGGCATTGTCGCCGCTCTGGATAGCGAAGGGACCGCCATTGCAGCCCCAGATGTCGCGAGCAGAGGGCTTACTATAGCTTCGGTTATCCTGGGCACAGGTCAAAGTGCTGCCTGAAACGCGGCACGCAACCGACCCGTATGATGTCTGGGTGTTCAGAACTAAGTCTTGAGAGGTGTACTTGCTCCAGACTGAATTGACATAGGAGTCCCAATAAGCGCTGAATCCGCTCGAGTCGATGTCCGAGTAAGAATATGGCGATAGGATGCGGACCGGGTTGTTAGAGTTGGTCTGGCAAAGACCAGCCCAGGGGTAGCCATCACGGCTTCCTTGGGTCTTGAGCGCAGAGCAGACAGCAGCAACAGAGCCTGCGGAAACGCCATAGGCGGTTTGGGTGCTCCCTCCCTTGACACTGAGTGCTATTCCCAATGGAAGGCCCAAGAAGTCAACATAGCTAATATTGGCAAAGAGACTTCCGTCCGTGTTGAGGGTGAGCTCTACGAATCCCCAATTGATACCCGCGCTGGGGTCCGTCGAGCTGACATGGGATGGCTGGACAATGCCGTCACCGCTTCCCGTGGAGACAACCCCAAAGTACAACGCAGCCGATGCAAAGTAAACACGAGCTGAGCTGATGGCAATAGGAATAGTCATGCTCAAAGTCTGGCCGGCAGCAACTCTTATCACAACGCTTGAGGACACCTCCACGGGCGTGGTTGAACCGCCAGAACTGGGGTATAGGAGGGAACCGTCAGAGAGGATAAAGACTGCAGCGCCACTCGAGTCCTTTCCTTGCACGTACGCAACGATGGCAGCACCATAGTTATTGACAAACTTCATAGGTAAAGATGCTGCGACAGCGGAAACACCGATGGATTCAAAATCGGCGTTGCTGGATGGAGGGGGGATAATGAGTTCATCTCCAGTGCGGGTGCCGTTGAGGGTGTTGTCCTTGGTAACAATCAGATCCTCGAAACCGCCAGGGGTGACCTCGGTGAATTCGTTCGGAGTTCTTGGGAGAACTGCGGCATAGGCAGTGACCGAAGACCCCAGAAGTCCAAGCGCAAAAGTTATAAACCGCATAGTGATGAATGAGCTAAGATTTCGCAGATCCTCAAGACTTGGAACCCCGCAAAGATTTGAATTGTCGCGTTGATACCAAAGGGACGAACAAGTTGGGATAAGCAGCCATTTTTATGCCTCATTGCTTTGGTTCTACTCCTCCATCTTCCTAGTTCTTCCCGTCAAAATGTCATCTGGAATTTGCTTTCCATGTGACATACACAACACCCAAGTTGGCATCATCGAGGCCACCTGCCTTTTCAACTAGGCATCAGACGACGCATTTTTCAACTTCATAGCTACGTGATATTCTCAAATTCATATTTAAAGGCCCGGTCGTGAATAAAGAGCAACGTAGTTTCGGCATCACGTAGATAGTAAGCTGCCATTTTGGTCGATGTGTGGTTGCAAACCACCAGTTACGGTTTTGCTAAGCTTTAGACACGTGGTACCTCCAGTTATGTTGCTGGGGTAGAAAGGCCCGAATGATGAATGATGGTAACACAGAACCGCGGCAAAATAGAGAGGCCTCCTTAGGGAGATAGTTATAGGCCTCGACAAGAGAGTAGATATGTTCTGATTCATAAGAAGGAAAACATCAACATGGTGATTGCGTTTTGAACCATAGGTTTGACTCCTTGATACTGCTGTTCCAGGTGAGAGAAGTCTGTTTAGATTTTTATCCGCACCTTGGACCTATCAAAAAGGTACTACGCTTTCCAGTGCATCGTAGTATCAGGACCCTCCCCCCCTGGTCGAGCACTGCCCCGCCGGAGAACTCTCACCTGACACAATCGGAAGTCAGTGATGGTCACTTTCCTATTCCACCTCCCCCGTAGAGTGATTATTGGACGATCCTAGTCCGGCGTTTTATATCAATCGAGAAATTGACGCGCGGCCATCACCACTTCCCAAGAAGGAGACTTTAAATTCTACCGATACAGTCGCGCTGTGCGTCCGGAAACACAAGTGTGGTCCTTTCCTTGTTGGGCTGAACCTTTACCCATTCGAATTTGACCTTCCTAAAGCTTCCTCGACCACGAGACGAATATCAAGGCACCAATACTACCGCATGTTGTTGACTGCCCTGGTCGGTTCTGCAAATGCTGTGTGAGGGAGAAGCCTACCCTCTCGGTCCATCATGCAGAGAGAGAAAACGCTGTCAAGGCATTTCGCTCCATTTTTACGTGATCATGCGTCTTTTCAAGGATTCCTTCTGATGATGGCTACGTAGGAAACATGCGGCAAACCCCAATAACCGTGACAGGAACGCAGTGCTTTGAAAAGCATTCACGAGGCCTGGACGCATTGAATCGACGTTCTTTTCACTTATATGCCAGTTCGGCCAGCACGGTTCATGTTTTCATTTCTTGACAAACTTTCTTATTAATTGGGTCGAGGTGTCGGGTCTAGCATCTTTCATTGCACCATGGGTTTGACTTGTTATCACAGAAAGAAAATTAAGGTGGCGTCCGATATATCCACTAGCACTGTGAAAGAGTTTGAGCACAAAGCGAAACAGCAATGGAAGATGCCAGACCCGACATCTCAACACAACGAATACTCCACTGGTGGCAAAGCTTTGGAAACATCCACGCGTAGGTGATGAGCTCGGTCAGTGGCCATCGACTTTGCGAACTGGTGTGAAGGCAGAGCGTGGTGTTCCAACTACCAGCACATGACTGTCGTATTAGTTCTATTAGCCTTGAAGAGGAGCGGCAGATATCAAGCGGCCAGGTTCGAAGTCCTGTGTAAGAGTCGTGGTGGCGCAGTACACTTTTGGCTATGTAACTTTTTAATATTTCGTTTTCCACTAAGCGAGCGTAACCCGCCTGTGTTCTCACACCCATACCTCTCGCTTTTTACCTAAGAGTGTTCACTTAGTTTTGAAATTACTACGAGACTAACTTCCGTGGCTCTTAATCCAATCAGCTTCACAGAGAGTACCGCCCGGTCAGGCTTTACCCGTTAATGTCCCCTTACTAGCTTCTTCATGCACCTTCGGGCAATGATGAGGCGCCAAAGCGCAAAGTTTAGCTGCCGGGCAAAGGAGAGTTCAGTTCACCATGACTTTGCGTAAAGTTCCCATAGACTCGCTAGGCAGGGAAGAGCTATAAATGCCAGTGCAGATCGTCAAATTGGTCCGTCGCTCCCATCGCGACAACCCATACCTTCACCAACCTGCCAGAACGCAACTTGAAGACACGCTCCCGGAAACCTAAATTGTTAACATTTTCATCACCCCTCATGCCACTAATAGCCTTTGATCCATACCCAGGCCACGATGGTAACCAGGCGACATGTCCACCAAGCTACAACGAGGATGGAAACGCAGAACGAGTGGCACGCATGATTGACTACGCTTGGGATGTACGGCGTCCATATAACTGGAGGGGCAAAAGTTCAAACCCCAATTTAACTATAAAAATGGAGCCCCAGTCCAGTTCCAGGTGGAAAAAGATATTCGGGAAGAAAGCTTCACCAGATTGGCGTGCAGTGGTGGAGGTCAAAGCTCGAAGTATTCCACGTTTGATGCGCACTGGTTTCGACTTGTCAGCGAATAAGGTTGTTATGGGGACCGAGTTCATCAAATTGGACGATTGGACAAAGCCAAGATCAATTGGCTGCGGCCCTTGTTGGAGGCATACGCGGACGATTCGCTTGTTGGAAACAATCAAGGACGAATATGAATGGGACGCTACATTATTTGTGGTTTCCAAGAAACCTTGGACTATTATCAATTTTGAATTCAGCTGGCTGACACAGGACACAATTAGTATCATGAAGGCCTTTGATTGGGATGGCAAGCAAGTTTATCTGGCTGATCGATCACGACCAAGTGCTAATTTCAACACCGTCTACAATAAACAGTTGATGGGCGGATATTGGCCGTGGCCCAAAGAGACTGTCCAACCGATCGTCAGTGGTTCGGGTAAGCAGGAGGAGGAAAACAGAGTTCAAGTGATGCCAGATACCTTGAACAACCTGAAGCCGCCGACGCGGCGATTCCCGACGCAGCGTTTACTGCTAGGTATCAGGGCCACAGTCAGCCGTTTTGTTGAGAGATCGAGTCTCGCATCTTGCATTAATGGTTCCGGTCCGTACTCAAACTCTCATCCATATCAGGGTCACGGCAAAGGGAACACAAAGGGAACCTGAGGCGAGCAGCAAGGATCAGGCGCAAGTTGACTTGGGGTTTTGATGAGCAAGACTTATGCCACGTACTGGGTTATCTTCGGTCAGGTCTTCAATTTTTTTCTGAATGTTAAGGTTAAGAAATGATGGAACAAAATCGAGATTGGGACGTAACAACAACATCTACAATATGCTTTCCCCTCAGCTCAAAACCAGCTGTAGTTGAGGGTAAGAGCAAAAAGAGGTCATGTTGGGCTGTTTTTACTCTTCCCTCTGTATTACTCTTTTTACTGAAATTTACTGTTTGTTTTGCACTCTTATTCATTTTGTTTTGTTTTCTTTCTGTGGGGAAAGAGTCCGTGATAGATGTAAGACATGCTGGTCTACCCTCGTTGGAGTGAATCAAGCGGACACGGTTAGACTGCATAGCAAGGTACATCCCGTAAGAAGATAAGCTTCTCAATCATAGGTAGATTGCTATACTCGTACTGCCTACATGTAATCAAGTAATTTTACCTTCGGTGAAAGAACGAATAGGTTATAGGCAAATACGTCTCCACAAGTCCCGGGCTCGTCGTGTGTGCCAATTTTCGTATCTGCTGACTTACCCGCCAGCGAATACGCATTGTTGTGTGTAATTCTTTTAGAACTTTTAGTAGAAGACTCATCATAGATTCACCTAACACATGTGGCGCTACTCAGAGGACAACTCAAGATCCTCCTTTGCTCCCACTTTTTCCATGTTTTCCAACGCTTGCTTTATAAGCTGCTGTGTATCTTCGTCTTTGACTTCTTCCCCAGGCGCAGACTGGCACGCTTGGAAGAACTGCTTCCACTTAAGCCATGAGTCTGCAGGAAAATGGCTACCCCGATAATCCCGGCGTAGCTGAACATCCAGCCAGACCTTCTCAGGTGCATAGATGAACCACATGCACATCACTCGTACTTCTAGCTTCGAAAGGTGGCCCTTTTTGTCAATGAGCCGCATTAAATCGTTATAATCACGGCCGATGCTTTCTTTATAGCCTAGGAATCCGGCCTCTGATAGCTGGGCGAAGAAGGCTAGAGCGTTTTCATGATACTCCACGGTATCGCCGCTATCTTCAGTCGATGAGTGAGACCTGCTTCTGAGCTCCTGGTAAAGGGTGTGACTTACTGCCGAACTCGAAATATTCAGCCTGAGTCATACTTAGTTCAGGCATATCTGTCCAGAAACACGCCTTGTCAAGCTTGAACATGTCTCCGGTCTGAGGATCGCGTATAGTAACCTGCTCAAGAGAGAGGACAAATTCCAGAAGCTTGGATTGCTCATTGTGTTTGGTGTGCATGGAGAGCATATGAATTGCATCTGCGACACGAGAGGCGTGCACCCAGACAGGATCATCCTGGGCTGCGGACCGTGCTGCTGCATGGGTCAGGGCGACAATTTCCTCGACTGCTTGAGCTACGGGGAAGTCATCATGTTCCATGATCCTAAGAACAATCTTGCCTTCGGGCACATCATGGAGCTATTGATGTCAATCATCTTCCCAGTTTCCTTCACTGCCGACAGCCGCAAGTAGAAATAACAGGTGTCACTAAGGGGAGCCTACATTGTAATATGGCCACAGCTTCGACTTTGCGAGCTTCTCCGTGCCAGCCATGGTAAGACGTTATGAGAAGGTTGGGATATTGTGCTCTGTGTGTATGTCGGTTGGCTGAGTTTGATGAGAGTTGCTACGGGCCAATTGAGGACACGCCACACTCAACAGTGATAGTGGGCCGCAACTTGGACTTCAGTCTAGAAGCAGCATTGATCCCTGCCCGGTTAGGATACCAACCATCCTTACACTTCTTTGAGGCGGATTTACTGCTTCTGGGTTGAGCGCGCGCCCATTTCCCGATTAGGACCGGCGTCAACAGCCAAACCCACAGGAAGAAGCGCCCTTCACTCGTTGATGGGAGTCAGTTGGCTATAAATACGAGCTCGATCGTTCTCTTCACCCCCAGAATCTAGGACTCTCCTTCTTCTACCTGTCATTATACATATAAGCATCGGAAGTACCACTTCAGTTAAATACAAGAGCTCGCCAAAGATGAAAACTATTGCCGTAGCAGGCGGGACTGGCAAACTTGGCCTTACCATTGCCGAAACTCTACAGGAGAACCCAGAGTACTCTGTCGTTGTTCTTTCCCGCAAGGTGCGTGTGAGTATTTTAGCTAATCGTGAGATATGCCTTACCGTTGTGCATCAGGTACTAACATGAGGCTCAAAGGCGCCGGACTTGCCCAATTCAGCTTTGAAGGTCGTTGCAGTGGACTACTCGAAGCCCCAAGAGCTACAGGACGTACTTGAGAGCTATAAGGTCAACACTGTCATTTCTGCTCTGCAGGTAAACAGTCCCGAGTCTGGAGCAGCTGAAATCGCACTTGTTCACGCCGCGAATGGGTGTTCAACTACAAGCCGCTTCATCTCAAGTGACTGGTCGATGCCGATCAAAGACCCGTAAGTATTCATGACTTTCCCTAAAGTCAGCTCTCCAAGGCTAGCATTCATAACACTCTTCACTAGGAAATACCATCTTCCTTACTTGCCTATCCGACATCAAACCATCGAGACGCTTCGATCGACCGATCTCGAATTCACGACTGTGTACAATGGCACCATTATTGATCAAATCGGAACGCCACATATCCGTAGCCACATGGGTGTGTACGGCATTCATATCGACATGGCTAACCGAGCCACAGCTATTCCTGGCTCAGGTGAAGATGTCGTGTCATTCACCTATAGCTTTGATATCGCTCGCTTTGTTGAGGCCGCGTTGGGTCTTGAGAAATGGGAGGCGGAAATGTATTGCTACAGCGACAATGTCACGCATAACGAGATCCTCAGGGTCGCAGAAGAGACTGTTGGTATGGCGTTCAATACACCCCCCCATTTTACCCTTGCCTTAATGCACTTCTCAGTTCATAAGACGCTGACCATAGCGATTAGGGTGTAAATTCAACGTTGCATACGATCCAATCGAGAAACTGGAGCGAGGGGAGATGACCGAGCTGCCTATCCACCAAGCAAGTTACAAGCGATTTCCAAAGCCGGCGCTTCAACGGAGATTTTCACTGTTTGGTCTCTATCACGTCCATGGAATGTGTTACATGCCTCATGAAAAGAGCTTGAACAAAATATTCCCTCATATCAAGACACATACTGTGGCAGAGTTGATGGCCCCTTGGAAGGATGTCTAATACACCACCTGCGTCAGAATAGGGACTAGTAACCAATCTGGATCCGTATAGTCTTTTTGTATTCCAAATAAAACTCGGAATAAATAGTATTTCTCTCTCTTAACATAAAACGTTAAAAGAGAAGCGCTGGATAACCCATAGCCCCAAGACATGCGGCGGCGTCCCACCTATATGATTCCACGCTATCCCGGCAACTCCATACTTTCTTCATGATATTGCTCGCCTCCAGGGCTGCGCTCCGTGATTGAATGTCCCCCACAGAGGCAAGACTGTTTTGGAAGTATTTTTGTTCTTCTTCAACCCAAGAGAAGCAGCCCGCGATGCAGATTGGCCAAGCAAGTACGCGTATTTTACTCGGGTCATGCAACTCTCGTAACAACTGTGCGATTGAGTTCGTGTGCCAGCTTATTGAACTGGTCTCCAAACTGGGGCCTTGAGTAACTATTTGAAGGTAGATATGCGCAGCATGTGCGTATATTCTTGTTGGCACAAGAGAACGAATTCCCTCACTATGGCTATTTCCAGGCTGATACCACAAGGAGGAGCCGCAAATAGGGATCGATTGTAGGCCGTCACTGATAGACACAAGACCAGATTCTAGTTTCTTGAAGATTCTACTTGCTCTCAAGTCAAATTCCTTTTGATCGAAGTCGTGGTTCATTACCTCGGCCCTCTTTCTCGCATCCAGAGCGGAGATTTCTCCAATGGCAAGGAGAACCCAATTTTGGCAGCCAACAAAAGAGAAGAGATCCAAGGGCTGGTTTATCTCTTCAGGAGGTACAGTTCCTAATAGTCTGTCGTGAAGATGGCTTAGGTGCGGCTCTCTTCGGAGTGACGTACTGGCTAAGATATCGATCACGATAAGCAGCGCCGAAAAGAATCGAAAGTTTGCCTGGTCCGGGTTCCAGAGCTGAAGCTGGAAGCCAGGGAAATATGGCCGGGGCCAGTTCATGGCATCCAGAATGGCGGATATTCCGACCTCCTTATTTAATCCCAGTCCCACATCGCTGGCAATATCCTGGAATATTAGCAGTGCAGGGGTAAGGTGAGCCTCCCAATCCGCTGTCCGTCCCACGAAGAGGTCGAAGATCATGAGATGGACGATAGTGCCCATCATCCGTATCCTCTCCAGTAGCGTTGGCTGGCGACCACCCTCCGTCATCGAGGCCAAGTCCACCTTTAACATTCCGAACGCCATACGAGCCTGGTCAACTACCTGCCCCCACATGGTATATCTACATGCGTCATGTTTCCCGGGGAAAACATCTGCCAACCCAAAAGTGAAAAAGAATGAGCTCAAGCTCAGTACAGCATGAGTTGTGGCCCTGTTTTGTTTGACGAAGGACAACAGCCAGGCCCTGCTAGTTGCCACAGCGGGTGGTCGATAGAATGGGAACAGCAGCGGGAAGACGAAATCGATAAATATCATGGTGAAGTCCTGCTCCCAAGCCGGACCCAGCGCCGCTAACCGTTCCTCTGGATGGATATTTTCAACCTGCTCATCAGATCCAGGCGATGTTCTTGAGAAGCCCGCATTCGGGAATATCGACGAACTGGATTTCAATACCTGCTGGCCAGAAGATCTCGATTGATCTCCAAGTGCATCGGACTCGGAGAATGAAGGGACCTCCAGCACGCCAGGTCGAGAACTGTAGTCTTGCTGTGACGTGACGTGAAATGGCAGGTCGCCCTTTGTGCGTCTGGCGTTTGCACCGACTCTAATTAATTTCTTGATCTCTTCACCCATGGCCTTCTGACGTGGTCCACCGTCCATCCATTCCGGCTTCTGGGATCTCCTGTGGCATGGAATTGCCAAGTCGATACAGCTTCCACATTCTGGAATCGCCCTATCGCACCTCTTCCGACGAAGCCGACATGTCCAGCATGCAGCATCGTTGCTAGGGTTCCGAGGCATTCTATTGCACTGTTCAGACGTTGAGCATGCAGAAGCGATGATGACAATACTAAAAAGGCCGGTCGTATTGCTACACAGGTTCTTATTGGACTTGACAGGGGCTACTCGGCTACTCGGCCCAGAATCGTGCTCGCACCACACAAGCTTAGCAGAATAGAGAATTGCTGACGATCTTCTTTTGTAGCGGAGTTAATGGACCTAGCCAATCGAATATCACTACCCCTCTTCACTTGTTCCCCTCCTGAGTATCCAGGCAGTGAGCGCGAGGATACGGTGCTTTTGTTTGAATAAGGGAAAACAATAGCTGAGCTGTCTCGTACTGGTCGAAATCATTCTGTTAGCTTAAAATATTCTCAAAGTTCGGCACAGAACCCCCAACATACGGCTGGTTCCTCTGAGCATCAAGCGGGACATCGGATATTAGTCAGGCTGAATGGCAATTTAACAGGTAGGCAAATATATTTTGATCATAATTTTGACATGCACGTCCATTCATTTCATCCTAAGGATCTTTAGAGCCTGTAGAGATTGGATGCTACTCTCAATCTATTATCCCAGGCCTATGTCGGCGTATGCATGTCTATAGGGTAGGTGCTATTTTGGAGATGTTCATTTGGAACATGCCTCTGACTAATCAAGCTGGGAACTCATTTCCCGTTGTTTCACCGTCTCTTGTCATCAATTTCACCACGTTGTCTGATATAGAGTCCGTCAACAAATGACCTTGTTGAAGGGCCAGGGCTGAAATGCCCCCCAGACCGAAATATAGTAAGGGGTGTCACGCTTGTCGGCGAATGAAGGTCAAGGTGCGGCATCTGAGGACATCGCGGCTCAAATGGAACTCGGGACCGAGCTGACAAAAAGAGTCGACCGAGTAGTGTGACGAACAGAAGCCGCAATGCCGCCGTTGCATCAAGGGCAGGAGAAAATGCCCCGGATTCCCCGAGATTAGTACCTTTTTGTCCATGAATGCCGACTTTCCCAGCCAAGCATCTCATACTACCTTGCCAAAACATGCCGCCGCCAATCCTGAGCAGCGACTGCTGGAGGGACACTTCAATATACGGCCCTCTATAGACTGGCTCCAGCATGCCATGGGATACTTCTTCAAGAACTTTGTTCACACCCCCAGTCCCGATGGATTGGGTTATCTCCAGTTCCTCCCAGACCTACTATCGACCCAGCCGAACAATATCTGTCTGCGAGACACGTTGAATGCCGTGGCCATGACGAGCCTCGCAAATGTTTCAAGCACCAGTATTCTTCATTTCAAGGCCGACCAACTATATAGCATAGCCTTGAGGTCCATGAGCGCGGCGCTTCTATCGTGTTCTGGCGAGGATGACGCTGCGCTACTGGCAGCTATTTTCTTACTTCAGAAGCGGGAGGTTGGTTTAGCACCACTACCATTCCGTATGTAACTTTCCGTTGACTCAAACCCTAGGCATTGAGTGGTAATGTGAATGGCATGAAGCCCCACGAAACGGGCCTGGTCCAACTTTTGCGAGCGAGAGCTCCGCGGAAGCCTCAAAGTGAGCCGGAGGCTGGCTTGCTGTGGACAATACATGCCCGATTGCAAGTACGAAGTATGGATGGTGGCAAATCTTGCGCTGATGGCTTGGATGCGCTCGACCTAACTAACGGGCCTCAAAGACCACTTCAATCAGGTGTAAATCACATGTACGGCAATGTATCCAAGTTTTGCCGAGACATGAAGCTGCTGGCCAAGATAAACGCGAACGGGCTGTACAGCTCATCCTCCATAATTCAACTCAGCAGTGCTCTTGATCTGGCTTTTGAGACTGAAAGCGAGCTCGCAGCATGGCCGTCGACTCTTCCACCGGAGCAATTGCCCAGACAGGTTGAACTTGACATGTCCCCTGAACTGAGATTTATAAGCAAGCTGTACACCTTTCCCGAGATTCAAGACGGGTGTCGATGGTCAGTGTACTGGACTAGCCGTATCCAACTTTTAGGGGCAATCAATGAAGGCCTCGATCTGGTATCCCGGACGGGAATGCGGTACAACTCGCCTTTATCTCGGCAAGCCATCAACCTTGGCATGCAGTCGGCTGCAGACTCGATCTGCTCCGCTATCCCCTTCATGTTAGGTGAGGTTGACCCCGAAGGGCGCCCATTGGTTGGCCAGAGAGGTCAAGCCTTGGGAGCATACTTTGCGACTCGATTTATTCACATCGTCAACGAGGTTCCTTTCCTCCCGGAGCAGCAGAGACTATGGACCTTGGGCTGCCTCCTCAAGCTTGGCCAGGTATGGGGCATTGGCGCTGCGCTCCAGTCGAGAGCACAAATCATCCAGCGGTTCCACCTGGTGCCCGTCATTTGATGCCATTGCCACATGAATTTGGAACTAGAAAGATGGCGGGTGGTCCCAAAGCGACCTATGGAACGAACTGGCCATAGGAATTGGCAGTTATACCTGACCCGGGCGTTTGGTCCTAGCTCATGAGGGGGTTGATGGAAGAAGAGCAGTCTTCTTCTGACGGAACAACCCCAGCGCGCGCTGAACGAGAAGGGCAACACGCAAGCACGTTGAGCGCATCGCAATGCAATTATTCTCTCTCACTTCGCTCCGACAGATCAAGGATGCCAGGGAAGCTTACTAGCTGACCTTGCTATAGTTTTACTATGTGCGTCGGTCCGACATTTGGTCTAAACTCGTTGAGACCCTCGACGACTTTGATTTAGAGTATCCCTGGGACGACAACAAGGCTATGAATGACGGTCAACTAGAATTACCTAACCGAGATAGTAGTAAGGACCAGTCTATGGCCGGCTTGCGTGATCTCTACTGCTTCTGGAGAGATTATACCTTGGCTAATATTGAGTCCAAAGCAGCTGACTGGCTGACGGCGGCAACAGCCAACTACAGGACGGAGTTTGAGAGCGACTAAGAATAACATATCCCCGTTAATTAGGCTCCACCTACGTGTATTAGATAATGATGCAAGCATCGTGGGAGAGGATCCGGTACGGGAAAAACAAACCAACAACCCCATCGCAATCGCGCTTCTTACGCTTTTCAGTTAGTGCTGCGATCGGCTCCACAGCATCATCCTCTTCGGATGCGTCTTGTTTTCTTCAGAAACGGATTCAACTGAGATTTACTGGGACGCCGTGTATCGCGTTACTAATTCAATTTGGTATGATGTATCCGTATGCCATCCGGAGTGTCCGAGGTATTACTATTTAAGGGCAGTCTCATGTGTATCTTCTTGATCCTTCAGAACTACAAGTCTGCTCTTATCCCACTCAACCTATTGTTTCTCCGTTCCCTTGAAAGTCTGCTCGTCTAGTGTCACATCAACATCACCTTATTACTTAGTATACAAGACGGCCACTCCCCGGTTCTGGCACAATGTCTGAGGGTAACTCTGGATCTAATCGCAAAATCGCAATCGACAATGTCAGGGTGTTCGACGGGGAGATAATAAGGCCTCCAGCTACCGTGATAATTGATGGCAACATAATTGGCCATGATGATTCAGACATAAATGATCGAATCGACGGCCAAGGCGGCGTTCTCCTCCCAGGCTTTATCGAATCCCATTCCCATCCACGAAAGATTGCGGACCTACAATCTTTGACCAGCCATGGCATCACGACCGCTTTCCAGCTGGCCTGTTTCTCCAAAGAGCACGTCCACTCTTTCCAAAAGCTCCCTGGTCTCGTCGACGTCTACTCTGCTGGCGCTCCAGCCGCTGCTCCCGGAAGCACACACGGTAACATGATCCAGAACATGATCTCAATGCCAAACCTACTAGTCCAAGGAGAGGACGATGTTACGCGTTGGGTCGACGAGCAAATCTCATGGCAACCCAACTTCATCAAATTGATCGCACAAACGCCCGGTCTCTCACAAGAGACCCTGAACGCGCTCGTTGCAGCTTCTCATGGGCATGGCAAGCAGGTTGTGTGCCACGCGGCCGATGCTGACTCCCATGCTCAAGCCATGCAATCCGGTGCCGACCAGATCCACCACACCCCCCTTGACAAGCCAATTACCACAGATCTGGCCCAGCAAGTCTTGTCTCGTGGTCAGATTGTCGTGCCCACCTTGTCGGTGATGAAGGCCTTTGCTGGGCTGAATTTGCCTGGGCAAACAAGCTACGAGTCGGCTCGTGAATCGCTCCGGATATATCACGAGGCTGGAGTCCCGATCATTGCAGGGACGGATGCGAATCACGAGATTGCTGCCGTGGTTTCTTTTGGGAAGTCCTTCCATGACGAGCTGGAGCTCATGATGGAGGCGGGCATGACAAGTGTAGACGTGCTTCGGTCGGCGACGGTGCTGCCGGCTAAGCACTGGAGCTTGGAGGACCGTGGGGTTATTGAGCCGGGAAAGAGAGCAGACTTGGTTTTGATTGAGGAGGATCCTATTGCCGATATTAAAGCTACCCGGAATGTTAAACGGGTCTGGGTTGCAGGTGCAGAGTATACTGGTCCTCTTGAAGGGGCAATGGAAGCATAGCAAGGTCGGAAATGGGTACGTGTTACTTTTAGATACCCTTTCAGAGACCATTGTCACAGTCAGAGTGTTGATAGTTTTTTCATAGAGGCCGTATGTCTCGGGCGGTTATAATCCGATATAAATTACAGATGGCAAAATACTCCTTATGGAGCCATGGTCTTATGAAGTCACTGGCGAGGCCATACTCAATTGGAATAACTCCCATTTCCGCATTTCAGATCTGTGATACTTGCTAGTGAAGCACTGTCTTATCGTAGCCAGCAGACGATCAGTTGTCATACAAATTAAGAAACAAGTCTCAAGTGCGATAGGCCACATTCAAGTCATACAAGGTGCAGTAAGGAATAGATTTGGAGACATTCGCCGAACCGTAACCCTCCCACCTCACCTGAGCGTTATAGCCTAGGAGGCAGTGCCTCCACCTGTCTAGCCCCTTCCACTCCGCTGACCCAAGAGACCCTATCCTTTACAAAAATCTCTCGCTGTGGCCTCAACTTTGTCTCATGCAGGTTGAAGTCATCAACTGTGCCAATGCGGAGAATGCTCGCTCCGGGCCAGCCCGAACCGGTCCGGTACATCAGTGTTCCGCAGGTAGAGCAAAAGTGATTTGTCATTGACTCATTTCTCAGTATCGTAGCTGACTGAGAGAATTCTTTCAGATTCTCTTTACCTCGAACATGCTTCAAGTGTGTGTTCGCAACTGTAAAGTTGGAAGCAAACATGGACGCGGTGATTTTGCGGCAATCGGTACAATTGCAAACGAATGTGTTGAGCAAACCGGGGCCTTGAGTTGGCTGCAACAATTGTTAGCATCTATGTTGATAGAGATGTTCACAAGTGATGAGAGGGAATAAAAATCAGAAGGGTTGGAGCCTCACAAAGACTAGCTGCACGGCACCGCAAAAGCAAGTGGCGGTGGCTTTTTCATCCGTTGACCAGCCATCTCGAGCAAGACTGGCAAGAGGGATGTATGGCTTTGACTTGTCCGCTGTTGCTGCCATCTTGAGGAACTCTGTGTAACAAGGGGTATGAAGGTGTGTGTGTTTGATTGGTTCTACTGGTTGTGGGGTGATGAATTAGAAAAGACAAAGATTTGGCCTGAGGAATGAAATGGCCATGTTATTATATACACGGTTCGATTGGCCAATTTATTGATTTCGAACCTTGACAACCAATTGATTTCGAATGATCTATAATCGCTAAAGGAGTTGGTCAGGAGTCTCGGAACGGAGCTCCACTCCGAAGCTCCTGGTTCGCTCCGTAGCTCCGGCCGAAAAGTGAACAACCCCAACAGTCGCCGTCAGTTAATAGCAGTATGAGCCAGGGATACATTTCTTCGAACATTCCGGCAATTATCAAGGTGGAATTTACAAGTGATGACTTCACACTACTTTATCGATACGTCAACTTCGGTATTCAAGTCTATTACTGCTTTCCAGGCGAGGACCAAGCCAGGTGATGATCAGGATATGAGTATAGCAACATGAATTTCTTGAACTTGGTGCTGAAAGTAAAATCCATATTTTATAGAATTAGTCCAGTATTAAATATTTTTATATCCTCATCAAGTATTATAACTCTCCAAGGACAATAAACGCAGATAAGTTAATTGCTCCCACCCCTCGCTTTCTCGAGATGCATCACATTGTAAGTCTAAGTGTATGCATATAAATTTTATAGCATATCACGAACCATTGATAGGCTTAAATAACTTTCTAGCTTAGAACGGGAACAGGACTGGTCAGCATAGTCATCAGAGTCGTCGTATGTGTCAGTCATGAATGAGCTGATGAGGCCTTTGGGCGATTTGAGTAAGCACAATCCAGCCTCAGAACCCTCTTTGTATTCACGCCATATCGATCTCGGTGATACCTAAGCTACCCGGTTCCTAAATATAACTACGCAGTTGTGTAAAAGGTCTCTTTTAATACAAAATCCAATTGTTCTACGTACGAATGAGTTCCGTAAAGAATTGCCAAGGCCGAATTCCTCGTCAAGTCCCCAAATCATCAAAGTTCGAAGGGATGAATTTTGAAACGTCTCTCTGAATGCAATCGGATAATTTCCACGAGTTTAGTGCATTGTAACTATGTAACTAGAGTGATTGTTTCGGTAAATCACAGGAACACCTGTCTTCCAACATATACAGCCCCTCCTTACTCTGGGTGCATTCTCTAAAGACACCTAAAACAAACCTAATTGCAGCACAAGCTAATCTACTGTTCAACTTGCAGGGGCATTCACCTAGAAAGTCGCCCAGAAATAATGGACTGGCACCCAGTGGAAGGAAGATATGGCGAAAAGATCGTAAACGAGAAGCACCCAGCAACGGAGCAAAAAAAGCCCACACCGGGCACATCAACTCTGGGGGGATGATTTAGTGGTGTCAAGGATAAAGCAAATGGGAGGTTGTAAGGACGCCTTTTGCTCCCAACAAGCTTATTTGTTGGGAGCTTACATGCATTCATGCAGCTTACATACGCATCCACTTTCCATAAGCATTATTGATGGCATTTTCGTGCCATCTTTCTATTTTAGGCAGCGAGCTGAGTCGCTGCCTACTACGCATACAAACATAAAGAGGGGTGCCATCCAAGTCTGCCACTCATTTCAAGTTCAACCTTTCCCATCTACAGTCATTCTGGGGCAATACTTGCGATCTTCCCTTACCACCCGCCATGGCAGCTGAAAAACAAGAGAAACAAGAGCCCATAGACTCACCAACCCAAGTTCTTGACTATGCTTGCAAACCATGGAGGCTCAGTTCCCAGCGTGTGGCAGATCTCTATCATTCCGGAACGGCATTTTGGTCAAAGGCCGATTTAGAAGACATTGAGAGGCAGTTGGAGCAGTCATTTCATCTGGAAGTATTTACACTTCGGGACCTTGAAGGCAAACAAATTCAAATCAAAAACCCCGTCTTTCAGGTTGAGCGGCCGATTTGGTTAGTGATTCTCCAACCCTCCCAAATACTGAAATAAATGCGTTGCTAAAACTTTTAATTGAAGGCGACCCTACGTCAGGTATCAAGACTACTGGCCTCTGGTGCTATATGAGCCTGAAACCCCAGAGGAGCTACACAAGTGCTCGTATATAATCGGTTGGAGGAATACGGCTGGCGATGGTTTTCAACACAAGATTGAAAACTGGCACGAACTTTTCGAGATCAGAAGCCAGCTTTGGAACACAAGCATTACTTGCAAATCGCTCAAAATGGAGTTGAGCAAGCTCTTATTTGAGAGTCAGTACCTACGCACTCGGAAAATTACCAAAGTCATCTGTTTTGGGCTCGGAGACTGGGTAGGTGGTCCCCATATGGAGATCTATAAATCAAAACGGGAGATTTCTTTTGCTCAGATCGCTTTTGGTCCCATAACACAGCATGTTATGGCATTTACGATAGCAGAAGAGATCAGGAGATACAACCCCGGTGTCCGTTTGATTGCGCAAGACCCTGCGTATAGGGACTGCGCAGTAAATTTCCTACAGGAAAGGGGATTTGAAGTCAAAGGGCAGTTTGGAGCTGGCGCTTTTGTGGACGTTGACGACGAGTCTCTCGTGATTTCCGCATCTGCCTCGGCACCGATTAGACAAATCGTCGCTGACATTGCTAAACCAGCTATGTTTATCGGGAGTTTCTATGATGGCGGCATTGTGGCGGATGATAAGAGGTATGTGATGTTCCTTTTACCACAGAAAACTTCAAAATGTGTAATATATAGCAGACTAATCTTTAGAAATAGCATGCCGTTCCTTGACGCAGATTCACCTCGAACCATGGAGATGTGGGAGTCCTATGACAGAATAGATTTCCCAATATCGCGTATGGAACGTGAGCTGTTGGATTTCGGCAGGGTTTTGAAGGTGTCTATGTTTTCTCGAAAATGAGTGTTGGGTGATGAAATTTGAAATTTGGGACAGATAAAACCAGAGTAGTTCAAGTCTCATTTGGCCTCTTGCGGGTCATGTGCGACAACCTCGATCTCAACACGCATATCATCCTCTGCAAGACGCGCCACGCCAACACAGGTCCAGATAGGCTGGTGGTCTGGCATATATTTCTTTAGGTTTCGTACCATTGCCCCCAATGCTTCGTTGCTGAGAAGAACGTGATAAGAGTTCACGCGAAATACCTGTGACCACCCTTTGCCCCCAGCATCCTTCAAATTGCGCTCCACGTTGGCAAACGCAAGGTCGATTTCCGCATTGATCTCCTTCTCAAACACACCAGTCTCGGGGTCCCATCCTCCTACAAGTGAATTGAAAATTAGAGTCAAGTTTGTTGGACATGAGATGTACTTCTCGATTGGAAACGTACCTTGGCCAGCGCATTCAATCCGATCGCCTACTCGAACTGCCTGGCTGTACCAGAAATTCTCTCTGTTTTTAACTCCCTGGCCTTCATAGGCATAGTATTGGAGATGAGACATGATGTCTATATGACGTCTCACAAGTTAAATACAAAGATGCCGTTGTGATAAGAGAACTGAATTTGAGCTTGCAATATTGATGAGATTTTTGGACAAAATCGTGAACATGGTTTTTAACAATTTCACCGCAGAATCAACCGCCCTGGTGCTTTCTTATGCATCAATTAAAGTTTGCGGAATAAGAATTTCTCAGGCGCCACACAGTGACTTCATCGTAATTTTTACATCATCTCCATTCAGCAGCGCAATTTCTCAAGGTCCAGAGGCTTCAGAGTTTGTGGCTGTTCCCACAAATTCGGTTCAGTGTGTTATGTACGCTGCCGTAAGGGTGAGATCACAGGGCGGTTGGAGACATGTACGTTTGATACGATACAATCTCATGCGACCTATTCTTTCTACTTACTACCTACCTTCATGTCATTGATCTTGACCGCCGCTTTCCTAAACGGATTGTTCCTAGATACTTGCAGCATAATATCCAGGAACTTCCTCCTTTTCAAAGACCATTTTGACGTCCGACATGAGTTTGAAGGCAATCATGATCAGAAGAGGCCCCCCATCATAAAAGTTCTAAACTAGAGCCTCAATAAAAACATACAGATTGGCAGATTTAATCCTATTGTACTTCGAGGTAGGGGTCATAGATTGTTTAAGGCTCAATAGTCCAGCAGCAAACAGCGAGAGTCAAGCAAATCTCGTAACAGAAAGCGGTTAGTTAGACCTTGCCGCTCCGCTGTGACTAGGCTTATGAGAGAAGCACGATTCGAGAGTGGTCTAGAAGCATATGAAGATCTCTTCGACCCAATACTCGTCCGAACTAGTTAGAGACCGGGACTAGTACCGCTCTGGCCGAGAGATGCGATGGACGGATATCTTTCAGCCTAGCTGGGAGTTTGGCAGTAAGCCAGAGAAGTTATAACTAATCGTAATGGATTACATTTCGGCGAACCTGCCCCACCTATAGAACTCATCTGGGACAGGAGTTCTACCACTGTTATCGTCAACGCATATTGCACCCTAGTGATAGGTGGTTGCCGGAGAAGAACGCTATCAGGGATCAACATCGTGTGGGAGGAGAAAACGCGACCCGGAGGGCCAGTTTGCGGTACCAGACCAAAGGGGCAGCTCTTCGGAGCTCCATTCCCATCGCCCTACCGGCAGGCGATGCGATTTGGTGGATCTAGGCTTGAATATGAGGCAATCGTCAAGGGGTGACATAAAACCCAGAACACCAGTAGGAAGACGACATTGTTGCCTTGGTGCTATATTTATGTCAGTTGCTAGCGTTTTCCGGTCACTTGATCGGCAACTTCCTCAGTGGAGTTGCTCAAGAATGAATAACGTAAAAGACCTTTTCTCCCCACCAACTCTACATCTGTTTGACTCATCAGTCCAATGGCCCGTGTTCGGACGCTCCATAGTAAGCAAATCCCCGCAAGGCCGGATCCTGCTCCCGGTCCAGTAGGTTGTCCTTGACCACACCGAATAATCTTTCTAACATTCTTCACTGGGGGATATGGCGGATAGTGGAGGCTTGATATAGGTTATTATAGCCCTATGGCTTTCATACAAAAGAAATATTTCCCAGACGTCTGTTTTTCCATCACCTATTCTCAACCCGGTACCCTCAGTTTCTCTTTCTGTCCGCTCTATTAAGCTCTATTAAGCTCTATTCCCCCTAAGTTGAACAGAAGAAATGGCATCTGAGAAAGATACTCATGGCGCCACTGACGACTGCGAAAACCGAGAAGGCGAGCCTGGCCAAGGCCAACTGCTTCCGTCCCTGGCCCCTACTGACAATGGGCCGGAAGCATAGAAGTACTTGATTGCATGTTTCGTGGTTGAGGCTCTCCTTTGGGGTACGCCAAAATTCAATTTCCCTCTTTTGTTTGCGATCAAATTGACAGGGCATAAACTAACCGGCCTTCTTTTTCGCTGTTTCCAGGCTTTCCGGTCAGTTTTGGGGTCTTTCAAGATTACTACTCCCGACAGCCCGAGTTTAAAGGCGACAGTAACATCCCCGTTATTGGTACCGTTGCTACCAGCCTCTATTTTCTCGGCGCTCCCATTGCAGCCCCAATTGTTAAGAGATTCCGGCGCTTCCAGCGTCACATGGTGGTCATCGGATCCATTATTTGTGTTCTATCTGTTTTGATCGCGTCCTTCGTCAACTCGATTTCAGCTCTCATCGCTACACAAGGTGCACTCTACGGATTTGGCTTCTTGATGCTCTATATGCCACTTCTGTTCATGCTCAACGAATGGTTCATCAAGCGTCGCGGATTCGCTTACGGTATCCTTTACGCCGGAGGTGGCTTTAGTGGTGTTGGGTTGCCCTTCCTTCTCGAGTGGTTACTGAGCAGCTATGGACACAAGACAACTCTACGAGTTGTCTGCATCTCACAGTTTGTTTTGGTTGCACCGTCACTCTTCTTTCTAAGGCCCCGTTTGCCTTCTTCGCATCATGATGAATTACAAGCCCTTGATCTTCGGTTCTTGAAGAATCCCCTATTCTGGGTTTTCACGGTGTCAAATTTCTGCCAGGGTCTAGCATACTACTTCCCTTCCCTGTATCTCCCATCATATGCATCGGACATGGGCATGTCTGGAACTATCGGTGCACTGATTCTTGCCGCAAACAACCTTGCTACTATATTTGGGCAAGTTGGCTTTGGTCATCTGACGGACCGGTGTAGCAACATTCACGTCCTCGTATGTATTTCTACCCTGGGTGCTTCCCTATCTGCCTTCCTCTTATGGGGCTTCTGTCACCATCTGGCAACCTTGCTCATCTTCTCAATCGTCTGGGGAATCACTGCCGGTGCGTACGTGGTCTTCTGGCCCAAGTTTGGCACCATGCTGTCCGAGGATCCGCAACCTGTGTATGCCCTCATGGCACTCGGCAAGGGCGTCGGAAACATCGTCACTGGTCCCATCTCAGCCGGTCTATTGACGAGGTCTCTATCACTTGGCAGTTATGGGCTGAATAAATACGAGCCAGCTATTCTATTTGCAGGCTCTCTTATGTTGATCTCTTCACTTGCTATCGTTGGATGGCCCATCCAGCGCTTAGCGGCAAAAAGAGCTGATGTTTGATAAGGAAGCATATTCCCAAAGCCTCTATTGATCCTATTAGAGGTATGGAGACATGTGGAGTCCAACATCATCTAAGAATCACAGGAGAAGGTTCAAACTCCCATAGCTCGAACTAAACTCGAATCAAAAAAGTATATCCAAATTTTCACGAAGAAAAGAAAAACGATAGAAAATTGAATCTATAATGTCCACACTCTATGAAACCATCTATTAAGCGGATTTCCTCCGTCTTATTGCGCCTCTGTTGCCTACCTTATGTCGAAGGTCTTCGGCAGTCATTTTGCTAGTCTTTAGGATTTGGCAGTCGAATTTTCCGTCTCCTCCTCTCTCTCTTCATTATTGTCCTTGGCTCCATTATAATCGACGCCTACCTTGCGAACGACGAGATATGCTGGGACTATCGCCAAGCCCCACAAAGCAAAGTTGATACCCAGACACACGATGAGCTAAGATATCGTTAGTACACGCTCTTGGGAAGACATGAGGAGATAAATATCCTACCGGAGTTTGTGTAGAACTGATACCCGATGAAATGCACTGCCCGGCGCTCTCGAGCGCCCGCACATATGAGGTGAGTCGGGGGGTATCAGCAGCCTCTCTCGCCAGGAATCCAATGAGCCAGTAGCCAAAGTTGTATGTAAGAGCCCAGTTCATCTGCCAGATGATATAAAGGGCCCAGCCGCGGCCGAAACCAGAGTCGTCCCAGTCAAGCCCGGGTGCCTTGTTTCCGTACTCGCGCTGGATTATCACGCCCCAAATCCAGCAGCCTCCAATCAGTGCCATCATGATTGAGTAGGCATACTTTGCACGCGCGTTGAGGGAGAAACGGGTCCAATCCAAGAAAGTACCCATCAATAGGGTTGCAGTGATTTGGGCCAAGGAGGAAATAAGTGAAGCCAGAGCGCGGGAGCGAACTGTGAAATAGAGAGAAAGATAAGAGCCGATATATGGCAGACACCAGTTGATATAGATAAATAGAGGTGTTCTGTTGTCGACTTATTAGCAACGTTCCACTTCAAGTTTGGGGAATTTCACAGCGCAGGATCTTACAAGAGTAACAGCTCCTTTCGGCCCATAAGCCGACCAAGAGCCTTAAGTTCTTCCAAATCGGAGATACGTTTAATCAAGTTAATTCGGGTGCCGTTTCGCCTAACCACCTTCTCTGGCGGTGAGAGAAAGAAACCAGCAGCTGGTCCAAGACATTCTTCATCATAGAACAGTCAGTGCTTGTTATGTTGGGACGCAAAACATGAGCGGGTCCAACTTACGGAGAACGACGAAGACGATATACGTCCTCCAGTCAAGCTTTCCAGTCCTGGATCCCGTGGCATTGAAGGCCAGGTTGATAATGCCTCCAAGAATGCTCCCGCTATTCCTATAGCATAGCCAATACGCAAGATATTTGCCTCTTGTGTGTTGCTCAGGGTAGAGCAACATGATAGCGCCTTCTGCAGCCCAAAATAGACCAGCCGTGATACCACAGGCAGCTGAACCAACATAGATGAACCACTCCACACCATAACGGTTGTTGGTGTATAATGCGGCCGAGTACAGAACATAGCCTGTAGTGCCGAGGATGAGGGTGTTCTTGAGGCCAATACGGTTGGCAACAATGCTACCGCAGAGACAAGTGATTGTCATCAGGGAGAAAAGAACTGCGTTTCCGGCCCTGGGCACAATAAATTGTTAATAGGGATGTGTTAAATGTGTAGAAAGTTCTTAGACTTACATCACTAGGAACGGGGTTTGTTGGCCACCTGCACCAACTGAGTTCATGGCATTCCATAACCCGGGTGCGGTGAAGGCCGCAATTCCAACAACTGTCGCCTGGAAAAAGACGCCACGGAACCAATGATACTTGGGACTGGCCGTCGAAAGTTCCTCGATGTCCGAGGTGGGGATGGGGCCCCCAGACTTTGCCGGCGGTTCGGCCCCGGATGGATTCGACACATCGGCCATGATCGACAGTTCTTCCTTTCGGTCCTTTTCTGTGCTTTCTTCGTCCCTTTAATGCAGGCAGGGCTCACAAAAGCGGACCGGATACCTTAAAACAAAGTTGTCGTGCATGGCATGAAGTAAAAACGGTGTCCATGGGGTATGTTTTATTCCCGAGCCCCTGTATGTTCGGCATCACCAGTTTTCGCTTGGCCGTTGAGGCAATCCGTCGACTCGATTGCGTGACCACCAGAATCCACTCATATTGAGGATTATACGGTGAGCAAAACAATTCCCCGTTTTTCATCTCTACGGCCCCGGAGAATAGAAAAAGTACCGCTGAGAGATTTTCCTGTCTAGTGCCTTCGCCGTCTCTTGTGCTTGACGCAATTCGTTACAGCCCGTGCCGTGTCAATAGCGTGGAGAGCAGGGGATAGTGGTCTTATAAAGTTTGAATTGCGCAATTCTGTATCCATATTTCACCTTGCTCGCCGTTCAAGTGTAGAGTGCGGTTCTGTCCAGTCTCGATAATTCCGGGTGCTTGTTGATTAAAAGCATTAATTGAAATGATTTGATCGTAGCAGATAACTGAGCGGCCCGTTAATCTTTGTTCGTTATCTTAGCTACTCAAAGACAGCAACAGCCATGGCGTCTCAGATCTCTTTCGATGAATTCACTTTCGAGGGTCAGCAGAGCACCAAAAACCTCGGGTTCGATTGGGATGCCCCCTTCCCCCTAGCACTCCAAGCGGTTTCGCCCAGTTCGGCGACGTTACAAGATCATATCGAAGCTCTTAAGGAGCTCACCAAATCTGGGAAGATCTTTGATCTTGTGAAGAAGCATGGAGGTGCTGTTCTCATCCGTGGCCTACCAATCGACAACGCGCAGGACTACAGCGATGCTGCACATGCCTTTGGATTCCGAGCACATGAAGAGGTAGGAAGACCGCCGGCACGGACTGTCCTGGCCAAGAACGTTAAGACAGCAAACGAAGGGTACGGAAATGGCATCAATCCACCATATTTATTATGTCGTGCTGATAGATTACAGGCCTCCTGAACTTCCCATTTGGCCCCATAACGAATACGGCTGGTCAACAATCAACCCGGCATGGCTCACCTTCTCTGCCGTTGTGCCCGCCGAAACCGGTAAGGCCAAGCACTCTCGTTCTCCTCGTATACTCAATTGCATAGTACTAATATTTAATGTGTGTCAGGTGGAGAAACACCGATTAATTCGAGCATCCAGCTCGCCTCGAGAATAAAAGCCGAAGCCCCCGAGTTCTACGAAAAGGTCCTGAAGAAGGGGATCCGCTACGTCTACCGCTACGGCAAAGAGGATGTCGTATCTACGACCGGAACAAGTGTATACGGCGCGTATGGACAAAATGTCCTACCAAGCGATGACGAAAAGACCGCTCGAGCCAAAATTGAGGAGGAGGTGCGCCGACACAGCAACGTATTTGAGTGGAACGAAGATGGCAGCTTGACGGTCACCCACACCACACCCTGTATGTGCTGTATGGATAAGCATAGGGAGAGAAATGCTAACTCTATGGACACAGTAATTCGAATTCACAAAGAGACAGGTCTAACGACGTGGTTTGGCAATGTCACCAGCGCCTGGGGTCGCAGTACACATCACGGAGCAACAGAGCCCCCGTTCAGGGGCGATGATGACTCCTACCACCCCCCTCCGCTGTACGGAGACGGGGAGCAGATTGAGAAGAAGTATCTAGATCTGGCGCTCCACATTGCGGAGTCATCGCAGGTGCTTGTAAAATGGGAGAAGGGGGATGTTGTTCTTCTTGATGTGAGTGACAGCTCGACCTACCTACCCTACACCACTTGAACAGTTCATGCTAATCAGAGGTTGGAACACAGAACTTTGCCGTCATGCACTCGAGATCCCCATGGAAGGGCGAGAGAAAGGTATTGGCAGCATTATGGGATGAAGACGGGAGAGTTGATGACTTTGCAGAGGGGAAGGAAATCTTGAAAGAGATCCCACGTCGACCCATTCTCGTGCAAGATTGAGAATTCCAATGCACTACAAATATTTAAGGATTGTGGAAAAACAAGTAAATGGATTAAAATATCTCAGGCTAATTAGTGTCCATGCTATGTATTCTCAATGAGAATGAAGCATCATTTCTGTAACGGTCTACGGCTCTCTGCGAGTAAAAGGGTGCTCATGACATAGGATCAAATACCGAGCTCCACAGTGGGTGATGAGATTGAGTATAACCGCACTTACAAACAACAGATTTCGTCAAAGGTCACTGCCGGTGGCCAATTAATTACTAATGAGCAGGTCTTTTGTTTACTAGAGAGCACATATACGCCAGGGGTGGGTAAAAGGTAAGCATGTTTACTGGCTGCTGTAATTGAAGGCGGCGGCTGTGCCCAAAGGACGGTGATATCTCTCACTAAGCAATTAATTCTTCGAATCCATCTGTCGGATAATGATTGCCGCCCTCGCTCATTCAGATGGGCTGATGGGTGTCTTCAAACGCCCCGCCCCCCCAAAACCAAAGGCTAACTCTGATTCGCGAGCTGCAGCCACGATGTCACTCCCTCGAAGAAGAGGCAGCCACCTGCACCTACACATTTCATGCATCATAATTGCAGCGTGAGCACTGGAGCAGACCGAAGGGGCGTGGTAAGCCAGTGGCGTCGTATGGCAGCCGTGATAGGGCTGTGTTGCTGCAGCGGAAATTGCTATGGGGATTTCCTCTTCAGCCGCAGCACAAGCTGCACAGCCGGTTATTTTAGCGTCCCATAACGGACATGACACCTGCTCAGTGCTTCACTCTTCTAGAGCGTGTCTAGAGAAGGCGGCTTTCTAGGCGAGAGGCGCCCTAATAAACAGCGGACCAGCTGGTTTCATCTTGCCAGGACTGCCGGTTCAACCTTGCGCTGCCGCTGAACGTTTTTGCCCAGGGAAATGAGATGGTGGCTAATATGCAAGCTTTCGGGATGTTCCGAGGACAAGACAGAGTCGGTGTGACTCCCCCGTGTGTGATTGAAATCCGCCTCCCCTTCAGCCTGAGGTGTGAGTCCCCAGCTCCAGCGGCCGACATACAGCAAATCACCAGCTCGGTCTAAGCGCAGGATTCACAGATGCATTAGCAAACCCCGCCCAGGCAGCACACGGAGCGGGAGAGCAATCGGAAGCCGTGCCCTGAACTTGTGGTCCTCAGCTCGTCTGTAGAGGCGTTGTCGTTTTGTCAGCTACAGCCGCGACAGCAATACGGAAGAAGCGAAGGAGGCAGAAGCACCTTCGTTCACATTCACGGAAGATACCACCACTTCAAGTAGGAGAAGTGCAGCGAGGGGAGCATATCGCATCATCATCATCATCATCATCTAGGCGATTCTCATACCAATCCCTAAGGCCAGCAGGCAGGATCTATCTGTATAGGACGTTTTCTGCCTTCAGTTTTCCCGGCTCCCCATGGGGAAGAGTACAGAAGCTCGCCAGCAAGGTGCTGGATGGGCTGCTCTGAACGGCCATGTTTTGTTGGGCTCCGTCAGACGATGGCAGGGCTGAAACCCTTGAATGGGTAAGCGCCGGAACCAGTATGGTCTAGACTCAGCTGCTCTGCAAGGCACATGCATCTGCATGAGCTGGCGAGCGTGCAACTGAGATGTCCCTGGCTAATTGGTCCCATGTGTGCATGTCTGGTCCAACGGTTGGCGTTAAAGCAATCTTGGGGTTTACACCGTGTTAATGATCATAAGCACAAATAAGGAACTTGAAAGCTGAAAGCCGATCACTCTTGCTTTTGTTAGGGTATACCAAGATGTCAACGGTAATTCTTTATTTAGTCATGGGCCGGGTTAGTGCTTCCAGACTGCCCAAAGATCTGGGTGCCGGTGAGACTATTTGTCGCCTAGCTCATCATGCACCTGTAAGATTAATAAATGTCCATCCTCCACAATTAGGCACACTCGCTCGTCGTATAAGTGTCACGAACCCGAGTCAGAAATTTTTGTCTTCGTGCTTCCAGACTTAAGGAGCACAGCCCTCACTTCTGCTGGCCGAGGACTAGGTGAGCCAGGAGCAACATTCGTTTGAGTCGTCACAATGAAGCTTCCTCTATTTGTGACCAAGGCTGCCAGCCCTGCTGCTCTCCCTAAGGACATCCTTGTCTACAACAGCTCCGGGAATGCTGACAATTCACTTGATCATGCCGCCAATGACCTCTTGGTTGTCTACCAGCAAGCAACGATCGACAGACTCTTACCCCGGGACTTATTCAGCCCACTACTACTCGCCCGTGATAACGATGGGCCAAATTGTTCTTCTGGAGAAGTAGCCTGCCAGAACAGCTGCATACCCAAAGGCGCCGACTGCTGTGGGGGGACTTTCTATTGCAATGCCGGCTCATCTTGCACCAAGGATGGCTGCTGCGCTGATGGCTCGGTGTGTGACAGCCAAAAGTGCGAGGGCGACCAGGAAGCATGTGGCACTGGTTGCATGCCCAAGGGCTCGATATGCTGTGGTAGCTCGTATTGTGGCTCTGGGTCGGTTTGCTCCAAGGATAACACTTGCAGTCCCTCATCGTCGAGTAAACCCTCAGCAACCGTCCAGACCGCTCAGTCAGACAAATCAACCACAGTCAAGTCTGCGACCTCAGACAAGCCTACAACATCAGCGGAGCCCACGACATCCGACCAGCCCACGTCGACATCAGCGAGGCCCAAGACGACGACATCAGATAGACCGACGACATCAGACAAGCCTTCAACTTCCACGAAACCCACATCAACAGTTCAGTCCACCACCTCACAAACTTCAACGACATCAGACAAGCGAACAACTGAAAGCGTTTCGATCACTACCAGTCTATCGAGCACGAGCTCAAGCAGCATCTCTACAGACACTTCCCTTATCGTTACAACAACAATAGAACAAGATCTCGCCGCGATTCTTCAAACTGCTATACCAACTTCAGCCCAGACAGACCCTGAAGCGAGATGTTTTCTGTTGTCTGGGCACGCATCACAATATACCACTCCTTCATGGTACACGACCCTCCCTAGCGACTTACAAAGCTACTATGCCTCGGCTACAGTTGAACCCTCAGCAACAGCTCACTGCACCCCAACGAACCCACCCTCGAAGGTGGCCTCTCAGGAATCAGCCTTGCCTGCTCCGACCATTGGTGCCCTCATAGGCGCCGCAGCCTTCGTCGCTGGCGTAGTTACACTTTTGATTTTGCTAGCCAGGTCTGGTAAACTCCCATGGCTGACACGCCGTAAGGCGCACGACACAGACGATACATCTGATGGGGCCGAGTTGATCCCTGTCCGGGAAAAGACGAAGAGGCACCTGTCTTTTGAGCCTGGTCCAACTGGTGGGATAGTTGCCCCTCCGCAGACTCTTCCGCATGATAGTCGGCTGTACGTCTCCCCGCCTACAGTTCCTGCTAGAGCGCAGGCGAGAACTGGAGATGGGAATCAAGTTCTAGAGTACGATTGGCCCATGGCCCCATCCCCCGTGGCCTCACCGGGACGGTCCAGCTTTGTTCCAAGCCCAGCATCGAGCAATGCGAGGTTCACTCCGCCACTTGCTTTTGGCGCGGAATGGCGACCCCCGAAAGAAGGCCCCAGGGCTTTCTAATAGAACGAGACAGATGGAAAATTGCGGCGAGTGTACCAGTATTGTGAAATGTAATTAATGAGGTATGATGGAATTAGCGTAATTGCAACCAATCTTGATAGTAACCATGAATATTTACTACTGCATATCAACAGCTTGGTCTTTCACTTTCAAACGTATTCTAGTGGTTTCCTCCACTAATCATTGAAGAAACAATGTTTTAGGTTGGTTCCATTAAACTAGAGCCTAGATACGTGCTAGCTAAAGATAACTGGACTTGGTAATTGTATCATGTTATGCCCTCCGCCAAAGTCTCCCGATATCAGTCTTCATGGCTTGTCCATGGAAATTAAACCGAAGTGCTCGACCATATTCCAACCCTTTGCTAAATTAGCCAAGAAATAAACATTTTCCAGGTTCTCCACTTACTAAGACTGCATAAAATCCAACGAGTTCTTGCCCGCGAGGTTCCAAGGTAACCCAATTCTTGGGAACCTCGACAGTTCTGGGCCGATCAATGGCTTGGTTGGTGCCCTCGGAACTGTCGACAATATTACTGGTGATCTTCCGCTTAGATGCTTTAGGGGGTGGCAACACTTCAGATGTGCGAAGGTTGGTACGAATCTGCAGACCAGTTAACGGGCAGTCACAGACCATTTGATACTACTCACTTTTAAACCTTTTAACATCGGTCTGGTATCGAATAATTTCGTATACAAAACGTCGATGCATTTGATTCGTTCTCCGCCAGGACCATCTATTGGCACACTGAATTTGAGTTCCTCGGGGTTCCCTAGGATTTGATCCTCCAGGTCGGGGCCAGAGGTAATCATGCCGAAGAATCGATCTCTGCGCGAATCGGTGTATGTAAACTCGATGCCCGTGATTTGTATAGTTATCCCACTGAGCGCCCAGACCACTATCCCCTTTAGCAATGGCAAAAGCTCTCCGTGAGAGCCGCCGAAATAAAAGGTATCGATCGGACGAGACTTCCCAACATCGGTCCCTTCCTCCATTCCCATGTACCAGTGAGCATACCTCTGCCCACTTCCATCCAAGAAATAATGATCAGGTGGTATTTCCGGCATCCAGGGACAAAGGTACTTCCATGGTCCATTGTTTACCCATGTCCTATCCACCATGTTACTGGTGTGCATGCTTAAAGAGACCATACGAAACGCCTAAAATTAAAAAAAGGTCAGCCGGAATTGCCTTTGGTGCCATTCTTCGAAACTCACATCAAATTCGCCCTTCATCGCGAGAATATCACCTCCGCCTCCTCGTAGCGAGTATTGAGGTAGATCTTCATATTTCCCAACCGAGGAGGACAGAGAGCCATCCTTCATGATAGCGGCAATACCTTGGATTCCTGACATGCCTAGGGCTAGATGCCATCCGCAAATCGGCAAAAGGCTCTCATCAACCTCAATTAGTTGCTCTCTTCGACCAGTGTACCCAATCTTGACTGATGAATCGTTGTGAATAACAAGTTCCAGTCCAGAAATATACCTCTCGGCACCAACCCTAGCAAATGAAACAACCACCTTGTCTAGTCTCAGCGGAGTTGGTACCTGAACAATACGGGTCCGCAGCGGCCTGCAACCAAATTCGAAGAAATCAGGCTCATTCACCAGCCCTCTGGTAGCAGTCTGCCACTGGGTCTTGAGCCACTCATCGCTGTGCTGAGGTTCGATCAATCCTATGACAGGCTCGCCACGGCAAGCTGGGTGAACCGCTTCGCGGAGCTGGTGTTTGAGCCTGTATGATAGTTCCCAAACACGGAAGCGACCTGATAAAGATATTGTTGGGTGCTCCTCTTTCAGCCTCTCGACGGCGAAGTACAATGACCGCCAAGACCGAGGTTTCAACGATCGAGCCTCCAGTACATATCCACACTCATGACCGAATGCAAACCTTGAGGCCCAAAATTCATCTGGTAGATGCATATTGGCAAATACCGGAGATGCCCGCCTCAGTGCACGGACAGCTTTTGACGGAAGGTTAAATAGAACCATTTCTCGCAATTCCGTTGGCAATGATAAGAAACAATCTCCCGCAGTAGGTATTTCCTGACGCTTCTCGGGTATGGGCTGCGCTGTACTCGGAGCGATATGTTCAGCTTCTACGAGTTCCTGAATCTCTGGAATTTGGGAAGGGCTTGAACTATTCCACCAGTTCCCCATCAGGTCTCTGCCTCCCAGCTTTGAGCCTCTTGGATCCTCGATCGGGTCAGGATCTATCAGGCCACAATAGTCGTGGCCCCAGTCCAATGCGCCGCTCCTGCTGAGCGGCATTGACAAGCAGGCTTGGAACAAAACTTGAAGATCGGGTGCGCTCTCGGCATTGAGCATGTCCCAGCAAAAAGAATGGATGGCAAAGCCCCAGAGGAAGGGGACAGGCGGTCTAACGAAGAGGGATCCATGCTGTCGAAGAGTCTGTGTATTCTGATGCCTCTTGAGGCTGTGCAATCGCACCTTTATGAAACCAGGGCGCTCATTTAAGCCTCTTGGCTGTCTGCTCATGTCCACCTCATTGGGGTCGATGGGGACTTGGACAAGGGAGCCATGGCGGATGAGCCCAACGCCAGAGAGCGTCGCTTGGGTGCAATCGACGGAGGATGTGTACACTTTATTTGCGACGAAAATGATTAGCTACCAATTGACAGGTGGACTGGGACGGAGGAACATTCTATGGGAGCTCTATGAGAGGGGTTCAACGAACAGAGTCGGATCTCTTTGGCGCACCATTTTCTAGCATTTGACTCCAATCGGCCCCCACAGAGGATGCATGAAGTGCGATCGTAAGCGAATATGTTCATTGTTGCCTTGGACGTCCAAACCGACAGATGCTACGTAAGGACACGGGTTGGTTACCCTTGATATAGAGGTAAAAGGACCCTGGAGGATCACATGATCTCTCGACCGTCGTCACGTGCTATATGCATTTTCAAACAACATGCTACGTCAGCAATATAAAACGATAATACACAAGTTATTCATTAATTAAGAATACTAATCGGCGTAATGAAGGCGTAATGACTGACTATGCATGCATTATCTTTGGATTTGGATTGCTGATTGGGCCAGATGCTTTTGTAAATATCGGAATATGCTGTCATTTACCAGAAATATCTTATGAGCCACGAACAATTATTGTGCACGAGGCATAAGTGATGCGCCGGGGTCGGTGTCGTTTTCATTACATGGCGTTTTACCCCCAAGAATCAATCGTTAGATGACTAGAATATGCACCGAGAACAATAAATTACTAACCCTGTCCACTGCTGACCAGAAAGCATATCATCCCTGAAAAACAGGCACTGATTCCCTACTCGCAGGACAACAAATGTCCAGTCACCTTACAATTAACAGTAATATCTCGTTGATTAAAACGCTTAAACACCAAACAACCAGGGAAATGAAGCAATGATGTAGCGGAGGGGCAACTCCGGGGAAGCTCGTTTAACTAATGGACTATGATTGGTTCTGAGGCCTGATTTCCGGGTCTCGACGATAAGAGGCGGGGATCTCTTGAATAATCTCCGCTTTCACTCGTCGGGCTTTTGCCAGTTCACCGAAATCGGAGAAACCCAATCCAAGTGCAGTAGCCGCATAAGTGTGGGTAGCTTGCGCTACAGGTATAAGAATGGCGCTCTCGACATGGGCTAGGCTTGAAATTGCTCTCAATTGTAGAAATAATTGATAAATAAACCTCCACAAAACAGCAACGAATATGGCAAGCCGAACCGCAGTTCTCACCAAGGAGGCACCGGCTCCCAGCCCACACCTATCGCAAGCAATCATTTGCAATGGCATGGTATACTGCTCTGGATCATTCGGCATCGATCCCGTGACCAGGAAGCTTGTCGGGGACGCCTACGAGCAGACGGTTCGTTCCATACCAGCCTATCTCAATACGAGTGTGCTAACACGGACCACAGAAACAATCTTTGAAAAATCTCAACGCAATTCTAAAGGAAGCGGGTACCGACATTCAGAACACTGTCAAAGTGAACATTTTCGTCAGCAGCATGGATCACTATGCCAACGTCAACAGAGCCTACCTCGAGGTCTTCACTGGCACACCTAAGCCCGTATGTTCCCTTTTCGTTAGGAAAGTCAGTTCGTTTGTTTTCTTGTGATTTGTTTCTAACATGGGAAAAAGGCGCGGACATGTGTTGCAGCGGCACAGCTCCCGAATTCCGAAGCTGCTGTGGAAATAGAACTGGTCGCCGCACTGCCAGACAATGCTTCGACGAGAAGGGGCCTGTCACGCCTGTAAAAGTCAAGGAGTACCCTGATAAGGTGGATGAATTGTAATCTTAGTTACATTATTTAAGGAATCTCAAGAAATTGATATGGCGTCATTCTACCAGCATGAAGTTTGATCTTTCTTATAGTCAACAACGTCAGCTTGTTCGGAAAAATTCAAAACTCAGCTATGAACTATTATCACCCTGTGCGAAAACATGAATTAGCCTTGTTTCTTTCCGGACCGTCCCAGTAGCTGGACATTGCAGACACTCATCTGCTTCATAGATGGAAAACGAGATTCGGCTTTACGCCTGAAATGCTGCTATGCAATTTCAAAAGCTTATCAAGCTGAAAAGATTTCACATGGTCTCAAATCTAAGACGAATCGATTTAAGCCATTGATTGTTGGTAACTTAGCGCCGGTAACAGGCAAGAGGTTATCGCTCGCAAAATATCCAAAAGCGAGATGTTTCCTGTACAAACCAATATTACTTGTACTGAAGATTAACGCCGGTAATCTCAACCGTGTCTTTAGCTTTACAATTACCTCCGCTCGTCGTATCACTGTTTCGACATGATTCCATGAGAAATCTTAAGTCAATAAGCCATCAGCCAGTTCTGCTGAAAGGTCTCCATGAGTTATCGCCAGAAACAAAATGGAAGGCCGTGGTTAAACAACTGGTGGTCGTGTTAAAAAGCTTCATCAACGCCAAACCATCCTCCTTAGTGAATGAATATGAATATCCCCCGAGTATCACAAACAATAACTGGAATATCTTTGACACAGCGATTTGTGTACATAGAAAGGTAATTCGATATAGATTTGGCTTGGATGCTTCTCAGCGTCTGCGTAATTGCTCCGCGGCATAAGTCCAGCCAGTGCATTTCTCCAATCGAGAACGATCAGTAGTCATTCAGCCTGCTCTGTGGTCATCTGCTCGCCATTTGCAGGGGGGCGGGTCTAGAATGGTTAAGCTTAACCAGAGCAAAGCACTAAAAGTTCAGCTCACAAGGTGATATCGCCGTCGTGGCGCTACTAACGATCATAGCTTTGCGCGCTTGTGACATTCAGGCACGGCCAAATCCCCATCAATAATTATAAAGGGCGATGGTCCTCAATTGATCGATTCCATCGCTGACTCTCTCTCCTGCAATCTTTTATCTGTCCTTGTTTTCGGCAAGACAGGTGCGACACGAACTCATAGCCAAATGATCACGACACTGGGCACCGAGATGGCTCTTCGGCTGGCTCTCCTCGCATCGGCGATGCCGCTTGCCTATGCCGTCGCATTTCCGATCCTTTCTGGAGATGATGAACACGTATCTCTGACCGCAAGAAAAGAGAAAACATTCAAGAAGATCAAAATCACCAAGGAAAAGAAGAACAAGAACGTTGTTTACATCCACCTGTCCAAACCGGCTATCATTGGCCTTGTCATTGGCGTCATCGTCTTGATCGTCTTTCTCGTTATTCTTTTCAAATGCATCATTCCGAGAATGAAGGAACGAAAAGCCTTGAAGCAGCAGCAAGATGAGGAGGAGGAAAGCAGCAAGAAGCGGCCGCCAAGTACATCGTCCACGGCAAATGGGCCACCCAAACCACCACAACCACAATGAAAATAAAGGAGCCGCCCTAGGCGTGCCCAATTAAACCCGGTGGGAGGCAGTGACTAGCCGAGAGATCATCAGCTGAGGTTGGAGCTTATGTGGAAAAAGCAATAGCGCATCTTGGCGAGTTGTCGGTTACCCGCCACATCCCGGCCTCCTCCATGGCATAATGGATTCTGCTTTGAGGCTAGCCAAGCTAACCAGAAATCTTTTTCTTCATAGTCTTTCAGATAGTTTTATGGTAGAAAGGGCGATTTCTCTCCCAATTTTGTACATGAATATAAACAAGACTAATCTGGCTACTTTGAACACTCGATATCCTTAGAAATCTATATTGCTACGGTCATCTAATCTCATCACATGCTGTCTAGTTCCAAGTGATGATGCCCAAGTCCTTCGCATTTTGCTTCTACTGCCTTTGGGCCCTTTTGAGATCAAGATTCCTACAGGAAAGCCAGACAATTAGTGTGGTCCCCTGAGCTAGTGCCTGCTTCGTGCTAAATTGGCATGGCCTGGCTAGTCTACATGGCATGTAAGTGCGGCGTATTCAAACCTTTAGACCTAAGTGATCTCGCATTTTACCATCGGGTTCATCTGCTTTCTCATAGCGACCTTTACAACGATGCGGACATAATCACAGCTGAAAGCGTCTCCAAAAGAAGCCATTATATGCTAATCTATGCTAGCCTCCAAGACAAACTGCGTGCTGGACAATGCGACAGGCAAGAGGGCGAAGATCGTAATATCTCCAGATACTCTCCAAATCCTACCTAGTCGTCTTTTCCCCCTTGCAGCGTTGATTACTCTTATAAGCTTCGTGACGAGATTATAGCGAGATAACTTGACTCTATATCTCGGTGGTTTCAGCATCCGGGATGGTGCGATATCTTCTAAGGGCATAATCGAAAGCTAGAGCATCAATTTTTCTCGGTATCAAGGGTGCTTAATGGCCTCCATCAAAGTCCGATTGGTGGGTGTTGAATCAACTATGACTGATGAGTCGAGGCCCACTGAGACTCCTGAGTTGGACCCATATTAGTCAACTTGATCTTGCAGATTGAATATACATATTCTCTGTCTTTTATGGTATTTTCTTTTGAAAATCCCTACCTTTGGGAGACAACTCTTTCCGTGTTTTACGCCTGAGTGACTTTGAGCCGATGAATCGCATGAACCCACAAAACCAAACCTCTTCTTCCTATAACGTCTAGATCTCAATTTATTTCTTGGCCCTTTAGGAAAGTGATTTCTCCTAATGTGTACCATGTGGGCTGGTGGCTTGTGCTTAACCTAAATCAGGCTATAGAGTCATTGCAGCGAAATCAATCTACGATTATTATAAGCTAGAAATGGCGTCGTAGATGTTTTAGAGAAGGCTCAAGGGGCATGCCTGAATGTTTTAAAGCCGTCTTTTAGATGGCTCGAGATAATCAAGCAGTGCATCACGGTATAGTAACCTATAGTTCAGTGTGGCGACTATGTAGTTCGTCAAAACCCATCGATCACGAATCAAACGTAAGAAATTCCGACCAAAGTTTCTTTATGCAGAGAAAGAGTAAGGTCCTTATAAAAAAACGGCTAATTCTGGTCCTAGCGCACGGCATTTGAACAGCCCAGCCAAGGATTAGTCGTCTCCTCTTTTTGAGCCTCCATCTTTATATCCTTTGTCTCATTTTACTCAACCAAACTAGCCAAGCTACCTTGCCTCGACGTCACCCACGACGGTACTCGGCCTCTATTCACCCGGTCCTTCCTGAAATCAGAGCCGTCCTGAAACTAGGTCCCGTAATCTGATCGAAGCTGTTGGAGAACCAACCATCCACCTTAACCTTGACGCCCGATGGCTCACCACCTGGAGAATACATGTATGTAATGTGGCTTAGATCTCTATGGTTTATGCCACGCGTTAGTGCAGAATTACGTTTATGCTAGTGGTCGGGACAGGCGAGCGTTGCGCCCCGGTCTGGCCGTCCGACGCGGCACTCACTACCCTTAGACTGCCGTCAACAATGATAGTGTGGGGGTATGCAGGCCATGACGAGCCTGAATAGATCATGGCCGTGTAGCTACCAAGAAATGCTTATGCAATAGGTTGTCCATCTCACTTGACAATATGTTAAAGGATTGCTTAGCATCTTCACGCCTGGCCAGTCCACCCCACGGGTCCCGCAGCTGTCGATGCCCATGCTCAGTATCCAATTTTGATAAAATTTCCGGTTTCTAACATTAGCACACGCCTGGGCACCGCTGGGCTGTCATCTCATACCAACCGCAGCGTCGGCGAAGTTTAGTTGCGTGGGCCGACATTGTCGTAGCAAAAGTGGGCCACGATTGGCCAATCAGATACGTTTCAGTCGGCAGCCGGCGGGCCTAATCACCGTTTCACCGACACCCACATCAGCAATCTGTGCTCAGCCGCAGTCTCGATCCCTCCTTACTTCAGTTAGCCTGTTATCTGGCACGTAGCTTTGCACTAGCTATCTTTCAGCAGGGTTGAAGCGGGTCCACTGCCCATCTGGTTGTATTGCATCGGTGCCAGGGACCACCGATCTCGAATGAGATAATGAGGAATATAAAGGATGCCCTCAACCCCTTGGGCTGAATGGGACAAAAGACTGCGAAGCCTAAATAAGAGAAGATTCAGGTTTTCCCCGGTATTTTCTTTCCTCACTTTTTTCTGGCATATCAACTACCGCTTCGATGGCTAGTTCACAGCCTACACACTATCTCTACACCCCTTCGGCGGTACTTGCTGGCGTTGTTGCCGGCTTGTATGGGGCCAGCTTCCTCGTCACCCTCGTCCAGACTATTCGAAAGAGGTCATGGGTATGGCTCATTATGGCTGTAGCCATCGCAAGTAGGTCGAATCCTCAAATCGCCCCCCCTTCGTCAATATCGTCTCCCTCCCCAGCACTTGCTAATGGCTATCGCTTCAGTGGAGGTGGCTGGGTTTGCGGCCCGTGTGGTCTCAGCAAACAATGTTGAGGAGAAGACCCCCTACGTTGTTCAGTTCGCGCTAGTAATTCTCGCTCCGGTACTGATGGCCGGTGTCATCTATGTGGTGTTTTCCCGGATTGTATTCTGGGCTGTGCCGCCAGAGCACCGGACGATGCGAATGATTTGGGTGCCTCGTGAGTATTCTACACTGATTATGAGGGAAAAGGAAGTCTTTGGGTTCTGTTTTCTGACATATACTTTTCTAGCTCGTTTCATTACTCTTATTTTCGTCGGCTTCGATATTGTCGCGCTCCTCCTGCAGCTGTGTGCTGCTGTCCTCATCGCCGGTACCGACCCGACTGACTCGAATGCGAAGAACAGAGTGAATTTGGGCAAGAACCTTGGCCTCTCTGGTGTTGCGGTACAGCTCTTTGGCTTTGGTCTGTTCTCCGTGGCTGCGGTACGCTTCCATTTCACCTCGAGGCAGTTGAGCAACGACTACGCGAGCAAGAACCAGACGAGGTGGAATATGACCAAGCACTACTCGACGTTGCTTTATGTCGTTAATGCCTCCTGTGTTCTGATTCTGGTATGTTTCTGTCTTTACTTTTGTTAAATAAAGGCGAGAGAAGGCTAACGCTGGCAGATTCGGTCCATTTTTCGCATGATTGAGTTCGCCCAGGGGAAATCAGGGACAACACAGCAGGAAGAGTGGTAGTATGTTATCCCCTAAAGTACCGCTAAAGCTGATACAACAGGCTAACCACGGTTCCATAGTCAATATGTCTTCGACACACTTCCTATATTCATCGTATGTGTCATATACAACATATGGTTCCCAGGCAGTTACTTGAAGCACTTGGGATTCCGTCTTCCCAAGGAAGAACGACAGCTTCCATTAGACAATGAATCGCTTGGGTCCCGAGACACTGGCACAGAATTACAGCAGCAGCAGCAGAAGTAGCGACAAATTCATCGTTCAGCATGCTTTCAATTCAGCGAAAGAGGCCAACTGGGGGGGAGAGATAGAGGAATCTGCTGGGCACGGCATTGGAAGAGCGACAAGTTTTACATGGGAACTGAGCACCGGATCATTGGAATGGCATCTTAAACGTCATAATAAGTCTTCTTTGTTATTTACTCACTCACTCTAATTTAACTTCATTATTCTTCTGTTTTATTATCTTGGCCTAATCAATCGCAACTTCAACACCATATCAGGCACATGCCAATCGTTCAAGGGCAATCAATGCATGTATGAGCTAGGTATCAGACTGGGGTTTTATATTCAATGAGTGAGCTTGATTCTCAGCGAGCTGCTTAACGCTGATGGGCCGAAGTCTGAGCCCCAATCCCGATCGAAAAACGCAACCATTCACATAGGTAGCCGACGATTCATTAATTGTGGCTAAATTCGTGGTTAGGCAACTAATTATACTTCAAGCACTTGGGTGAATCCCAGAATGGCAGCAGCGCCCGAAAGATTACAAGGCGTGCATATTCATCTTGTTCTTCTTCTCTGCTTGGGTTCGAGCCTATTCATCCTGCCGCTTTTCATCTGGCGCGGTCTCACCAGATTCGACCAGAATCTTGGCCCAACACGTTGGCATACAGTCAGGGCCAGCCAATTGTCCAGCTGAGCTGTGTTCTGCTTGCTGCGGTATCATCATTCCAGATACGCTTTTTAACCAAGTCGCTCGATCACCAGTCTTGCGACACATATTAATGTCTGCTTCATTGGAAAATTCCAGATGAGTTCAATGGCAATTCGGATCACTTACGCCGTCTTATACTCTTTACTTTACTGCTCGTTCTTGATGTAATTTGGTTCATATTGTTCATCCGCATACGGCACCAGGAGTACCAGACGAAAGTGGTGCACCGATACATAAGCATAATTACCCGGAGCTGCTTACAGAGGGATACCTCGCATCATCGTGTGATTGGTGAAGGAGGGCCAGGCCTGCGTGCTCTAGCCATACATCATTGGCCAGTTTGTGCATCTCCCTCAGTAAGCGCTCGGTAAATAATCGTACACGAACCCCGCCCAAGGCAGGCGAACCATTTCCACGGATCCAGAAACGGCGGGCTTCTCGAGTTCTTGGACGGCGTCTGTCCGTGTCTTGATTGACTCTACCCCCTGTATGATCAGGAGGTATTCCTGGCTTACCCTCCACGACATGTCCGACCCCAAAAAGTACTCTGTTGGGTGGATCTGCGCTATCAAAGTGGAATATGTCGCGGCGCAAGAGTTTCTCGACGAAGAGCATGATCCCCCCGTCTACCTCTCCCAGCACGACAACAACAACTATGCTCTGGGTAGAATTGGCAGACACAATGTCGTGATAGCCACCCTCCCCTTTGGAGAGTATGGGACAAACTCTGCGGCGGCTGTTGCTAGGGATATGATGCATTCATTCCCTAATGTCCGGGTTGGCTTGATGGTTGGCGTTGGTGGCGGCGCCCCCAGCCCAAGTCACGACATCCGCCTAGGTGACATCGTTGTCGGCGCTTCGTCTGATGGGAAAGGTGGATTGATTCAGTATGACTTTGGGAAGAATATCCAGGGAGGTGGCTTTCAACCTACAGGGCTCCTAAACCAGCCACCATTTTTGTTACGAACAGCGCTGGCTGGCCTTCAAAGTCATTACGAGAGGAAGGGCCATGGACTTGAAGAGGCAGTTAATAGTGTGCTTGAGAGAAACAAGAGGCTAGAAAGTCTGTATATGCGGCCAAGATCAGACCATGATCGGTTATATCGAGCTGATGCCGTCCATCCAAACGAACAAGGTTGTGCCGCCGTCTGCAGTCCATCAGACCTGGTGGTCCGAGCCGATCGTGCCGACCACGAGGATAACCCAGCGGTTCACTATGGTTTGATCGCTTCGGGGAATCAGCTGATGAAGAATGCGAAAGAGCGCGACAGGCTTGCGTCAGAAAGGGGGATCCTTTGCTTCGAGATGGAGGCGGCCGGGTTGACGAATCACTTTCCCTGTCTAGCTATCCGCGGCATCTGTGACTACTCAGACTCCCACAAAAATAAAGAGTGGCAGGGATATGCAGCCATGGTGGCGGCGGCATATGCGAAAGATCTTCTCTGTCGAATAGCCCCTAATAAGATTGAGGTTGAAGAAAAGTTGGGTGATAGTCTTTCTGGTAAGAGCGAAGCGTAGACGACATCAAGGTCTTGTTTGTACTAATCCTATTCACAGGTCTTCGTGGAGTTGCACAAGAGCAGAAAAATATCGCCGAGGAGCATTTGGACGTTGCAAAACAAGCTCATGACGCGGCAGCGACACGTTTCCATCTTCGGCGCGAAACCGAGGCGGAGAAGCTCGAGGAGGAGTGCCACCAATTATTCCGCCTTGCTACCACTAGCAAGGATGTGACATACGAGTGGTATAAAGATCGCGTTGAAGAAAGAATCGAGGGCACATGCATGTGGCTACTCGAGCATCCTAGCTTCTCTGCTTGGATGGACAAGGCGTCTGGTCCGCTGTTAGTCACCGCAGATCCTGGCTGCGGGAAGTCGACATTGGCCAAATTCCTCATCGACCATTGGCTACCACGATCAGATGTCATCTGCTACTTCTTCTTCAAGTCTCAAGACCAGGACACCGTCCGTCAAGCACTATGTGCAATCCTCCATCAGCTCTTCTCTCAGATGCCGCTTCTGATCAAGCACGCAATGAAAGAATACCGTGAGAATGGGAAAAAGCTGATCAATTCTACTTCCTCTCTGTGGGCAATCTTGAAAAATGCAACGCGGGATTCCAAAGATAAGACTGTGACTATTGTACTTGATGCCCTGGATGAATGCGCCGAGGCCGGGTTCGAAGACTTGATGCGAAATCTGGAAAGCCAGTTCCAGGGCCCCTTTTGTCCGGAGAGGCTGAAATATTTCCTGACTTGCCGCCCATACAGCCAGATAGTGTCCAGTTTCTATGGTTTACTAAAGCGGTTCCCCAACATTCATATCCCTGGAGAGGAAGAGTCAGAAATTATCAGCCAAGAGGTAAATCGGGTCATAACCTTTCGAATCAACCGTTTATCCCAGAGGAAGCAGCTCCCAAGCCAGGTCAAGAACCACTTGGAGAGGAAGTTACGGGAGCCAGTCCACCGCACTTATCTATGGGTATATCTTGTCTTCAACTACCTGGACAAGACGGATTTCAAACAAACCATAAAGGGTTGCGAATCAGCTATAGAAAAGCTCCCTACCACCGTCAACGAGGCATACGAACAGATACTTAGCAGAACCAAAGAAGATACCATAGTTCGCAAGGTCTTGGGCATCGTCCTGGCTTCAAGACAGCCGTTGACCATTTCGGATATGAATGATGCGATTAGTGTGGACTATAACACGCGTTCAATAAATGATCTCGATTTGGAATCAAATGACGTGTTCAAGATGCATCTACGGTCTTGGTGTGGACTATTCATCTCCGTCTATCACGAAAGGGTTTATTTGCTTCATCAAACGGCTCGCGAGTTCCTGGTTGCAGAGTCTGCGATACATGATGGGACCACTACTCTTTCCCTACAGCGATGGCACCACTCCTTCACGATGAAAGCGGCACATGCTATTATTGCAGAGGCGTGCGTGCTTCATCTCAACTTGATTAACTCGAACGATATTGAAGAGTCTACCAAGCTTGGGGATTGGGAATTGAGTTTCGAAGGAGAGAATGCAGGACATGCTAGCGGCTCTTCCAATAGAACAGTCTTTTCATATTACGCTGTCGCGAATTGGGTCTTCCACTTCCGCAATGCCTCCATCATAGATGGCAACCCTCTCATTCCACTGACTTTAAATATCTTTGAAAGAAGGTCGCAAAGCTACTCGCTCTGGCTCAGGACATTTTGGGTACATGAACATGGGGGTAACCCGCCCGGCTGTCTGACAGATCTCATGGTTGCCGCCTCTTTCAACAACCGCCCTATTATGAAGATGCTTCTTGAACACGGCTCCGAGGTCGAAGCAACGGATGCCAAATTTAATCGAACGGCTTTATCATGGGCAGCCAAGTCGGGCAGTGAGAAAATCATTGAGATCCTGCTTGAGAACGGCGCAGACATCGATTCCACAGATATATATGGCCGTACCCCGCTGTTGATTGCTTCGTCAACTGGGCACAAACACGTTGTTAATCTTCTTCTCAAGAAGGGAGCAAACATCAACGCTGAGGATAGAGGGGGTTGGACGGCGCTGACCACAGCTATAGGAAATGGACACGTTGACATCCAAAAGCTGCTTACTACATCGGGATCTTCTCAAAACCCTACATAATTAATATTATAATACACGCAGCTCAGCTATGAGTGGTCTGTAAATAGCATAAACTATGTGAGATGACTGTTTGTATTATCTTAACCTTAGTTGAACCCGTTCCGCCAAAATCCTCAAACTTGCGGACAAGGCGTTACAGTCATGCTTCTTCACACTCATCCAAGACACCAATGACGTAGTACGTGGTAGAAACCTCAATTTGCTCGACTATTTCCCCAAAGAATTTCCACAAGATGTCGAGGGAACTTACACCAAAGAGACTTGCCCCCTTCGACGCATCGCTTGACACCACAGGTTGAAAAGGAATCCAGATGATTCATCTTGGCCGGGGAAGTTTGTTGTTGGACAATCCTAATGATTTGAAATGTCTTTATGTGTAGAATGGTTGGGATATTCTCGGTCTTGGTATTGATATCTCCGCTTCTGGCTGTACACGTGTACAAAGCCACGACGAGGATTATAAATGGCTTAGCTGACACCCGATAGAACTACTACGTTTTGATACTACTGTAGCACTCGTTAAGCGACCTGCATGAGCTGAACCTGCAGTATTTAGTCTACCTCATTGGAGTCAAAAACAGAAATATTGTTGCCCAATTGCTGCACCCAACCGCCATTGCTGACAAAATTTTATCACATCCAGATACCCAGTTGACAACCGGGCGGTAGTTAGCCGAGAAAATTGGAGAGGGGGGGCCATGTTGTCCTATCCTGCTTATATTCTGATTGTTTCTCGTGTATAATTGACTTCTCACACATCCCTAAGCTTCTTCGCTGTTTCAGAGAAAGGGAAAATAAGACAGAAATAGCCATGGAAAGTAACCCTAGCCCTGGCCGTGCAGCCGGCGAGAGCCAGCCACTGGACACCAGGACGAGCGAAGTCAGCCTTGATACCAACCCTCCCCTCCCAACTTCTTCTCAGCAGTCGGAAATCGAGGGCTTTCGCAGGGAACCACCTGCCAGGCCTGCTTCGCCTCCTCACTTTCCGTCCTCTTCGTCATCGTCGGTCGACGATAGGACAGAATTGCAAAGATTTATCCAGGACGCCAGTGAAAATGAAACGGACAACAGCCGCCTCAGTAAAATGCTCCAGGAAATTGGGAGTGATCAGATCTACAAGCTTTCCCGCTATGCGGGCGACAAGAGCGCGCTGCACATGGCAGTCGAGCGCGGCACCTTGTGGGCGGTCACGAAACTGTTGGATTACAAACCAAACGACAAGTTAATGTTATCCCAAGCGGATGGCGACCAACGACAGCCTCTCCATCTCGCGTGTCTAAATGGACACGAAGTCATTGCGGGCCTGCTCCTGGGACACGGGGCAGACATTGAGGCCACACAGTTTACTGGGGCTACTGCTCTCAACGAGGCATGCTGGAAAGGCCACAAGGCTGTTGTAGAGCTTCTCCTATCCGAGCATTACAATGCCAACACTCAAGTCGTTGATACATATGGGTGGTCTCCGATCCGAACAGCAGCCGAATTCAACAGAGACGAGATTATCGAAATTCTCCTCACGAAAAACCCAGCCAACATCAATAAGCCTGACACCAACCGGGAAACGCCATTGCACGCGGCCAGTCGCAGTTTATTTACCAAATGCGTGAGGCTGCTCTGTGACGCCGGTGCGGATTGCAATTTCCAAGCCGAGGGCGACAACACGGCGCTTCAGTATGCGCTTGAGCCTGCGGGGGATGAGAGGGAGGGTCGGCAGTATGATGTGGTGGTTGAACTCCTAAAACATGATGCCGATCCTGGGATTCAGAACGCAAAAGGAGAAACGGCATTGCATCTGGCTGCGAGAAGTGGCAACTTTGACATCTACAAAGCAATCAAAATGAAGATGGGAGATGGCCAAAGGTGTCTCCAGGATCAGAAACGAGACACGGCCTTAAGCTCAGCGCTCAAAACACACCCTGCCGATATCCTGAAGTGGATGACAGATGAGAGGAGCGCAACAGAATTCGACTCGGAGGATGAAATGGAGGCGCTGCTGTGGGCAGCTCAACTTCAAGAGAATCATTGCCACGCAGAGTCGCTCTTCGAAAAGAGGAAGGCCATAAGGCATCCGCATAGAGCAGCCCCTGAAGGTTCGCATACCTGGAGCGCAATCCAATGGGCAGCCCATCTGAAAATGCCCTCCGTGCTCTGGCTCCTGCTCGCCACTTCTGATCCAACCAAGATACGAGGAGCACACCGAGCAGCATGGGACGAGGCCGAGAGACAGCTCGAGATGAGAAGGGGCTTTGAGGGCAACAAGTCAGCACAGCGCGAGGCGCGGGCCAAGTTTGAGGGGAAGGGGAAGACAAATGGACAGCAGAGAGGAGCAGACAGGCAGGAAACTGAGAAGCAAGGAGATCCGAGGACCATCGGCAAGCAAAAACCTCGTTCGTCTCGACAAGAGGCCAAGGACCTTGTGCTGGCAATTCTGCAGGACCCTCCTCCGACGGTTACATCAGGAGAGGAAGAGAAACTAAAACATCCAGAAGCCAGTTTTGAACGACAAGAATTCTTACAGGAATGGGTTTCAAAGGCTGCTGTCATTGAATGCATCGGGGGAAAGGATAAGTCGACCCTCTTCACTCAGTTCCGCAGCGTTCAAGACGTCATCTACGGTACCGGGCCGACAAAGATCACCAAAGAGCCCGCCGAGACACTGTCCAGGATAAAGAAACTGAACAACTCGCCCATCTTTCAAAGGATTTGCAAACAACAGGAAGATCGCCTTGGAGATAGTCTATTTACATGGGTCAATCTTCCAGCAACCAACGTGAGTTTCTTCCAGTCATCCACTGAGCGACAGGCTGAACTGACTGTCCCGACCAGATAACATGGATGAATGTAAGCATGCCTTGGCTTTAGTACGGGTTTTCACCCACAAATATTATCGTCTGACAGATATGATGCATAGGACATGCTGAAAAGAATCCTGATTGACGATCCAGCATGCTTAAGCGACGAGCAATCCAAGGACAACCTGTCATCTAAAGGTGATGGAGGTCCTAGCCATGTCCTCCACAATAGCCGAGAAGAGAAGTCGATGAGGTCTGCTGAAGTGAATTCATTCTTCAAAGCCAGTTGGTCCCAGATCCCAGACAGAACGTCTGAATCACGCATCATGAAGCCCGGATTCACCACTAAGCTAATACCTGGGGAGACCAAACTCACGAAGCCGCAATCAGAGACCTCTGGGTCAAGCATTGATAGCTCTGGCCGTTCTCTGCATGCCATTTACGTGAGCATCCCCTTCATACTTGTTTGGTCTTTGAATTCTCATCCACTGCCTAGATACCATACCTCACCTTGTCGATACAACGCCGAAGCCAAGACCTTGGCAAGGACGACCAAGACTGGGGGAACCAACAGAAGAAGAAAGATGAGGAGAAACAGAAGGAAGGCAAAGAGGATGAAGGGGGGGATAAGCTCAGGCAAGCTTTTAAAGAGTACCATCGCCTGCTACAGCTCTACAAAGGGGAAGTCATTCATGGCTCAGCGACTCTTGATGAGTCCTTTTATCACTTCTCTAGGACTCAACGGGAGCAGCACAAGGCCCAAGAGAATGATGAAGAACACGCCGCGCAACAACAGGAACGGGAAAGGCGCAACCAAAGTCAAGTTGTTACAAGGGATATTCACAAGGAAGGTCTGGCAAAAAAGTCTCATTGGACTCTCGTTCGGGTGAACCAGTTATGGGTGTGGATAATCGGCTCAAGTACGTCAGCAACTCCCCCTTCCCGGTGTTGAATGCGAGATTATGCTGACAACTCCCACCTAGAGTGGTTGATCACGGCCACCACACATCCCATCGACCAATTCGAAGATCCTTTTTTGACCGATGTACTTAGTCATATCAAAGACCGGGCCACAGCAGAGGGAAGGGAGGTCGGGTCGCGATCCCCGCTTGGGATGGCCAAGACTATTGTTCAGTACTGCATCGATTCCTACGACCGACAACCAAACCCAGACGTGTACGGTACCGATGGTTCCATCCGTCAGATCTTTTCTGACTCCATCAACAAGATTGTACGCATCTATCTCCACACGTCAACACTTGCCGTAACCATCTGACATTTCTTAGGCTAGGAACGACGTCAAGCTGTTTGAAGGCTTCTGTGAAAGTATAGAATCAAAGCAAACGAAGGAGGAAGATAAGGCATATGGGTGGGACAACAGGGCACCCAAGGAGCAAAGAGAGGCTCATCATAGGGGAGGCACTGTGGAGAGGAACAAGAGAATCAAGAAAGCTATCAAGGCTGCGGCAACTCTTTCAAACGAAATCAGAGACATCCGCGACGAGCTTCAAATGCTTCAGGCAATCGCAAAGCACCAGGCGGAGGTTCAGAAGAAGTTGCAAAAGAAATCCTTTGTAGACACCACTGGATGGATCCAGGACATGATCAAGACCGCTGATCGCATCAAGTCAAATGTAAGACACTAACGCGAGCGACACGCTACATCTCGCTGATTCTTATTCAATAGGTGGAAATGACGCTCTCCCTAGAGCAGAGCCAAGTTGCCAACGATCAAGCGAAAGAGAGCGTTCAGCAGGGAAAAAACCTCATGATTTTCACCGCCATTTCATCGTTCTTCGTGGGTGTTCCCAGCCATCACCTGATTAGGATTTCAAAATAACAACCGTCGCCTAGCTACCTTCATCTTTCCTCGCGTCTCTCTTTGCCTTGGACGTGGAATCTTTTCACAAGGCCCCATATTGGATATTCCTCATCATTTGTAAGCCATCTCACTTCGAAAACTTCTCTTGGTCCATCCTGTTTGCTTATATACCTTTCTTTTCAGTCCTTGTTTCGGGCTTTTTCACCCTTCCCTCTCTCTACGTCTTCTGGCTCAAAGGAATGGTTTCGTCAGCTCCCAAGCCACCGCCTATCAAAAACACCCGCAGCCCTAAAGACGATGGGGAGGAGAGAGGCGAGGCGACAAGGTCTTACCAAGGTAAAGAGGAGGAGCATCAGTATACCATGTATGCCAGGCATAAGGTCTGGCGAAAGCGACCACAGGAGAAAATGTCTGAGGTGTAAATAGAGACGAACACTTGCAAATACTGTTCGCTAGAGCGATATTAGCAATTAGATGCCGAGTTGTGGGGTAGTGTTCAAATTAAAAAGAGCCCAAGAATCAACGATAGAGACAAAGGTTATGATTAATTACTGTAAGATGATAATTCCTTCGAATATATATTTATCTAGAGATATAGCACCTAAAAGTCTCTTCTATCATTTGATATTATAGCAAATTAATCTTGGTTTCTCTCGTATGCTTTGGCTTTCGTATCCCATAGGTAAATAACGTTAAACAAGTATAAGAACAGACTTCTCAACCATTCATCCCATCACCAAGAATATATACTTTTAACAACGCCGCGGAATATCTACTGCTCAAGAAAGACTCTCCATCTAATATATATACGGTAACCACTTCCATTTCAAAGAGCCGGCTCCGAGCTTCGAACAGCCCAGGCCAGAGACAAAACATATCAAACTCAAGGTTTTTGAAGCGCCTCAGTCCACGATATACTTGCAGTTCCCGTATCAAAATTAATATGAGAAAATTCTTCTTCTATTAATGTAACACTTTTCAAGGTTAGCCTCTCAATAATATCAAATAATATCCACAATTTTTTACATACCTTTCGTCCACAAGCTGGGGGGATTGGCTGATCTCTTCCAGCCATGGATGTTTCAAAGCTGAGCTTGCATTTGGTCTGCGGGAAGGAATCGGTGCAAGAAGGGCCTTCAGGAACTCGATACATGGCTCTTTTATTCGCAAAGCTGTCAAAACACTAGAGGGGAAGGGCTCCTTGCCATGTACATAGGTTTGAAGAGAGCGCGGTTGCGGGAACGGATCTCTGCTGGCCAGGAGTTGAAAGGCGATGGCCCCTAGCGCCCACTGGTCAATTGCCACGGTATAAGCCATGGTGTCGCTGTCCAGATCTTCAGTATCCTCTGGGGAGAAGATTCTCATCACCTCCGGAGCAAGGTATCGCGGTGTCCCAACAAGGGTGTGCAGCGCCGTGTGGTCACCGCTGGCACGCTTGGAGATTCCAAAATCGCTGATTTTGACCCACCAATTCGGCGAACGTTCTTTGACCAGGATATTCTAAGACGTGTCAAATAGGAGTTTTGGTTCATCGTTCAATGGGTTAGCAAACTTACAGCAGGCTTCAAATCCCTATGAGCAAATCCGTTATCATGCATATAACTAAGACCCTCCAAGATTTGTGAGGTGATTTGTCCAACCTCAAACTCTGGGAAGCGGCCTCGCATGTGTTTTTGCAAATCTCCGTTTTCAAAATACTCCATGGTAATGAAGATGGCACTTTCATTCTCGTACCAACCAGACGAGCGTGCAAAACAGTGGACGTACTGTAAAGAAAATAACCGGTCAGCCTGTCTATACCAGAATATGGATTGATTCTCACTTGCCTTCTCATGAGAAAACTTGGCAATCGCCTCAAGCTCCCGGTCATAATTTATTCTCTTGGTTTCATCATCATAAGGGTTCTTGATGATCTTCTTCACGGCGCGGAGTTCACCCTCCTTCTGTCCTTGCACACACTTCTGTAGATCAACTTGACCAAAGCCACCGCGTCCGAGATATCTTTCCACTTTCCATTTCTCTTCCACGATGATACGGTTATGACGGTTTCTAGGGTGGAATGTATAGGAGGTATGGCAGACCACGTCTTCGGCAGTGAACGACGTATCGAGCTTCGAGTCACGGACCAAGTCAGTGTCCAATCTGCTCCCCAACACAGGTCTGGTAGGTGGTTTCAAAACCGGGATTTGAGTGCTCTCCGTCGGAGGAGTTGCAGCTGCCGGCATCGGTTCAGGTTGCCTCACAGGCCCGCTTCGGGATACAGGTTTGACAAGTGGGAGAGAAGGTGGTATCTGAGTATGTTGCGTCGGAGAAATCGCAGCGGCCGGTTGAGGTTGAGAGGCAGCCAACATGTCGACATTCCCCGGGGATTTTTGCCCACCTTGAGAGTTTGCGATCTCTTGGAAGCGAACGTACGTTCTGGGAAATACGCCTGTCAAGCCAGTGCGCCAATTAACGCCCTTGCACCAATCATCACCCAAATTTTCAATGACCAAGATCTGGTCATTTTTGAGAATTTTCATATCCTCTTCTGACTCTCCAAGCCAGGTGTATAATGCAGTCACATTGTTCGGTGAATACAATGGAATTTTGGGAGATTTCGAGGCATTCTTGTCTGCCGGGACGGCGGGCCCGATGAGAGCCTCCGGACAAAGACCCTCGAAACCTGTCCTGCTGTTTCTTGCCCATGCGACTTCGTAATCCAACATATATTTGATCATAATTATATCACCCCTCACGAAAGCCAAGTTTGCACCGACGGTGCCGTCGTAGCCGGCTGTGGCCTGAGCCTGGATGATGCCTGCGCTGTCAGGTTTTCCATAGGGCTGAACATATGTATGGGGGAAGACTCCCTGAAAATTCGACTCCAGGTTCACGCCCCATGAAAGCAAAGTGCTGAGCTGGACATATAAAAGCAGCCTGTCCCCGATCTTGAATGACAAGCCCAGATGAAGATCGCCATGATAGTCAACTTGGCTGTACCCCTCGAATTCACCCTTGGGGCTCTTCCGGAACTGCTGTCCAGGTTCCGTGGGGGATGATTGCATGACTACACCATAGCTCCGGGGAAACATCCCCTCGGGGCCGTTGGAGTCAGCGAGCCTCCCCTTCCACCAGTCGTCGTTTGTCAGTTCAGTGACGAGGACCGTCTGGCCCGCAAGGAGGCCCAGGTCGCCTTTTTCCTGAGCTGTGAAATCATGTACAGTGCGAAACCGAGCCAGAACGCCCATACCGGTCATGCCTTTTGTTATCGTCACATAGTTGCAAGGGAACTGTCCCTTCCGGCCCGTCCGTGCATTCTCACCAACCCACCAGTTGTGGTCTTGTATTTCAAAGATATTGATGGTGTCTCCTTTCTCAAAGGTGCAGTCCTTTGAATAAATGACTTGATACGCAAATTTGGCACAGGTGGTAGCAATCACCCGGGGAGCTGACGACAGAGAGGCTGGTCTTTGTCTGGCCCCCAAATGATTGACGGCGTTCTGTGGCGGGTTGGCATGGTAGGGTCTGCTGCTTGGGTGGCCTCGCTCTGCTGCAACTGTCGCGATGTTCTGTGGCGGGTTGGCATGATAGGGCACTTGACTACTCAGATATCCTCCTCTGGTTGCAGTTGCAGATGGCCAACTTCCCTCTTGAGCGTGACGCGCAACGCCATCAATCCCTCTCCCCGCAGCCCGGCCATCCATCGCGGTAGAACTAGGGAGGGGTAGGCATAGAGGCCGGCTGTCCAACCTGAGATCATGCAAGGCTGGGGCCTAGATGATTGGCGCCAAAGTCGAGCTCACTGGCGGGCTTGGGATGAGTACTTCTAGTGGCCTGTTTCGGTTTCACGAAGGCGTCGCGGGCTTCAGGCAAAGAGGGGCTTTGGTAAGGGCCAGTAATAGTGAGTGACGGACGGCACTTTTCAGCCGTGGCTCAGCTGGCATACATTATTGGTAAGGCAGATTTGTCTTGGTCCCGCATAATCTGTTTGAATAGACCAAAAGAACCGAGCTTTATATGCAATGATCAATGATTTTTTTGGCCAAATGTCACAAGTAGGATAATCAACATTCCTGCCACAATGACCGTCGGCTTAAGACATGAAGTCGCGCAAAAGAAGCAGACTTGTTTGTCCAAGTACCAGACCTTGGGCTCGTTCAGATACGAAGATACCCATTTGGGCGAAGGCTGAGCGGTGGAATTGAGCTGGATGCACCAATTGAAGGTCCATGTTCAACAATATCGGCCCACCGTCCAGCAGCACCATCAGTGGTCAACTACCTCTGGGCGAATGGTTTAGTGGTATAATACTCCCTTAGCATGTTTTCAGCTACTGAAAGTGTTTGGGAGTGGTCCAGGGTTCGATTCCCTGTTCGTCCATCTTTTTGCTTGTTTGTTTACCTATAGTTTACCTCCAAGTGATAATGATCTTTCTCTTTTGTTCAGCTTCCATTTAGATTAAACATAAATTCACATTCTTGAGTTTAGCTTTCAACCTCTATGCTATACATTTTTCAAGTCAATATTAATTTCATAGTGAGGGAAATTATTCACCATTTTACTACCACTTATACTTTTCACACTGGATTAGTGAGAACTCTCATTCTGATTCGTCTATATCTCCATCCGGGCACTAATGCATCATTTTTACCAATCAATTATTCGACAAGGTAGGTAGTTCAGTATACCAATAGATTGAAGACACTCTATGAGTTTTAATCATTTCTTAATGATATAATGCAAGTGACTACATGTCAGGTACGTCTCTGTGTAGGGTAGGTGTTGCCCCAAATCTTACGCGATTCTAACGGACGCGACGCGACACTGGCCTAAAACTTTGATGGGTCTGTTGCAAATTAGGCAGCCCTTTTTTTGATGCCGCATCATCAAGATCGGCGAAGGCAATTGGGATAGCTGGCTCTTCCTCTCCTAGTCAGCACAAGCTGTAACTTATATTGAAACTGACCAAAGTCTTGCGACATCTTTCGTTCAACTCCATCACCGCCTGTCATCATGCCTATCCCGGACCCCTCTCAACACCCTACCCCGGCTCAGGTATACGAGCTGGCGGTTGATTACGCTGCCCTCCTCCGTGCTCTATTTGGCGACCCCGGTTTCAAGTTCCTTCAGAAACCAACCGCCGAGGTCTCCGCCATTGACACTGAGAACACCCACATGGGCCTCTTCTGGGTCACTGACTTTGTGCAAACCACCTACATCGACAATATCCTCCCTTTTCTCCCTTCGCATGCCTCACGAAAGACCAAGGAGCTTGGCAACCCCTGGGCCTACGGCGACTCCTCATATCAGTGGGAGCTGACCTGGGATGCCGAGGCCGGGGCTCTCAAGGACAAGAACGGCAATTCTGCAACCTTTCCAACAGTTGCCCAAGCTGAGGTGAAGAGCAAGATGGAGAATCTTGTGTCAAGGGGCTTCATGATTAAGAAGCTCGTTTTCGACAATGGGTCTGATTTTATGGCGAAGATGGCAATGGGAGGGCAGACCTACAATTTTAGCGACGAGGCCAAGGCCATCATAACTAAGATTTATAGCTAGATGTCGATTGAGTTGATGAATAAAGATATCCACCATGTCCGTGATCGCTCTCCAGACATAGGGTTGATGAGTGACAATATGAGAAATAAGTGGTTCCTGAATATTCTCTCGTTTCCATAAGTCATAGTTTGATGGCTGTCGTACACGCCGGGCGAGCAGGCTGTCGGTCAGCAGCATCGGTGTGGACAGTTACCAGGCCAAGCGGATAGCTTTTCTAGGGGTAAGCTGAGCTAATAGTGCCTTAACACGAATCTGGGGCTAGAAAACTCGCATCTCAACACAATCCGAAGGTTAAAATTAAGATGCCGAAATGCCGATGGGGTGAACTCCGTCAGCCGCCCGCCCACAGGGATGACTAGTCATGCCCACGCCGAAGGCAGAATAGCTTGTATGTGATGCTACGATTGCAGTACTTAAATAATGGAACTGTTCCTTACCAGACGAGCAACTAACATAGAGGATTCCCCCCATCCCAACTGATACTTGTGGAACACCGGAACAGCTCACTGCCAGCCCCCGTCATCATCATCATGGTTCCCATCAAATCTTTAGAGAAGTCTCGCCCTAAATTCAGCGAACTACCGCTAGCACCTACGGACCCCCCGGCCTCTGCTTGGGGCTTATGGGGAGACCAGGACGAACTGGGTACCCTCAACCTGCTGACAACAGATGTTGTCCGAAGGGCTGCAAAAGAGGTTGTCAATGGAGAGACTATCCCCCTCAAGTAAGTATAGCTTGAAAAGTATATGGTGTTGCAAGACGCACTCTGTCTAACGAGTCGTATCAGTCTGCCGCTGGATGAATTCATTCAACCGATGAATCCGTTGCGCAAGCCGTGTTCTCACCACATTATTGTGAAGGGACATGCCAACGATGACGAGGTTCGTATAAATTATTTGAATTCAGCTTTTAAATGTGTAAACACTCAAAACTCTAGCTCGACATCAATACCCAAGGATCTAGTCATTGGGACGGTCTCAGACATTACCCTTACCAAGAGAGCTTGGAGTACTACAATGGGGTAACGCAAGAAGACATTTCGGGAGAGGAGCTAAACTTCAAAGCCGGTATCCAAAGTGTGTCTAAGCTTCTGAAGTTTTCCTTATCATTAACTGATTAGTGAGTCTCGTGGTAGATCTTGCAGAAAAGACGATCACTGGTCGCGGTGTCTTGCTTGATTGGTTCTCATGGGCACAGAAACAAGACATCGATATCGATCATTTCTCTAGGCACGAGATTCCCCTCGAGCAAGTTCTCGAAGTGGTCAAGGAACAGGGGGTTGAGTTTATTCCGGGCGACATCCTCCTCATTCGCACCGGTTGGATTCCAGCGTACCGTGCTCTGTCACCTGCCGCCCAGGTCGCATTGTCCAGAAGGGCGATACGTACATCTTGTGGGATCCAGGCTAGCGAGGCTGCCATTCGATGGCATTGGGACAACGCATTCGCAGCGGTGGCCAGCGATACTGTCGCATATGAAGCATGGCCAAGCACAAAGCCATATGGTGTCTCTATGCACGAAGTATTTTTAAGCGGATGGGGGATGCCAATTGGAGAGAGCTTTGACCTGGAGAAGTTGGCTGTCAAATGCCAGAAGGAAGGGAGGTGGACGTTCATGTTCGTCAGTGTACCATTGAATATTCCAGGAGGCGTTGCGAGTCCTCCCGGCGCGGTTGCTATCTTCTAGGCTATCTCCGGCGCATAAGAATTCTATAATACTAAAATAGTAAACATGAATCATGTGTATATTTCGCAGGGTCGGTAGTGTGCCCAGTTGGAAATACAAGCAAGCCAAAACCGAGGGGGTTCTAAATGTGCACCAATCGCAGGGTGCCCATTCATCCGCTGCAAGAAACTCAGGCTAATTATTCTAGTACTACCTACCGTACCGAGGTTGTTATTTGAATCTTCACTATCGAGGAAAAGTGTTGTGGGATTGTATGGAAGGGTGGGCGAACATGCCGAAGCAAAAGCCGAACAAGATACCGAATCGTTTAGAAAAGTGGGGAGACCCGCCGGATACTTCCATGAAAGGTATTTTGTTGAAATTGGTAGACCAATCCAATTAGAGAGGATGCCGTCTCACAGTTCAGCTGGATCGATCAAATCCCTCCAGTATAAGTGATCCAGAATTTTCGAGATGGGGTCGCTATACATCAATCTTCGAGCTAAGATCACATAGCTAGTCATTTCAGAGGTAAGATGAGTGACCATAGTGACCTAGAGTCAATCAAAGCTACTTCATCCATTCGGCCTCGGCGAGGGGGAAATCCCACAAGTATCAGACATTTCATTTTTATGAGAAGAAACACACTGTGTATTGGTAAAGAAATTCCATTTATCAGTAAATAACTAAAATAATTTCATATTGGATTGAATAATTGTACAATCACAGCCATTGGGGCGTGTCGGAACCCAGAGGCTTGGGCATGACTTCCCAGCCAACTTCACAACCTTCAACCGAGGCACTGTGACGGATGGCCTCCATCATACCGAAACCGGTTGACTTCCTTTCAATGTATTCTGCGGGAACATCTGACGGCTTTTCAAAGTCTCTGCACTGGAATCCTGTCGACCCAGGATATTGCCCCAAGCTGCGGAGATATTTCATGACACCGGCCAACGATACATCCACTCTCCAAGATCCACCTTGGGTGGCCCTTCGATACAAGGCTGTCATTATTCCAGAGGCAAGGTAGTAACCTCCAGCGTGGTCGAGGGCTTGGCAGGGTGTTGGGCGCGCAACTTCGCCTTGGCCTGCATGCTCGGCCTCGGAAATGTTCATGCCAGAACAAGTCTGCACCAGAGAGTCATAACCTCGTCGGCTAGACCACGGGCCATCAGGTCCGAACGCTGACATATTGGCAATGACTATAGTTGGATTCAGCCTGACCAATTCCTCGGATGAAAGCCCCTTGGCAGCTAGGCTGCCAGGTCGAAATCCCTGGATGAACACATCACACGTCTTGATCAGTTCCATCAGCTGCTCCTTGTCGGCCGCGTTATTTATATCGAGTTGGACGGTACGCTTGCCTCGGCCAAAATCTCGATCCATGGTCGGTAGATCAGGGAGTCGAGGCGACGTCACCCAGATGACATCGGCTCCATGCGCTGCAAGGGTCTTCCCAGATAAAGGGGCAGCAATGACTCGACTCATTTCGAGAACTCGCAGCCCACGCAGGCATTTTGCACCGCTAGATTGCGCCAGTTCGGGGAGGGCTTTTGGTTCAGAAGAAGAGATCTGTGTGACTTGTATAGGGAAGCTTGTGATGGCCTTGGATTGAGGCAATGAATCCCATTGCCGATATGACCGGAGAGCATAAGTCGTGAGCTTGCCTTCGACTGTAGCTACATGCTCTAGGTCGATACTGGCCCATCCGGCAATTTTCCCGGCGAGATGCTCCCTGGATGCACCCAAAGGAAGTCCCACCAGCTCGAGGATTCCATTCGCATGATTGGGAAACGAGTCGTGGACTCGAACGTAACCATCAGACGTCTGATGTAGCCCTCCAATAGGACCCCACGGTGAGGGGGCTGGTTTGCCATCCAAAGTGTACAATCTCTCCGACTTGAACTCGGCAGCCGCATGCTCTAAAGGCACTTGGATTCTGGGAACAGGCTTGTTACTGCGCAGAGAGTAGATTTGGGCTGCGCCCAGTGCGGTCAAGGCGATCGCACTCTGAGCAAGAATACCTAATTTGTATGATGATGGGATCACCAGAGCGTCACTCCCTGGCAGAGAAACAGAATCGAGGGCGTTGGAGGGAAGGCCGAGCCCAATCCAGAGATCTTTCAAAACATCTTGGGCTCCAAAGGTGGTTCGGTCGACAACAGCCGCTTTTGGAACGAATACATCCAGCAGGGGAGCGTGCTGCTGGGTACCAAGCGTATCACGCTCACCCACACTTCCTTGAGCCCACGGCCGTCGGAGTGTACATTTCCATGCTAGGGCTGGGTCGAAATACATGTTCGTGAGGATATCTTGGTCACGAACTTGATACAGGGTCTTGATGGTCTCGTTGGTTAGAACATTTGCGGCCTTGACTCTTTGGTAAACCGCCGGCTGGTCGAACATGACATCGAACGTCATCTCAAAAGGACCCGAGTTTTTGGAACGAATTATGCGTGCGAGCTCGCTTAGCTTCGCATCGCCATCAGGAACAACCTTGGTGGAGATGGGGGCAAGAGCTCCATTATCGATCTCTTTCAATTTCGTCTCCGAAAGAACAACTGGGGGCGTGACGGCGGAATCCTGCTTCCCGATAGACTGAATAGAGATAGGAAACAACGAAGCCTCTTCGCCCTCCTCTAGATCAACAAGATGATACAGGCTGAATTTGAAAACTGCGCCTGCGTCTTGCTCGTGAGGAGAGAGAGGGCTTGCAAAGTTCCCAGTTGTGGCCATTTGGCCTGGGTAAGCAAAGTGAAGAATAGATGCCCTCACATTATTTGCGATGGTGTGTGAAAGCTCCGAGGTAGGCGCAACAACTTCTCCGAGAACGGCGATCTCGTGGGGAGTAGACTGAAGGGGCTCCAGCGGTCCCATAACACCGTTCTTCCCGTAAACATGGTAGAGGAGGCGGCATTGCTCGGACTTGTCAAGCTCTGGGAACAGATTTTGAGAGTATTTGCGGACTCTCTCTAAGAAGTCGTCAATCTGGTTGATCAGGATGGGATCTCTAATGCCTCCAATGAAAATCGTGCGGTAGCCAAGGTGTGTGACGCCCTCGAGCTTCACCTGGTACGGTGTTTGGACGAACTTGGCTCCTGAAACTCGGCAAGTCTTTTCGGTTATCTGCTGGTACTTGGCATTTTCAAGGTTCAAGATGCCCCCGGGACCTGGGAGGCGGTCTGGCCGTGTCTTTTCATAGAGAGTGTGGGCGGCGACGGAGAGGGGCGTACACCGCTCCTCGGGAGATAAAGGGGTCAGGTCAAATGAGTCTTTCCTCATAGTAGCAATCATAGATCGACCTTTGGGAACAGCGCAGATGCCGCCACACT